GATCTGTTCTATAACTTTGACATTTTGGATATTAAAACAATGACACTTCTCATTTTGCATTTAGACTGCCTAGACTCAGTATACAGATAACAAATAAGGCAAAGAGGAGTGGTAGAAAAGAAAGATGACACTCATATTTTGTGTTGACGTGGTTATTCTATTGGGGGTAGACTAAAACACCTGATAAAACACCTGAAAATGAAAAACTGGCCTTTTAATAGGCCATCTGAGTGGAAGATATATATATTGCTGGGAAGACAATGGTATTTACATTTATGTTAGGCCCCATTGTATGTAAATTTATAAGTGGAATGGGTTTTGAGGTAACCAAATGAACGGGGAACAGATCTCAACAATAGCTCTGTTCAATATATGTTTAAATCTGATAGAAGTCTGCTTGAAAGTTTCAGCCATGCAAGTTTCAAAACGGTAGCCGTTTGTCTGTGCATGCATATCAGACAACGAAGCAAAAGCAAGGAAGGAGACAAAAACATTGTGGCACCTTAAAGAGTAGCTGCTATAATTTAATGTGACTTTTGATGGATCACATCTACTTCTTCAGACAGAAGAGTGAGACTACATGATGAACATTAAAATATAGCAATTAGCCTTTACTAGATGTTACTTTACTTTACAATTAGCCTTTACTAGGGTGACACAACATCTTTGTTGTTGTTATTGCTTTTGTTTTGTTTGTTGTTTGCTTTGTAATTCTGTGGGTATCTCTATATTGTATTAAGCTAACAGAATTTACAAGTAAGTAATTTGAATTCACAAAGGAATGAAATAGTATTATATCTTTCTCATATAGTAAATAATGTATTAATATCAGTCACTTCACTGCAGATGGTGTATACTGCTGCTTAGATCATCATCAGCATCTTGGTTCTCAAATTTGGCATGTTCCTTCCCATGAATATGTTGACTGGCCAGGTTGAATTGTTGTGAGAGAAAGCTTGGACTTGTTACAGAGGTGTGTCCACCCAGTGTGCAACTTGAACAGTGTGAGCCATGAGGAGAGATAGCACAGAGAGCAGTTACTTCTTTTATTGTAAAATTCCGAAGAAATGACTGGCTTGAGAAAATCTATGTGACTGACAGGATAGGGTTTAGTTCAAAAGTGACATAGTGGCAATGTTGTATAAATTGAACACAGGTAGCAAATTTCTACTTAGGGGACTGAAAGAGGAAGTATTATGATTATTCAGTGTTAACATTAGTTGAACTATTGTTTCATGTGACATTTGAGAAAGGAAATCTGATTCACTTAGAATTTCCTTTCTCCTGGTCCATAAATGTTCTCTACAAAGTTTGGGGGTTTTATCCAATTTTTTAAAATTGGTGGATTTATCAGATACAATACTTACAATTCATATAGTGCTTTCATGTGTTCAAAGTACTGTATGTTTTCAGAAATCTTTACTTAAACCCTTAAGGATGGATCCCCTATTTACATCCCCTATTGCCAGTTTGTTGAAGGGAGCACAGTAGGAAGTGACTTTCCCAAAGGAAACTTACTGTGAGTTGGAGGTAGGGGCAAGATACAGATCAACATTTACATGGAATAACAGTTAAAACTCATTCAATTAAAAATTTATATAACATAGTTGGATATTGTTGTAACCTCTTAATTATAGTTTTACTAGGGCCTGCAGTGCTAATCATGCAAGTGCAAAGGACTTGCAGTCTAGATTGTGAGCTCACATCTGCTCATATTAAGAGACAACTTTGATCTTTTGTGTTCACACTGTGGGATGTGGGCTATATTTATTCTCTTCTACCTTGTCCTTTGTTTGAATGTCTGATCCATCTGAACAACTGGGAAAATATGTTTAAATTTATATTGCAATCAAAGTATGACCTTTTCAAGGAAATCCATATTTATAAGAGAGCATGCATGATTTATCAGTGGTGCATGGTCTCTGCAGATAAAAAATGAAAAATTTGCTGGTATGATGGTATTTAATGGGAGAAATTGTTCTGAAAGGTTCTTGGAATATCATTTCAACCGTGGCTTCTGTTGGGTTGTAACTCAGAATAGCAACAGATTTTTAGTCTTCTGTGTTGTGACCAATTCAAAGGTGGTTGCTTTTTAACCAGAGAGTTTTGCTGTTTAAAGTGCTAAATTGGCAGTGATTTCAGTTCTTTGTTATTACATACTCAGAGATTCATTATGCAAACTCAAGCTTAATTCAAGTAGTATCTGAATTATGTGAATTCAGTTCTGACTACATTAAATGTTAATCTTAGTCAAGTGAACATGGATATACTATACACACAAAATATGCATGGATATACAATAAATATTTGAAATAAAAAAATATATGGACAAGTTAGCTTGCTGTGTGCTACCTATTCTATCACATGTATTCCCTTGCCGCGGCCCCCCCAATTGTTTTCTGCCATATTTGGGCGGTTAGCAGGAGTTTCAGTTAGGTGAGGAGCTAATCTCCTGCTAGTTTAACGTCGGCGTTGAAAACAAAGTGTGCTGCTTACTGCCCCGTAGTGCTTAGAGGACACTGAGCAGCGTACAATTTAATTATGCAGGCCACACATTGCTCCTCCTCCCATGAGCTGGGTACTCAAACTGACCTTGAAGAGACGGAAGGCTGAGTCAACCTTGAGAAGGCTACCTGAGTCCTTTGGAATCAAACTCTGGTTGTGGCAGAGTCTTGGCTGCAGTACTGCAGTTTAGCCAGTGTGTCATTAGGATATGCTGAAAATTAAAAGCATTATAGCTCAGTGAGTTGGAGTACCTGGCCAGGAGTCAGGAAATCAGTTCCCCCTTGTTTCTATTGGGAGGACTGCCAGCCTATGTTGTGTTGGAAAAGGTACAAAGTCTGAGAGTGCCAACAGAAGAAGGGACTATTAAAACACTTCTGAGTACAGTTGTGTACTCAGTTAATGATTACCCCACTTCACGACGATGTCAACGATGTTTTAAATGTTTTTTTTTCACTTTGCGAAGATTGGTTCCCTGCTTCGGGAACTGATTCTTCGCATTACAATGATCAAAACAGCTGATCGCCGGGTTTTCAAAATGGCCACCGGGTGCTCAAAATGGCTCCATGCTGTGCTTAGGGACGGATTCCTCGCTATACAGACACCGAAAATGGCTGCCCTATGGAGGATCTTCGCTGGACAATGAGTTTTTAGCCCATTGGAACGCATTAACCGGGTTTTAATGCGTTTCAATGGGTTTTTTATTTTCGCTTTACAACGTTTTTGCTCTACATCAGTTTCGCTGGAACGAATTAACGTTAAGCAAGGCACCACTGTACTTTATATGTAGCAAACACTGGCAAGGGTCTCCATAAGTCAGTATCAATTTAACAATTGGCTTTATTATTATTCCTTTTTAAAAAAGCATGCAGGACTTTATTCTTGCAGGGAAGAAAGGGATTAAGGAAAAGTAGCAGAAATGTTGAAAATGAGGCTGTCTTTGAGGCATCAAGAAAAGGCAGGATTTTCTGGAAAGGACAAGAATTCTGGGAAAAGTAGAAGGCAGCAGTGTGATTGGATTCATTTGAATGTTGTGGCAGTTCCTCACTTTTGACAGGAAATAACAACTGAGACTTATCTGCAACATTCATAACTTCGATTTTATTAATCTTTGGCTTCTCTACAACTATTTCAACTGGGTTGAAACATGATAAATCTGGCAAAGGTCCATAACTGGACGAGGATAACTCTCTTTGAAAGTCTGGGTAGCTTATTGGGGTGCTGGGCCAAAATGTTTGCGATTGGTGGGGTTCCGTACAGGGGCACTCTTCAACGCACAAATGGTGCTGCAGCATGCATGTCTTGCCCAGTCTCCCTCCTTAGGTGGTTGGTTGTAGGTTTGATCAGGTCTGATCACCACTTTGCCTCGTCCTTGTCCCTGCGTTAAAATGATTACAGTCCACTCTTGAGTCTCAAATACTGTCTCCCCTTCCTTCTTTGGTTTCGGGTCCAGCAACAATCCCCCAAACTTCAGTTTAGGGAAGTCCTTTAGAAGTCCGCACACCTTTTCATAATTGATATCCACATCTCTCTCATCTCTCTCCTCCTTTTCCCTCCTTCCCGTGTTTTCAAACCTACTGAAGAACCTCTTCTCTCTCTGCTCTTTTATACTCTTCAGCTGACATCTCCAGTTCCTCCCCTTTCTCTTTTTCTCCTTCTTTCACCAGGCAAACTTCTACTTTTCCCTTTATCTCCGTTATCTTTCCTTTTTCCTCTATTAAGATTTCCTTCACCTCTGTTGCCTCATTCTTACAGCTTCCCTTTTCCTCCTTTGTCGTTTCTATCAGTGAGGACGGCTCACTTTCCTCCTGCTTTCCTTCACAAGCAGGAAAAGAGGAAGATGAAATACAAGACGGACTGACTCCCTAAAGAAAGCCTCAGGCTTGAGTTTGCAACAGCTGAGCAGGGCAGTTGAGGAAAAGACATTTTGGAACAGCTATTTATTTGCAGGTTGCAGACATATCAGTCATTTACAATTTATATGAACATGCCATAGGTTTGTTTTCCTGTAACAAAACAGATGTTTATTGTTTCCTTTGTGTAATTTTGTTTTTTTACATTATGTTAATCTTGCGGGTTTACCAGTACATTCTAATAGTCTTATTAAGTTGTTTTTGGAATCTTATACCAAAAAATTATATTTTTAAATCACTTGTATCTGTATTTTCCACCTAGGACTTTAAAAATAGGATCCACAACATGTTTATATAGATTACACAAAATGATACAGTTTTTTTGCATTTGAATGTAATCATATCATTGTACAGTACATTGTTCAAGGCTGCTGTGGCTGAACAAGTGGACCATTTGTAGCTGTTGGGGAAAAAAAAGAATTGTTTAGGTCAGTAAGCTGGAGAAGGAGAGTCATGAGTTCAAATCACCTTTGCATCTCCTGTTGGTGAAGAATGAAAATTGTACATTAGACTAGGAACTGTGTTGGGAAAAAATACATTATAAACTTCTCTAGAGATGTAAATAGCATTGCTTATCTATTTCAGGGCGTGAAGCCAGCCAGCTTTGATAAAGTAGCAATTCCTGAAGTAAAGGAAATAATTGAGGGATGTATTCGTCAAAACAAAGATGAAAGGTAAATATTTTTTCTACTGGGACTAGATAGTAGAAATGTAGCTATGAAGGAGTTCTGATTTAGAAGTATTTTGTAGTCAATATAAATACTGCAACATATACTCTCTGAATACAAGACACTTTTTTGGTAAGTAGTATTTTAGAAAGCAAAGTACAAACTTACTGGTTTCAGTTAAAAGGAGGTATATAATACTTAATTGAAATTCTGTGGATCCATAGCAAGTTGCCATTGCTTAGTAGAAAGGCCATAACTTCACTTACTGTAAAAGAATGTGTCTTTAGTTGAGGATAGAACCTAAAGGATGGCAGTGTTCTGTTAATGATTTAGAAATAAGTACCATTTTTCCGTGTATAAGACTATACTTTGTCTAAAATGTTTAGACTGAAAATTGAGGGTCATCTTATACACGGAAGTAAGCTGAGGAGAGAAACAAGTGGAGGGGAAAGCTGAGATCTAAGTGATTCTGCAGGATGGCTTTGATCCCTGGTTTCCCCTCTGCTTGCTAAGTCCCATGGGGCTTAGCAAAAGGAGGGGGGAGGATCAAAGCAATCCCATGGCTGTATAAGGGGGAAAGGGATCAAAATAATTGTGCAGTCGTGAAATTGCTTTGATCCCTTTCCCCCTCCTTTTGCTAAGCCACACGGGGCTTAACACAAAGGGAAAAAGCAGGGATCAAGGCCATCCTGCAGCACTTTGATTCTTTTTACCCTACCTCTGCTAAGCCCCATTTAGATTTCTTAATTTTGGGTTAGAAAAGTGGGGGCGTCTTATACATGGGGGGGTCTTATACAGGGAAATATACAGTAGATATTGGGCAAAATTCTGTTAATGCAGGTATAAAATAAAGTTATGCCTGTGTAAATGTATGATATGTTATGCATTATTGGCACACAATTGCACCATTTAATTGTTCAATGGTCACCCAATTCCCATTGCAGCTGTTGTGCGTGTGCTAGTGGAAGTCTTCATGGATAGTATAGCACTTATGCCAGGGCACTGTTGTAGCTACTGCAGGAGTAATGTTGAGTTACATCAGCCTAGCTGCGTAAGAGGGTTTTGCCAAATCTTTGTGTCTGTACAGTAGCTACAGTGCAACCTCACAGACTTTTTTATGATAACATCCGCCAACTACATTTTGGAGCAATAGTTGTTTAGAATTACTGTTGTATGCCCATTTAAAAATAAGCAATTAGTATAGTTATAGAACAGTAAAACTTGTTGTAGAATTGTAGCATTCAGTGTATTCATCTAGGCTCTTTTTCATATCTGCAGAAACATCTCTTGAAAATAAGTATGTATTCAAAGTCAGTAATGGGTAATCGAAGGAAATGGCCTGGGTGTTTGTCTGAGAAAAAGTTTTAGGTGTAATATGTTCAGCCCAGTTGAACACAGGGAAATTGTGTTGTATATTGTGATGCCAAGTTCCAGTTAGCACAGTTTTTTAATTTTTCCATTACTGTTTTCTTCTATCCTTTCTGTTCTTCTCAGGTATGCTATAAAGGACCTTCTGAATCATGCATTCTTCCAGGAAGAGACTGGTGTGCGGGTGGAGCTAGCAGAAGAAGATGATGGGGAGAAAATTGCCATTAAGCTCTGGTTACGAATTGAAGACATTAAAAAACTTAAGGGCAAGTACAAGGACAATGAAGCAATAGAATTTTCTTTTGACTTGGAGAGAGATGTTCCAGAAGATGTAGCACAGGAAATGGTAGGTAATACAGAGATTAAATGTCTGTATAGGTGTTGAAGTTTGAATAATTCTGAGGTTTAGGTATGGCTTTTTTGCTGTTTGCAGCTTGATTGTTAACAGAACAGTGACAAATTCAAAAACGTGTGGTGAAGAAAAATGCAGGACAGTGATGAAGTTACATGAGATCTTTCATGGAATCACTTATTGAAGTCCACGTATCTCTCCCTCTGCTGCCCTTAACGTAACTTTATTATGGTCTCCTCATAGCTTTCTAAAACTGCTAGCTGTACAGAGTCATCCATAAAACCTGAAGGGACTGAGCTCTCTCTTGTAATTTTAAATATGCATTTATTTATTTTCTTGGCTGTCTCTTCTGTTTGATTCATTCTTTTGTTTTGTTTTTAATGGCTGGCTGATGGTTGCAATAAATGATTGATATTTATTTTAGTTATACCCTATTTTTGGCCAACAGAAGAGCCCAAGACAACTTACAAAGACTTTTAAAAACAAGTATTGAAACAATACAAAATACAATAAATTGCTATATTGCTATTCTCTGGGAGCTTAACAATCAAGTCAATGCAAATAATATAAAATGACAAGAATTCTCTCTATATATACAAAATAAAATAGCTCAAATCAGTAAATGAACATGAAACTAAAAAATTGACCAACATCAAACAATGGATGGACAGGCAACACAATTTGGCAGCCTTCAAGAAAGCATTGTCTTCAGCAGTCTCTTAAAGATTGGGTGGGTGGTGGCCAGGTGCAACTCGATCGGAAGCCCATTCTAGAGGATGGTGCCACAGCCCAATTTCTGGTGGAAGTCTTTGTGGCCTCCTTTGGTGTGGCAATCCATAGGAACATGGCCTGTGAGGATCTGGTGGTGCAAGTCATTGTTCTTGGAAGACAGTACTGAATAAAACTCTTTTAAAGCAACTTAAAAAACACAAAGCAGTTCACTTACTGACTTTCTCTGCCCATAGAAGGACAACAGGGAGGAATCCAGCCTGGTTTCCCATGGAAGAGAGTTCCATAGACTGGGAAGAGCCACCAAAAACACTCTCTTGTGTCTGCATCAAGTGTGCCTGTGAGAGCAGTAGGACTAGGAGAAAGGCTTGAAAATGGGACAGGAACAATTTCCATGGAATGGGATTGAAATAAGAAATACAGTAGGATGTCATCTGTGAACTTGGTATCACCCAACCCAAAAACTCAGAAGAGTCCTTCTCATCAGTTTCATGTATAATAGCATGGGAGGAGGGGAATGGAAATGAGTCTTGAGGGACGGCACAGGCCAGTGGTCAGAATGTTGAACAGAAGTCTTCTAACATCACTCTTGAGCTCAGTCTTCCAGGAACTTCTGGAGCCACTATAAAACAATTTCTCCATGTCGTATTCTAAAGAGATGGCCCAGAAAGATAATCTTGGTTGACAAGTCCAACAGAACATCTTGGGACACGTTCCTGTTGTCTAGTTCCCAGTGCAGCTTGTCCACCAAGGTGACTAAAGCTGTTCCTGTTCCATTGTCAAGTCTGAATCCATATTGAAATGGAACTAGGTAATCAGTTTCTTCTGGGAACTCTTAAAGCTGAGAAACCATGCCTCTAGAGCAGTGGTTCCCAAACATGGATCCCCAAGATGTTCTTGGACTACAACTCCCAGTAATCCTGGCGAGCACAGCTAGTGGTGAAGGCTTCTGGGGAGTTTTTGTCCAAGAACATTTGGGGATCCAATGTTGGAAACCATTGTCTAGAGACTTGTCCAAGAAATGGAATATTTGAGGTTGGCTTGTAATTATCCACTACAGTGGATAATTTGCTTCAGTGCTGCAAATTAGGTAGCATCTGTGTTCTCTTCCCACCAACCCCTTCCAACTCAATTTATTCTGATTCTATGTTTCCTAGAGCAATTCAATTGTCTTCTGGTGTCTAGGTGCAAAGAGTAGGGATTATATCAGGCATTTAACACCTTGATTTTCATTGTGATGATACTTTAACATTTTTTCCAAACAGCATAATTTTAAGTTAGAATTTTTACATAGATATGATAGATTTGATTCTTTGAATCTAAATCTTTAAGGATCATTAAAAATATTAAGGAAGTCAGACACATATCTCAGAGTACCATTCCAGAAGGATTCATCTACCACAGGAAAGGTTCACTAACTTCATGTTGGTTCCCTGAATGTGGCTTTTGTGATTGATGTTTGGAAACTGGACAAGAAAATGGATCCTTCAGCTGTGACACCCTGAGTGTTTAATATTTGTATATTATCTGAAGATCGTCTTCTTAGACCAGTTCCATGTATGCAAGAACATGTTGCACAAGGTAAAATGTCCTTCATCAAATGTTGAGAATGTGGTGGCCTATGCTGAATTGAGTCCACTTATGTACTTTGGAACAGTTGGTTGGTTCAGACATCCTTGATGTTGAGAGTTATCTGTTAGTGGGGCTGAAGACGCTGTTATCTTTGCATCCCTTCTCCAAATATCTAAAACATGTAATACAGTTAAAAGTGACTGCACTGGTTGGCTGTTTAGTGGAGTTGATTATAAACAGTAGCTCATAAGCAGTGAAACCTGTTGCTGCACATGGGAATTTTCTTTCTTTTATAGTTGAGGTGATTCGTATTCTTCATAATGGAATCTTGTATTATTTTGATATGAGATGGCTATTAATTTTTTTTATGTTTTCTCGAAAGATGTACATGCTCTTACATAGTTTTGTTTAACATACCTTACCTGGAAATGCAGAAAAATTGCCAATTGAAATCCTTTTTCTTGCTTTTAATGTTCAGTTATAGAAACGTAAATTTACTTTGTTTGAGTAAATTTTCCTTCATTTTCCAGGTTGAGTCCGGATATGTCTGTGAAGGAGATCACAAGACAATGGCCAAAGCAATAAAGGACAGAGTGTCTTTGATAAAGCGAAAGAGGGAACAGCGTCAGTTGGTAAGAGAAGAGCAAGAGAAAAGGAAAAATGAACAGATCAATCAGAATCAACAGGCAGAGCAGCAGTTACAAGGAGGCACTACCCAGCCAGGAACAAAGCACGCTACACCTGCCACTGGTGTCACTGCCCTTCCTGCTACTTCAGCATCAGTTTCTACACAAGTAGAGCCTGAAGAACCAGAAGCTGATCAGCATCAACAGCTGCAGTACCAGCAGCCCAGCATTTCTGTTCTGTGTAAGTATTGTCAGTGTATATTACTCCCCCCCCCAACACCTTATAAATCATCTGTGTACTCCTGGACTCTGAGAGCTGAGCTCAGATTTAGGGTGTGCCACAGCACATAGTCTAGTATGCAGCCTTCCCAGTGAAGCAGTAACTGGTATTCTAAGATAAAGCCCTCAGTATAAAACTAGCTATCTTACAATTATAAGGAGATTGCAGCAGCATCCAAACCTCCCACTGCTGTTTTCATGCCTTCAAGTTCAACTGAAAATTTTCACAACCTGGTCAGAAAATGGTTGCCATTCTTGTCAGTTAATCACCTTTACATGATCCCACTGAAATCTACAACAACAACATCTGTGGCTCGAAGTTTGGAATATTATTGCCAGATCTTTCTCTCCTTACAAATCTCTAGACCTGACTGGAAGCTTATGCTGGTAGACTATGCTTCCAGAATAGTGGAACCTGACTCCCTACTGCATTGCTCCACAGTAATGTGTTTCCCCATACTAGGTGCATCATAGAAGCAATGTCCCTCATTTAATCTTTTGAAAGGGGTGAGCAAGAGCAGTCACAAAGTATCTCCCTCCCTCTCCCTCTCTCCCTCCCTCTCCCTCTCTCCTTCCCAACTTTGTATTCTCTGATGTGTGTTCTGGAATTGGAACTCTGTTGCTATGTTTTGGGTTTTAAATAATCTCTTTACCATCATTAAGCATGTTTATAGCCGGTTTGTCTTGTAAGAAAATACAATGCATGGATATAATGCTTTGGAAATAAAGGAAGGTAAAGGCTAGATTAATAGATTGTTTTTTAATTCCTGCATGGTGCCATCCTAGTACACATTTTCAATAATATTTTATGCTGAAATACATCAGAGGATGTTCTCTACTGCAAGATTTGGGAAGGGGGCATGTATTATTTTAAGCACTTAGTGTAACCTGCTTCCTGTATCCTAATTACATGGAACTCAGTTTTAGAATTTGCTTGGCTTGTGATCTTTAACTTATGATGCAGTGTAAAACTCACTCTTTTGTCATCTTTGCAGCGGATGGCACAGTTGACAGTGGCCAGGGGTCATCCCTCTTTACTGAATCAGGTGTGAGTAGCCAACACACAGTTTCCTATGGTTCCCAGCATGAACAGTCTCTTCCAGCAGTTCCAGTGTCAGGATATGCAGTTTCTGTTGGCCAGCCACAGTCACAACAGGCTGGAGGATACCAAACATCTGCAGTGGTAAGCATTAAATTGAAATAGGAGAACAAATGCTTCATATAAAACACTGCTATCTATTCCTTGATTTTGTAGGCTTTTTTTGAAGACCTCAATGTGAGGTCTGAGTGCAAGAAGAGACCTATTGTAGATTGTTAATTGCCACATTTGATTATGCTTCAGCTGATAGAAAAAAAATGTGCATGTGTGAAAATAGAATCTTGCAAAGTATCAGCTATAGTAATGTTTCTTGGCAGCAGTAGAATTTCATTACTTGCTGGTGTGATGTCTGTGGGAATCTAAAATTATAACCAGCTTCAAGTATTGTTAAGCTGTAACTACAATTAATGCTATATGATAAAGTTCCTGATTGGAAATTAATGATTAGTTTTGCTAAAAAGCTAGGTGTGTTCAGAGAATATATGTATGTGCTGTATAATTGTATTAAGTTTCCAGTTACACCTAGAGAAGGTAAGGATTCCTAACCATTATAGAATGCTGCATGCCATCACTGCAGTTTTAAACGAACCCACTGTGTTGCCATTTATTTATAGCTTGCACCTAATTGCTCATGGGCACAATGACCTTTCCCACTTTATGTGTTCATTTGTGTTATCCTTTATTTGGTACCCTTTTCTGGTATGTTTTCAGAGCTGACTTTGGGGGTTTTCTAGAAAACCTGCTTCCCTACTCATCTCCTTTAAAATATTTTTTAAGACAAAAACTAAACTTGCTACATATAGAATCTGGATGGACCAAAATGTAATTGATCCTCAAATATCCATATACAGAGGATATAGCATTTTTGGTTTGATAATCCATATCATCATTGTATTGCATTAAATCACACTAGGAAAAGTAATCAGAGAATATAATCCTTGGAGGAAGAATCTTGTCATTCTTTACAAACAAAACATCCTTCCGTTCTTTTAAAGTGTGCTTATGAAAATTTGTGCCCTTTCAAACCCATCATGATAACATGAGACATTCTGGACAATCTTTTTTATTTTTTATTTTTTTGCAGGTTTGGCTCTCATTATTTTAGTTTTTGTGTTTCCACATTATTTCAGTTTCTGTGTTTCAGTTCAATGATATGGCTTGAATCAATAACCCATTAAGCAGTCTTCACATGCTTCAAGGTTGAATAATCATGGCTAACACTAGGGGAATATGCCAACAGTTCTTCTGAGCAGACCAGGTTTGGATGACAAATGGAAGACTTCCAGAAAAACCTCCAAGTGAACCCTTCTGGAAGTTTCAATTCTGAGTGCAGCCTCATTGGGAGAGAAGACTTGAGAACAGAGAGCTCAATTTTTCAAGAAACTCTAGGAAAATGTTGGTGAAAAGTACCTGGTTGCTGGAGGAACTATTGCATTATTACAGTAATTAATCTTAAGTGATAATTTGTTCAATCAAGAAAAATAGGTCAGTGACTCTTGGGCTGTAGGCAGATCACAGGAACTATCTTCTCTAACAATCTTCTCTCTTGGAAGACTGTCCTTAAAATTAAAGTCTCAATGTGTTCCACAGTTTATGACATGGATAATTCTTGATGTCTTATAACCTTTGATTTAATAAAGAAATAAAGATATCCAATCAAATCTTTGATTTAGGAACAGAATCTGTTTAGAAAAACATATGTGGTGTCTTGGCAAAAATACTTGAAGACAATTAACATTAAAATGTGAAGGGAGAGAAAAATTTTGTGCGAACAGAATGTTGCTCATTCCAAACCAGTGTGAACTTCTGATGGCCCCCTTAAGACTCCTTGGGCTTTTCAGACATCTTTTTTTAATATACTGGAAGTAACTTCAGCACTTTCTGATGGAGCCAGATCCTGGAATCAGAATATCCTTTCCTGCCTATTTGCAAACTGCTTTTAGTAGTTACTCAACAACTAATGGAATTTGACACTCGAAGAAAAACCTGCAGTCCTCTGATTTGTACATAATCCTCTTTCTTGTTTGTGATGCCATTGTGATATTTCTTCATACCCTCTATGTTAGAAATGGCCCCTTGTCATGAATGTGCCACCCTCAGTTCCAGCTCAGTAGTCATGCAATTTGTGTTCACTTCTTTTTGTTTCCTTCCTTAGCTTCAGCGTGGCTGTAGCATGCTGGGTTGTGCTTCCCCTCTTTCTTTCCCCCCTCTATCCCAAATCCACCCTAGTACTCCTTCCACTCCAACATCAGTGTTATCTTCGCCTCTTTCTCCTTCCTACCTTCGGACTGCCCCTGAAGAAACCTTTGGCGAAAAGCTTTCCAAAGCCTTGGAGAGTGTCCTGCCCATGCACACTGCCTCTCCACGCAGCCATCGGCGTTCCAGCCTGCCTGCCCTATTTGTCAACCCTGTATGTCACTTTATTCCTCCTGGTGCATTGAAGATAAGTGACCGCTAAATACATCCTGGCTTCATTATTGGTATTAGTTAAGAGAAAAGTGGAACTGTGTTTGACCTGTGCTACTGAAAAGCTGATTCTTGTTTTTTAAAAACCTACAAAGTTAAGTCTTCTGCAACAAAAACAAAAGCCTGAATCCAAGTGGTCATGTGCATGCACGGGAAAATGTGGAAGGCATTTGGCATGTACATGGCACCTTGTCAGCATGCTACCCTTACCTATGGCAGCATTAATATTTTCTGTTATATACAGTATGTAGAAGTAGCCAGCAGGATTCTCCTCCAAAAGTCTGGCATTCCACGTTTAAGACTCATGGTTATTATTTGGTGTGATCTTTCACGAACTATTGGGTTGTAGTCCATATAAGCTGAAAGTTGTCACGAGACTTTCTGCAAATTGGTATCTGAAATTGGGGGTGGGGGAGTTAGCAGGACAGGTAAGGAAGTAATCGACAAAATAGTCCTCATTTTATATATTCAGATAACCTGGTTTCATTCTAGACATCAGCTAGTAGTTCTTCAGATAGTGCTTATAAACAATAGCTGTTTGTGGTCACATCACAGATAATCATAGCTGTGTGCCTATATGGAAGTGTCTGCTGCATGCTTTAAGGTAATAAGTTTCTAGCCTGGAGCAATAGAGAGAAAGGTTCTTTATATGTAGGCAGTGTAGGTCAGATGCAAAAATGGCTGGAAGCCTCCTTCTGTCTTCTGGATGACTCTTCACTGCCATTTCCTCCACTTTCTACACAAAGTTTGCCTGGTTTGCAGAGCTGTGGTTTATTTAATTTATCCTTTTTAGCAGAAGTAACACTTAGGACGTGGTGGCACTGCAGGCTAAACCGCAGAAGCCTGTGCTGCAGGGTAGGAGACCAGCAGTCGTAAGATCGAATCCACGCAACGGAGTGAGCTCCCATTGCTTTGTCCCAGCATCTCACCAGCCTAGCAGTTCAAAATCATGTAAATGCGAGTAGATAAATAGGTACCACCTTGGTGGGAAGGTAAAACGGCGTTCCCTAGTCACACTGGCCATGTGACAACGGAAACTGTCTTCGGACAAGCGCTGGCTCTATGGCTTGAAAACGTGATGAGCACTGCCCCCTAGAGTCAGACACGACTGGACAAAAAATGTCAAGGGGAACCTTTACCTTTAACACTTAGTTTGGCTATAACATATTAATAATTCAGAACATCAGTGATAGCTGGTTTGTACTGGAAAATATCAAAATTCGTGCAATAGTCTTACTCTCACTTGAGGATAGTGGCTTTCCTATTACAGTGGTGCCTCGCTTAATGGGCGCCCCGTTTAACGATGAAATCGCATAGCGACGAAGATTTTGCGATCGCATTGCGATGTTTTAAATAGGGAAAAATCATTTTGCAATGATTGGTACCCTGTTTCGCTTTCCGATCATCGCAAAGTGATGATTTTTAACAGCTGATCAGCGGTTCCAAAATGGCCGCCGGGTAAAAAAAATGGCCGCCCGCTGTTTTCTGGGACAGATTCCTCGCTTACCGGGCACAGAAAATGGCCGCTGTATGGAGGATTTTCGTTTAAAGGTGAGTCTGAAGCCCATAGAAACACATATAAGGGGTTTCAATGCATTCCTATGGGCTTTTTAAAATCGCATAGCGACGAAATCGCTTTGCAGCGATTTTTGCTGCACCGATTATCGTCCCTATGCAAGGCACCACTGTATTGTAATTTGTGTGTTTTGACTGCAGGATAGTCCATTACAGTAGGAGAGAAAGTTGAAATCACTTTCCTATAGCACAGAAGAACATTACCTGTTCATAAAGTGAACTCTTTACTGTTACTGTGTCATATGAAAATTTGCTGCTGCTTTTCCAGAATATAAATTAAATCTTTTATGTAGTGAACTTAAAGAATTGCAGGTTTGAAGAGTGAACATTAACATAAACATTTTACAGGAGTAGTGTAGCTTATCCCACTAGTATTTAACAGACTTTTATATACAGTATGAAGTAGGGGATTGGAAAGTCACTTTATAATACATTAACCTGCACACCTAACAGATGGCATCTATTTGTAATGAGCAGAACCCCTTTTCTACTTTAGTCAACAGACTCCCTAAGAAGCTGAAGGTCTTACTTTCAGATTCAAAACAGCATATCTTTCTTGCTAGGCAGTTGCCAGGGATTAGGTTGCAAAAATATAGTCAGTACTTAAAAATTACTGTGTTTTAATAATGGAAGGCATTCAACAAAATTGCTTATAGAACTATATGGGAGGTAGATGGAAAAGCAGCTTTGAACAAATGCAAATATTCCTATGCACACCACTGTTTGCCATGGATGTATTTAATGGAAATGTACATATAACACTTCAAAGCATTTTGTATCTGTTGGCCATGAACTAGGCCTAGCCATTCTATAAGATTACTAACGATTGAGCTGCCTATTGAGCTGAACATGCTGATATGCTTCTATAATGTGTGAATTACTTGTCTTGTTCATGTCAATACAGCCTCAGTCCATGGTGCATCCGTGTGGGGGAACCTCAACGTTCCCAGATTCCCAGGTATTTTTTCCAACCGTTCATGAACGGCCAGTGTCTTTCTCGCCACCACCCATCGGCCCTTTGAGAGTGGCCATTTCTCAGCGGCGCAAGAGCACCTCCATCCTTGAAGCCCAAACCAGCCACTTCCAGCCCTTGCTCAAGACTGGACAGAGCCTACTACTTCCTGGTAGTAGTCCAACAGGCTGGACACCAGAGACACTGGTGACAAAGAGCACAACAGCTCATATATCTGCTGCGCAGCATACACAGGCTAATCTTGCTTTTGAGGCAGCTCAAGTGTTGAGTGATTACAGACCTGGACAAGCAGTTTCAATGGATGCTACAAACTTATTGCCTCAAGAAGCAGTGTATTTAGTGGGTGTGCACTACCAACCCCAGTTCTCAGATGGCTGTGATACAGTATTGCATGAATCCCTTGGGACTGAGCAACACTCATTGCAGGATCCAGAACAAAGAAATATACAAGTTGGCCCTCTTCAGAGTTCAACTTATGAGTATCAAACAGGGCAGGCTTTTCTGGCAAGACAAATTCAGAACTTGAGGCTGGATTCTGGAATGAATCCACTTTCACCATTGTCTAGCATGTCTGCCCCTTTGAGTGCAGATGCCACACATATTAATTTTCAACCAGTATTTGTTCCACATTCAGCACCTGCTGTACTCACTCGTGGTGGGGATGGCCAAACAAGTTGTGTGTTTGAGTTCCATGTTCAAACATCAACTGTAACTCCAGCAGAAGGTACAGTCTTGTCTCAGCTTGTTTATAGAAATCGTCGAGGATCCACAGATTTTAATCAGGAGGAGTCTTCTCAAACAACTTTACAGCCTGTCCGTCTGCAGCCTGTAACAGAGGAACAATGTCACTACTTGGGTCCTGAGCTCATAATTCCTAGGAGCATTTCTGTTCTGCCAAGCTGGCCAGAAGGTAGTCCAGGATTCTCCAGTGACTCATCACACATGACATCCTCAGACACGAGTGAATTTCAATCTCCCCCTCCCAGTGGGGCATCTACATTGCATGGTTCAGACCTGTCTCAGCCTGCTACCCACTTGGTTCAGAATGTATTTCAGGATTCACAGATGTTCATCCACCTCCCACAGGGAACTTCATCTCAACAGGCATTCCCAACAGTGGTTTCATCTGGATCATCTACAGTCTATCCTCAGGTTATAGGAATAAGTGCTTGGATTTTTAGTTTCCCCTTGACACCCTAGTGCAGTGTCTCCTTATCTTCCTTATGTTGTTCTGGCCTTTCCTTAATCCACTCCCTAAATTATTCTGGTATTGGAGACTGAAATTCTGTGTTCCTACAAATGTGTTAGCGGAAATCTTTCGGTGTATCCAGTATAGGTAGTATCTGTTGGTAGTTCACATACCCTTGACATGTGGGGTTATTTCATGTGGTAGGTAATACTACTCCTTGAAAGGTGGTGAAAAATGTTCTTTTTACTTATCTGATGCTCACTTTGGATGCTCAGGTAAGTGAAAATCAGGGTCTGTTCTCACGGATTGAAGATGTTTAAATTGGATGAAATATTACCATTCTTTGCTAACTAAAAAAAAACCAACCCACTGATTCCCCAGCCCACCTCCCATTTGTATTAGGGTAAATTATTCAACCTTATCACCGTGGAATTGCAAACCTAAACTTTGATATTTTTCTTCATGTATGTTTAATTTTCTGTTATGTACTTAAATAAAGCCCAGCAAATGATGCACATTTCATTGTGATGGGAATGACTCTGCAAAGATCATTGCCATTTCAGTTTTTTTATATCCCTCTAAAAAAATCATATACATCAAAATCAGATGTTATTGGCTGCAAACCATTTTAGCTTTGGTGTTCTGGGCATTTTTCTGAATCAAACTGATCCTTCTGGCAGCCTGGAGACATTTAAATTTTGGATTTCATTATTTGTTGTGGGTTTGTTTCTCATGCCACTGAATTCTGGCATAGATTTTTCTAGAAAATAGAGGTACTTGATATAGTATACCTTTGTTCTCTCTTCTAAAGAGTGTCTTCAGTGAACTAAGCTACAGCCTTTATTTCTTCTTGCTATAGGAGAGCACGATGTAAAGTCTTTGAGAAACTGGAAGAGATTAGTCATATCAGTCATGTGACTCATGGAGGAGTTAGATGCACACAAGTCTCTGATACTAGTTGTCAAAAAATTTCCTGAAGTATGCGTTGCAATGATGGTACTTCATATCTATTGTTCTAATTCCATGTAAATCATCTTGATTCAGGTGTTGCCGTCCAGTAGAGAACTTGGTAAATAGTCTAATTTTGTCTGTATCTATTTTTTATGCACAGATTCAAGGTCAGCCATCCTCAAATGGTTCCTCATCCCAGCTTTTGCAACAGAGTCAGCAGGTAATAATAAACAAATGGTTTCCATATTTTTTGCAGACTAGGATATTCAGAATAGTATATTTTAGAATGGTTCGGAGCTTATCTTTTATTTACACTTTAGATGGGAAAAATAGTTCATGGTTAAGGTTAATGGATATTGAAATGAATTTGATAATCATAAAACAGTCATGCATTGTATTTTCACACATCTTTTCATTGTCATTGGGTGTGGTTTGTATCTGTTTATCTCCCTCCCACTCCTGATGACGATCAGAATAGTTAACTAGAAATCACTCCCATGCCTGGGCTTTTGTTGTGAGAAGCTGTGCAAATGGGTTCAGATTCCCCTGCCTTCATTTGCAAGGAAATTGGAACTTACGTTTGAGTATGCGTATCATTAGTTTTATGTCAGGAAATAGCACCATTTTAGTATTGCCAAGCAATTCTGCAACAAAACACTGGTGTTAGAAATCAGCAGGAATTGAGGCATACTTGAGACTTGATGAACTATTTCAGTGTTACTGAAGATGCTTTTGCCCAGAGAAAATAATCTGCCTTTTTTTTTCTACAATAGAGTACACAGCAGCCAGCCTCTTCTCAGCAGAGTGGGCAGTACCAAGCTCAGCCATCATCAGTTTCCAGTGGAACTGCTCCATTGCAGCCACTTGCCCAACAAGCACAAGTAATGCCTACACCTCAGGTGGCAGCTGGGTCACAGGTAAACATTGACTTCTGTCCAGACTTCCTGAACTTTGGCAACTAAATCCTCCATCATTTAAGGTAGTGGAATCAAGATGTAGATAAAATTGGAAACACGTTGTCTGGAAAAGTATCATGGTCTACAGTCTAATAAGTATGTTTCTGAAAATAAGTAAAGTGCACCTGATGTGTTTTGTTTTGAGAAAAGATGTGTATAGTAGAGAATCAGCAACTCAGTACCCTAATATCAAGTGCTCCTCAGAATGGCCCTGAGCTTTTTTCTTCAGCTTTCTTTTTGACTCTTTTTTCCTGGCTCTGAATAGAACCTGTACGTGTGATGTTGTAAAACTATGAGTTTGGAAATGCTACATTCTATGGGAATTTTGCTTCTAATCCCTTTCCTTGGTTTTTTTTTCTTGTTCTGCTTTATGGCACTAACTAGAACCTATTATCTCTATGCTGGTGGAGTGGCTTTTATAGTCTTCATAATCTGGCTCTAGTCCCCAAAGGAGCAGATGTAGACTGTGAGTGCCTCACATCTTCCCCTGATTGTAGCAAAAAGGAACAGTCAACTTCATCAAAAGTCCCCTTCTTCCTATACTGATGACTCACAGACTTTATATTTCTATCATGATATTCTTATTAGTCATGGTTCCCAAATGTAGAAGAGATATGGAGTAGAAAAGCTTATGGGACAAACTACCTGGCCACTCTACCAAGTATATTTCTTCTCTTTTTCTGTTAATTGTAATATAAATATTTCTTGTACTAATGCAGTTATAGACAACCTACCATCTTCCATAATGCCGGAAACACAGCTCTCAGAACTCTTCACCGCTGTCCTTAACAGTTGGGGTTATGAGAGTTGTAGTGCAAGACACTGGAAGGGCACTAGGTTGTCTGCCATTGAATTAATTCATTAAAAGCCTGCTTCCTGCAACCTTGCTTCCTAAACATCTATCATCTATGTCTATTTTTCCCCAGCTTCCTGTTTCTCAACCAGTGCCGATCATCCAAGGTGAACCACAGTTACCTATGGCTGCACCTTCCCTTCCTCAGCCTTCAGTTGCCCCAGTCATACCTGTTGGCTCTCATTTTCTTCCAATGGGACAGCCCTTACAAGCACCCCTTCTTCCACAGTTCTCAGTCTCTCCAATGCCCATTGCAGCACCTCATGTGTCAGTGGCACAACCTTGCTTCCCATCTGTACCTGTCTCTATGGCAGCTGGCATTAATCAGCCATTGCATACTCTGGCCCCATCTGCTACTGCAGCTGCTATCCCTGTGGGTTCAACTGTTGTTCCTAGCCACCTTCCAACTCTCCTGCAGCCTGTGGCTCAGCTGTCCAGCCAAGTGCTCCCACAGCTTCTGCAGCCAGCTGTTCAGTCCATGGGATTGCCAGCAACTCTGGGACAAACTGCTGAAACACCACTTCCAGCCACAGATGCTCTGTACCAGGTATTATGGCAATCAAACAAAATTGCCCCTCTCCAATCCCATTTGTTTCTGTAGTGCTTTAAAACTGCTGAGTGTCCTGAGCAAAGTCATTTGCAGGCTTTTCTTGGAGAGAGAACTAATAGGCCAGGTGGGTTTGCAACGTACAAGGGAAAATTCTGGCTTAAAACTGAATTTGTGACTAGTAATTGCTCTTATGAGGGCATTGGTATATTCAGTGGAAGAGCAGCAACTAGGATGTAGAGAGCTGTCAGTGCATAATGGGTAGAGTAATAGACGATAATGGTAAAATCTCTAAATTATGAACTTCTACTTGAATTTAAAGACCATTATCTAGCAGTTCAGTTGAAAAACACAGACTATGAGATCTGCAGGTTCTAAAGATGATACTTCAGAATTTGGCCAGACATGTTTTAAGCTTTTGACTGCCAGAATATAAATGTTCAGTTGGCACACAATGCAAACTGGCTAATAAGAGAAACAGAAGCCATTTCATTTTCTTATGTCCTTTGCAGTTCACAATGTGAATATCAAAGTGTTCTCTAAATTGGAACATGGCGAATGCTTTTCATTTGCCATGTGTATCGCAGTACTTCTACGTTTCAAATATTTGACCGCTTTTGAAAAAAGAAATGGAAAGGGTCCTTCATGCAGGTGTACTGCTCTTTGACTTGAACTGTCATGCAGTTTTTTAAAGACTTTCCAACTCAGCTTCCTTAGTAGTTAAGGAAGATGGGGATATGCTTGTTATATTGTAGATCTTTGTTAGCTGTGTGGCACACTGTTGCCCCAGACCACATGATTACTTCATAGATAAAGTTGGCCGGGGGTACTCTTCTCATGAAGTACTGAAATAAATCTAAATCGTTCACTGGGTGAAAAGTTCTTTACAGCTTGGCTTGCAGTTTCTACTCTCCTATCTATTTCATACTGATTCTCCCAAATTATCTTAAAATGTGGTAACTTGACATCCTGATTTGTCGCAGGGCTTCTCACCTCGGCTACCAGCGCAGTATACTGCAGACAAAAATATTGCTTCCTCTTCTGTGGCCTCTGCTTGCCTCCCTTCTGCAGTACTATCCCCTCCTTTAACTACAGATGCATTGACTCAGCCAGGCTATATTACTTCGATGGTGCAGCCTTATGTGGAGCAGAATGTTTTAGTTTCTTTGGGCGGTCTAGGAGCACAGGTCCAAATACCACAGCCTGCTTCCTGCTTAGCACAGCAGGTCTCATCTGCATCTTCGCAGCAGACAGCATTAGAGGTAATTGGATTATCTGCGTGTTGTAGTATGTGTTTCAAAAAAGTGAATGTCAGGGCATGAATTCTGAATCCACCCTCATTTTTAAATCATGCTAAAAAATTTCTGCTAATCTTAAAAACAAAATTTCTCTTACAGCAGAATGTGATGCCAATGTGGAGACCTTATTGCCCCTGGCTGTGCTGTTGGGAAGTGAGTGGGCCTCCCAAATGCAAAACATGTACTAGCACTTCTCTTCTGGCTAGTAATGCCAATCCCTATAATAAAGACATGCTACTCTTAGTAGTCACTGGAAAAATCTTTCCTCAAAGCAGTTTCCTGTGGCTCTGCTATTGCTGGCAGGGATTTGTACAGTTTTTCACTCTGCATTGGCTTTTCTATTGCACATTCTGCTAGTAAGATTTTTGGTTGCATGGCAAGCTATAGTGTCACATTCATCTAGCAGATGTTTCAAATTTGCATGATAACCCTTTGCGGGGTTAAATATTTGGACTGTTCAGATGCTTTAAAATTATCTAGAAAGTGCTTTTCAGCTTCTAGTTATTAAGGCGAGTAGACAGTGTGGTGAGATTGTAAAAAGAGCTCCTTTAATAAGATGCTTGAAGGAGAGTTTTGTCTTTGCAGAGTACCTCTGGAATCCCTCAAACAGCACCTCCAGAACCTCAAACAGCAGTACAGCAACAGCCTTCGCAATCAACCCCCTTGGTTTCCTCAATAGACAGGTAAATAGTGAATGAATACATTGAACTTGTATATTTGGAGTGACAGTGAAGTTGACTGTCCTCCCACATCCTGTTCTTATTTGAGGCTATTCTGTATTTGTCTCTGTGCATAAGCTGAAAGGGAGTCCTTATCTCAGATTACAGTTAGTGCTCTCATACATGCACAGCAAGTATTAGTCTGGTACAATGGAATGCTTGTGTAATGTGCTGACCATAATATACCTTATCTGTTGCAAAATCTTAAAAAAGCAAAACAAAACACCAAAACCCATAGAATATGTCTTTACAGTAAATTCCTCAAGAAATGAGGCTAACTTAAAGCAAGTAATATCATATTACTGGTAAGAGGCACTTTGTTATGGTTGTGCCAACCAATTTGTTATATATTTCATTGCTGTAGATAAATTTGTGCTTTTAGCAGGGCACGGTGATAGATTTCTCACACATTTGCTGATGGTACTTGCTGAGAGGTATTAGAAGAGAAATACATTTTACAGCTAACAGAAAAAATACTGCTGATTGTAGCCACTGGCTTTTTTTAGTGCACATTCAGATGTTGCTTCAGGCTTAAGTGACGGTAATGAGAGTGTCCCAGCATCTAGCGGCAGACATGAAGGGAGGACTACAAGACGGCATAATCGGAGGTCAGTGCGGAGCCGCTCACGTCATGAGAAGACTTCACGTCCAAAACTGAGGATTCTTAATGTGAGTTACTAAGTTTGGTGTTGCTGTATTTGAAAACGGCCTTTAAACAGAGTTGGGTTAGTTCAGATGTAATGCTAAATTCTTTAATGAGCCTCGTGACACAGTTGTTAAACTGCAGTACTGCAGCCAAAGCTCTGCTCATGACCTAGGTTCAATCTCAAGTAGCTGGCTTGCGATTGACTCAGGCTCCCATTTTTCTGAGGTCGGCAAATTGAGTACCCAGCTCACTGGGAGGCACTATGTAGGCTGCATAATTAAATTGTAAACACCCAGAGAGTGCTTTAAGTGCTGTGGGGCAGTATATAAACAGCACACTTTGCTTTAATGATTCAGTATTCAACCATAGGGAACCCAAGGTTTTTATATCTTCTGGCCCTCTGCTGAGGCTGCAGGTAAGAGTTGGGAAGGTTTTGCTTCTGTTCAAATGTAAATAGGCAGTGCACAACTCTCTTGGTCCCAGAGGGCTGTATCTAGCTGCTGATAAGGGAACAGGGCCGGAAGCATCTATGTATTGAGAGAGAGAGAGAGAGAGAGAGAGAGAGAGAGAGAGAGACACACACACACACACACACAGAGAGAGAGAGAGAGAGAGAGAGAGAGAGTGTGTTATCTCTCTTTTTGCTGGAATCTAGGATTGCTTGGCAAAGTGAAGGCAGAAGGTGAGAATATTTCTCATTCCACTGTGATCTCCACTGAGATTACAATTTTCCTAGTAATGGCATAAGAACATGACTGTTCAGTGAGTTGGAGTGTTTTTCCTGTAGACGTGTTGAAAAAAGGAAGGGTGGCATCCTTCCAGTGTCAGGTGCACAAACAGAGTAACTGATGGGTGCATGTGACCCCACAGGTCATACACCTATTTTAGATTAGTTGTGTTGTCTAGTTTATAGTTTGTTATATATTTTTTAAGGTGTAGTTAGTTGAAACAAACAAGCAAAACAATATGCATTGTGTCATGAAATGCAAATTGTGCTGTCTTCAGTTCCTCTCATCAGTGCTAGAGAGGGCCGTTGCTGCTCCGGTTACTTTCTGGAGCCTGACTCCAAGTGCTTTTTGCTGAGATTTCTGCTCTTTAGTTCTTCAAGCATTGTTGGTGTGCTATCCTGGAAGGGCTATGCTGCTAGGAAAGGTTTGGTGGAGGTGGTGGCTCCTCTTTCTTTTCAAGTGTCAAGAAAGTTTGTTTTAAATTAGTCTTAAATTCTAACACTAGCTCACATTTGAATAGATTGTTTTTAAAAGCCATTTCTAGAACTGTGAGAATCTGCTGGCATTCCACTTCTGTTTTAAAACCAAGACATATCTATGTTATAATAAATTCTCTGATAATACAGTGATGCCTCGCAAAATGAATGCCTCGTGCAACGAAAAACGTGCAAGACGAAAGCATTTTGTGATTTTTTGGTGACTCGCAAGACAAATTTCTCTATGGCCGTGCTTCGCAAGGTGAATAGGAACACATTAATTAAATTTCAGTGCATTCCTATGGGAAACCGCGCTTTGCAAGATGAAATTTTCACAATACAAAACAACTCGCGGAACGAATTATTTTCGTCTTGCGAGGCATCACTGTATCAGAGAATATCACATTAAAGGCAGAATCCTGAATTTATCCTCCTCTTTTAGCCTGTTTATAGTCCTCATGGTTTTGGAGAAAAGCATTGCACATTCTGGGACAGTGTTTTAAAGTTCTGTCAAGGAGACATATCTACTTTTCAGACATGTGACATGCAGTATCTGGGCCACAAATACATATACGTATGGTGTGGGGATGGGAGGGGAATTACATGGCATTTGAAACAGAACACAACTGAAATCCAATAGTAGATTGCAACTAGAGTAGACCCATTGAATCAGTGGCAATTTGGTTACTCCTTGGTAGGTCCCATTGAATCAGTGGACCTTCTCTAGTGACTTACCACTGGATTTTAGCCAGCGACATCTAGCAATGAGCATGCAAGGTGACAATGGCATGGTTAACACACATCTTGGTAGGCCTTTCAGTAGATGCATGCAGATGACTTACGTAGTTTGCATAATTTTTTTCCTTATTGATGTCCTGTTATTTTTAGGTTATTTGTCTCTGTACTGCCACCATCTTTTGTATCAGCTTCTTTTTGTATATAGCTAGTATAGGATTCTAATTTGATGTTCGTTACTGAATTTTATTTTATGTCCATATTGCTTTGTTGTAAGCTGCCCAGAGTAATAGCTTGGCCACTAGATGGGTGGGTTAAAATTTAAAAATAAATAAATTGATTTGGATGAGATTTCCTCGAAGAAATATGTTCTCTTAAGGTTGGGATTTTAGCAGAAAGCTGCTTTTCTCTACGATCATACATAATCAAAAGATTTTTGCTAAGCCTGTCCTCAGTACAATGTATTACTTCCTCAAAACTATGTGATTTGCTGCTGCGTGTTACTGAAACAGTCTAACATGGCTGCCTCTTTGATAAGTTAATTTAAAATTACTATTATTTTCCTCTATTTTGCTTTTCATATTGAAGATCAAAATTCTGTGTTCCAGGTTTCAAATAAAGGTGATCGGGTTGTAGAATGTCAGCTAGAGACACATAATAGAAAAATGGTTACTTTCAAGTTTGACCTGGATGGTGACAACCCAGAAGAAATAGCTTCTATTATGGTAAGCAATTCAGCTGAAAACAAGATTATGTGTTAATCTTAGCAACCTGCCCTTTTCAATTGCTGTTCTGAAGAGTTTGCCTTTTCTGGATACTTGATTTAATGTTATTTGCAATATCAAAATGTCCCAAGTTTCCATTTTTAGTTGGAACTTTGTTACCAAACAGCTGAAGACAGGGATCAAGGTTTATCTCGTAACTGCAATCGTTAAATCCTTGCACATAACAGATAACAGGCTAGCCAGTTACACAATGCATAACCTTTTGGGGGTACACTGTACCTCTTTGGATTTGAAAATAAGAATTTATTTTCATAAATGTTATGCAGACAAGGGAATGTGAAGTGCTGAGAATGATAGTAAGTAACATAGTTGAGGACCAGGGAACTCAGTAAACACTAAGGATATACTGTAGATACCTACAGTTTCTTCAGATTCCTCTGGTGGTCAGATGGCTCCTTGCTTTCTTGCCAGTCACATTTAACAGGTAGTTAGATGGAAAATTTCCTTCTGCATCACTTGATTTCTTACATCTCCAGTTCATCTAGATTTGAAAGTTACTCTTTTTAGGCAGTACATGTTGCTGTCTTGGTACTTTTCTGCAGTCTTGTAGTTAAAATAATTTTATTTCTTCATGCAGGTACAAAATGAATTCATCTTGGCTACAGAGAGAGATTCGTTTGTTGAGCAAGTGCGAGACATTATAGAAAAAGCAGATGAAATGCTTGGTGAAGATGCTAGTGGAGAACCAGAAGGTGATCAAAGCATAGGCATTGTGCAGAGCCAGGTGAGGAAACTTAAAAAAACAAACCAGTACTGGTACCTAAAAGTCTCTATGCAAAACTTATCTGTTTCCTGTGACTAAGTGCATTCTCCTTTATGTTGCTTTTTCTTTTTTCAAGCAGTCTTTCCAAAAAATACCTACCATCTCATGCTGAATGTTAATAAAACTATATATTCTGGAAATACTCAAAGATAAAAATGCAACACAGACAGACTGGGGCAAGCTGGTAAAGAGAGGAAACTAACAATAAAAGCTTACAGCCCAGTTAATAGATTGGGAAAAGGAACAGAAAGACTCTCTTTACCAGCTTGCCCCTGTCTGTGTTGCATTTTTATCTTTGAGTACTGTACTTCCAGAATCTGGCTTCTTTGCTGTTTGGTAGGGTAGTACCAGTGGGAGATTTTGTACTTCAGGTTTAGTTATATCCAGTCTTTTTCCTTTTTGACCTTCATCTCCTCATTATTGATATGCTTTATTTCTGAAAAAAATTTCTTGTTTTCATCCCATTGATTCACTTGCTCTTATGTTTTGTTTCTAAGTTTCTTTTTAATTTATATTACTTCAGTTTCATTTTGTTTTTCCTTCCCTCTAATGTATAAATCTTTGATACTTCCTCACTTTGTTTCTTTTCCCCTCTTCTCTTTGATCATTTCATTGCTTTCTAGCAGTTTTAAATATTCTTTCACTCTCATTTTTTCTTTTATAATAATGACTTACCTATAAAGCTCTTAGATTTTAAAAGCTGTTTAAAATATGTTCTATTGATATGCATTCATATGCTGCGTCTGCCAAAAACGCTGAAGGATACATCATTACTTTTTAATATATATTAGGGTAAGGTGAGTTCAGAATGTCTGGGAGGCATTTCCCACCACTGCTGTGGGTTGCACCACTTTTATCTGGCAAAACCTTCTGGTTTCCAGAAAATGCTTTCTATGGACAAAACAAAGTGGAGAAGAGGTTGTTTTTATAGGTGCATTACAAACTCTGGAGGCACAAATCTTCATTTTTATACTTTATTTATGTGCCCAAAATGTTTTTTCTGTGGCATTCTGTGAGCAGGAGGTCACTCCAATGGTTTGAAAGGACTGCATGCACTCTGTGGACTGTGTAAGCACCACTCTTGCTTTATATGAATACTTGTATTCTACCTTTGTAGACAGGGTCTTCAAGGCTGCTGTCATAATAAATTAAAAATAATAACTTTATCAGACTTAGTCCAACAAATATACAAGAGCAGTACCCAATAATTCATATACACAACAATTAAAATAAAATATGCCAGCAGCATAACAAGGCAATAAACATGATTTTAATTCATGGCATTTAGAATTTAGGAAGTAAACATGTTGTAAAAGATGCGTTTCTAAACTCTTGAAAGTTGAAGTTATACAGTCTTTCATAGGAAAAGCCTGGGGAATCACCTCTGAAAATCCCTTATATCTTGTGCCTGGTAGGCATATTGATTTTGTATGAAAATGTATGAAACCTTCTGAGACACATCTTAATGCTTCAATAGATTTCTGTAGGTGGTCTGTCAAGTAATCAGAACCTATACAGTAAACGAAATCACATCTCAAAGCTTTGATTATAAAAGTGTAAATAATAGAATTTATCAGAGAATATGTGTGGCTCTCTATATGATGTTGTAGTACACATCCCATCAGCTGTAGCGAGCTTAGCCACTGGTGAGGAATGCCTAGAGTTGAAGTCCAAACAACATCTAGAAGGCTGCACTTTTTCTACCCTTGCCTTAAATGAACATGATAAATATATTAACATGACATTTTAGCATAATAATAGTAGTTTTACAGCTGCAATACAGCGATATCTGCAAGCGGGATCTGAAGGCCTTAGGAATTGACCTCAACAGATAGGAAACCTTGATGTCTGAGCGTTCAGCCGGGAGGCAGGCGGTGCAGCATGGCCGCTCCCAATTTGAAGAGACCCTTGTCCAGCAGGCCGAGGCCAAAAGGCAGTCCCGAAACCAGCGAAATCAGGGAGCTGGACAGGGGACAGATTGTATTTGTCCTCAGTGTGGAAGGAATGGTCACTCTCGAATTGGCCTTCTCAGCCACACTGGACGCTGTTCCAAGTCCTCTATTCAGAGCATGTTACCATGGGTCCCTAATCTAATCTAAGTAGTTTTTCCACTCAAGAGTAACTGAAATTATAGTCATGCAAAATCTAACTAATTTTTAAATAAAACACTTTGTACATTACTGGAAGCTGTCATATAACTCTTACTTCCATAGAAGGGGAGATTCAAAAATGCAGAGGCCTTGTTTTAAGCCCAGCTGGATATTCGCCTCTCTTGCCAACGAAACTGTAAAAACCCTCAGCTTGGCCATACTTCATAGATGGGTGCTCTGAGGCTGCGGGACGTTTGAAGATAAGTCTGAATGTGATTTGGGAAGCTTTTCTAGTCAGCGACACTTGTGGCATGATGTATTGTGGGATGGAAGCCTTGGGGCTATGTTGCACATACAGCATAAGCAGACATGTTAGTGATTGGCTAGAATTGGGATGTAAGGAAATATATTGTTCTTATTTCCCACAATATTCAGTTTTTGGAAGGATGTAAATATATGGAAGAACTGTAGGCATATATATGATGAATTGGAAACATTTTTTAAAGGTAGACTTGGCCAGAATAAGAGAGTTCTCTATCTACTACTATCTGCTAGCATCTGCTGTTTCATTCTAAAGTTCTGCTATGGCAAGTGTTAATGCTCATTGACATCTTTATCCCATACATTAGACTTATGTAGTAAAATAACTGCTTTTATTACAGAAATTGGATGGTGACTTCAAACAGCCAGATCCTGTATCTTCCATGCCACAAAGAATGGGTGAGCAGTACTGAATATCTTGCAAAATGGCATTGTTAGTTAGTGTCTTAGGCAGTGTAAGATTAGTTCAGTAATATCATCATAACAAATTGTGCACAGGTAACCTGTATCTTCCTCAAATTTATTTTAGGTCTTCCTCCTAGTTCGTTAACTCAGGTTGTCCATTCTGCTGGGAGAAGGTTTATTGTCAGCCCTGTACCAGAAAGTAGGTTGCGAGAACAGAAATTTTTTACTTCCATTCCATCAGAAAATGAACTTCTGGATATAGGTGAGTTTACCAGTGTTTTCAGTATATGGTTTGAAGAATTAATTTTAACAGGGCTTTTTTCAGTAGGGGATTTATTGTTTGTTATGCAGCCTCTCTGCACCTCAAAAGACTTAATTTTTCTTCCTATCTTGGCTTTGAAATAATCTTTGAAAGACCTTCTCCAAGTGTCATCCATTAAGGAATGTCTGGTAGGTGGCTGCAGAAGAGAGGGCCATCTTTGTGCTGTGTCTTGGCTGTAGATACACCCTTCCCCTGGACCTATTTTGGTGTCAGTTTGGGCACCAAGGGAAAGACTTTTTTCTTTTCTAAGTTTTTTTTTAAATCTTTTTTTTCCCTGAAATGCTATTTGTCCCTTGTGATGGTTTTTATACTATATCTATGGTTTCGATTGAATGTTATATTTGTTTCAATTTTGGCAGTAAGTTGCCTTGAAAACTTGGTTATAGGGCATCTTACAAAATTTGTAGTCACATAAAGCTAAAATGTGAATTTTCCCTTTTCATTAAATGCCATGATTTGAACCTTTGAATTCAATGTGTTTGAGTGTACAAGGCATCAAAGGTTATGCTGGTGCAGCGCATGTGTTTTCCTAGCCACGACCTGCAGCCATCAGCTTTGCTTGAATGCATTACTTGTTTCTATAGTTTATAGGAGCTGGCCAGCTGTTAAATTTAATTCTCAGGAGCAAATATGTGGTCACATCACTGAAATTGATAGTACCAAATGAGGGGGAGGGGGAAGCAGTAGGTTCCATATCAGACATTTCTCAAACTTGTTGAAGTTTGGTTTCCTTTCGAAAGAGAATAATTTGTGTTTTCATTGCAAAAAAAGAGACCCTCTTAACTTGGCAAGTACTTCCCAATGAGTCAAGCATCCTTTGGTAAGCTGATGGTTGTCTCTCTTCTTTTCAGTTGCTGCCTCTCCATCACATGGTCCTGGGATAAATCTCTCTCACTCTGCTTCATCACTCAGCCTGCAGCAAGCTTTCTCAGAGATCAAGCATGGTCAAATGACAGAAGGACCTAGTACAGCACCCCCAGTTTTCAACCAGGCTGTGCCATCTTTTCCATCTGTAGCTATAAGTGGGAATGAGGGGTTAGTATCAACAGCAGTGACAGCTCCTTCTGCATCACTTCCTTCCTCTGTTGGTATTCCTTTACCAGCAGAGAAGGTGACCAGAGGACTTCCACTGAGTGAAGAATTGTCACGTTCAAACTCTCCACCACCATTGATGCAGTCTGGGTCAGAAGCAATTAGTGGAGTAGCTTCCAGCATCAGTGCACCATCTTCTTTGTCAACAACTTCATCCCAAGTGGTTTCTGCCCTTGGAGAAATTACTTCAAGTAGTAGCACTCCAGCTTCTCTAACACTGCCATATGCTGGTGCAGCAGGACCTAGTGTTACAATAGCAGGAGTTACGACACCATCTGTGACATCTCAGCAGGTGGGTGATGGCAGTTCTGTTCCAACACAATCTCATGCAAGTGTCCCCATGTCATTGGCACAGAGCATAGTTCCCCAGTCTTCTCAGTTGAGCACTAGTTGCTCTATCCCTAGCCTAGCAGAGATGGTGGTTGTTAATGTGCTGCAGCCAAGATCAGAGAGCGAACAATCACCAGAAAAGGCACAGTTAGGCATTACAGGTGAAGTACCCTTGTCACTTTCTGTGTCTTTACCATCTGCAGTAGTATCAAGTATGTCCAGCTCCACCTTGCAATCAGCTGGGTTACAGCCGCTACCCATCCCATCCATAGTTTCTTCATCAGACTTAACTTCAGTGGCAGGTGCCATTTCTACCCCAGTGTTACCTCATATTCCTTTGCCTGGCATTTTGCCCCTGGCACAACCAGTAAGTAATGTGCCTGCAGTCCAGCAGACTTTGATACATAGTCACCCTCAACCAGCTCTATTGCCCAATCAGCCACACACACACTCATTAGAAATAGATGGCGACACTCAGCCTAAAGCACCTGGAATTGATGACATTAAAACTCTGGAGGAAAAGCTGCGATCTCTCTTCAGTGAACATGGTGCTGGAGCAGTTCATCCATCTGTTTCCCTGGATACGTCTCTAGTAATGGAAACCACAGTCATGCCTGGCTTACCAACCACTGCTGTTGCACCCACAAAACCTGTGGCATCTGTTTCAAGTTCCAGTGTACCACCAGCCAGTTTGACACTTGGTCCAACAGGTTTACCTGCTGTTACACCAGTTGCTACACCTGGGCAAGCGGGCACCCCTATCAGCTCTCTGTCAGCAACATGCTGTACTGCATCAGCAACAGCCAAACCAGGGACCCCTCCTTCAAAGGCTCCTCTTAGCAGGGTACCGGTAAGGAAACCATTATTCTTATGTATGTTCAAACATGTTAAATAAGAAAGAAATAACTTGTTTATGCCTCCTTTGCCAGTTGTTGCTCATTTATTGGTTTTATTCAGTAGTTCTGCCTCTAGATGATTATTTGTGAGCCCTTTAAAATTATTGATATTTGCCACATCACATCAAATATGCGCTTTCCCTGTGTTAAAAAAATAAAGAAATAATAGGTAGAAAGTACATAGATGGGTGTTCCTGTTTCCAGATATGTTCTGTGAAGTAGTTAAAGGAAACAAGACACTGCAGCAACTTATTTATTTGTTTGTTTATTCAGTTTATACCCCACCCATCTAGACAGAAGTCTACTCTGGGAGGCTAACGATAAAACATAAAAATAAAAACAATATAATAAAATAGAGGCAACATTAATAATATAAATCAAGATGGCAAAAGTAATTAAATGATGACAGGAGGGAAAGCCTGCCTAAAGAGCCAGGTCTTAAGTTTGCTCTTAAAAAGACCCAGCGAGGGAGCCAGGCAAATCTCTATGGGCAGATTGTTCCAAAGGCGGGGGGAGGGGGCACTGCCAAGAAAGCCCGGTTTCTTGTTCTTTCTCTCCGGGCCTCCCTCGGCATTAGTTCCCTCAGCTGCCCGTCCTGGCTAGAATGAGTGATTCAGGTAGATCTAGGTGGGAGGAGGTGTTCCGCTGGATATCAAGGTCCTAAACCATTTAGGGCTTTTTATGTCACCATTAACACTTTGAAATCACTGCGGAAGCGAACGGGCAGCCAATGCAGGGCAGCTAAAGGAGGGGAAATATGTTTGATATTTTCTCACCCCGATGAGAAGTCTAGCCGCCGCCATCTGCGCTGTTTGAAGCTTCTGCATTAATCTCAAACGTACCCCCACATAGAGCGCATTACAGTAGTCTAATCTTGAGACTACAAGTGCATTGACCAGAGTGGTGAGCGCCCCAACATCAAGATAGGGATGCAGCTGGGCAGTCCGCCATAGATGGAAATAGGCGGAACGGACCACTGACACCACCTGGGTTTCCATGGTAAGCGCCGGATCCAGATGGACCTCCAAGCTGCGAACCTCACTTACTTCCATGTAAGGAAGAGTTTTCAATGCCTGAGGTTGTTTAGTTTAGAAAAACTTGAGGCAGGGCAGCATGGTAAAGATGCATAAAACTGTGTGAGGAAGGTGGGAGAGGTTTCTCTCTGTCTCTCTTGCAATAAGAAAACTCATGATCATCCAGTGATGCTGCATGATAGAAGATTCAGAACAGACAAAGGGAAGTACTCTGCACAGAGCATGTTGGAGTTTGCTGCCACAGTATGGCATACCAGATTGAATAGTTTTAGGTGGTTATATAACAGATTCGTTCAAAATAAGTCTGCCAGTAGTTACTAGTTATGATGACTTTATATATCCTCTAGTATCTGAAGCAGAATGAATCTACATGTTGGCTGAAACCCTGTTTTATAAGCTATGCCACATAGGCTAATGGGCATTGTTAGCAGTAGCAATTTGGGGGGGGGGATAAAGTATTCCTGATATTTCCCTCAAATATTTTGAGGGTCTTGTGGAATCCCTTTCATCATCAGGAAGTCATGGTTGCTGCAGCATCAGAGGGTGTCTTTAATTATCAGAAATTGCCAACAGCAATAAAGCTATCCCGGTGCTGCTGATTTTCAATAATTAAACCCTCCCTCTTTCTCTTGTGGCCCCCCGACTGCTTCATAAAGATGAAAGAGATTCCATAGGAGCCTAAGGGCCTTTGGAGGAGGAGTCAGAATTCTTTATTTCTAGAAACTGCTTCAGCTGATGATATAATCAGCCTTATGCAGCATAACTTACAAAACTGGTTTTCAGCCAACGGATGCTAAGGAAAGTGAAGAGGAGGATAATTTTGCACTCATGTCCTGCTTATGAATTTCCCACGACATCTGGTCTGTCAGTATGGAAAAGAATGTGGAACTAGGATAAGCCTTTGGTTGATCCACTGTGACTTTTCTTACATACTAGTATACATCCTTTAGTAATGATAATGTCTTCAAATGCAAGAGAAAAATGTAGGGGAAATTGTGATAACGTAATAAACTGTGGTAGAAAAGGAGGAGGAGGAAAAGAAAGGAAGGTTGCTGTTGTGTTGTTTAGTCGTTAAGTCATGTGCCACTCTTTGTGACCCCATGGACCAGAGCACACCAGGCCCTCCTGTTTTCCACTGCCTCCCGGAGTTGGGTCAAATTCATGTTGGTAGCTTCAATGACACTGTCCAACCATCTTGACCTTTGTCATCCCCTTCTCCTCTTGCCTTCACACTTTCCCAACATCAGGGTCTTTTTCCAGGGAGATTTCTCATTAGATGGCCAAAGTATTGAAGCCTCAACTTCAGGATCTGTCCTTCCAGTGAGCATTCAGGATTGATTTCCTTCAGAATGGATAGATTTGATCTCCTTGCAGTGCAGAGTCTCCTCCAGCACCACAATTCAAAAGCATCAATTCTTCAGCAGTCAGCCTTCTTTATGGTCCAGCTCTCACTTCCATATATCGCTATTGTAAAAACCATAGCTTTGACTATGCAAACCTTTGTCGGCAAAGTGATGTCTCTGCTTTTTAAGATACTGTCTAAGTTTGTCATCACTTTCCTCCTGAGAATCAGACATCTTTTAATTTCATGGCTCTGTATCAGTGGGGGTGGAGGCCATCCAAATGACATTGGATTCCACTTTTCATATAGCCAGGATGACCAGAGATTATGAATGGTTTAGTCCAGTAAAGTCCCCATCACATATGAAAGTAGATAATTATGAGATTCAGTACTTTCATTTAACAAGAAGGCAGGATTTTGTACTGAATTTTGTATAATTTTGTATTTATGAGGGGTGAGGAAAATAGTTGACTATCATGGACTTTAATTGTTCAGTTCCCTTAAGATGGGAATAGCAAGATTTGTCTGCTAATGTTGCTGCCAAGCTGGTTTACCTTATTTTACATCTTCTGATGTAAGTAACCTGGTTGGTTTTCTCTCTTGCATTTACATGTGCCAGCTTGTTTTAACCGAACAACTACTAGGCTTTTATGGTTGTAGTTTTAGAGGAGATGGCTGTGGTAATCTATGCAAGCATATCAGGCAAAATCCAAAGAAACAGAACAACAAGACAAGACAAAAACTAGTGGCACCTTAAAACCTGTTATTCTTCTTCGTAGTCTCTGTGAATGCACACTAATGGGTTTAATCTGCGCTTGCGCAGAGGTCTCCGGAATGTTCTAAAGCTTCTTTGCTACGTTTGTGAAGGACCAATCGTGGACCTAAGAACCTTGAATACTTACCTTCATCCTCGTCGATTCCGCATGGTAACTTTGGAATCCATCATTCATCTCCTGAAACGAAAAGATTGGTTTGTGGTCATCAGCCTAAAAGACGCATAACAATTCATCCCACTCACCACAAGTTCCTCAGGTTGGTCTTCCAAAATGTCATTTATCAGTTCCTGGCCCTCCCGTTCAGCCTCGCGACGGCCCCTCAGACATTTACCAAGTGCATGGCACCTGTCGCGGCTTACCTCAGGCTACACGGTGTCCATGTGTTTCCCTATATCGACAACTGGCTAGAGGTCTCGCCATCCAGACGCAGGGCCCTGAAAGACACAAAGTTCATTTTGCATTTACTTCGAAACCTGAGTCTCACAATAAATTACAAAAAATCTCATCTTATCCCCTCACGTATTGTGAATTACATCGGTGCTACAATAGATGCCACCAAAGGTCACATCTTTCTTCCACAAGAACGGATCCACAAGATCTTGAAAGCTGTGAAGAAATTCAAACCAAGAGCTACAGTCATTGCATTGCATGCTCAGCATCTGCTGGGTCTTATGGCTTCGACAACACCAGGATTAGCTCATGCCCGACTCAAGCTCAGGTCGTTACAAGTTTGGCTTCTGTCGCTCTTCGACCCACTCCGGCATCATCAGAGCAAGCGTCTTCAAATCACACCGGAACTGGCAAGACAACTACAATGGTGGCCGTTTGTTCCACATCTACAAGTAGGGCGTCCCTTCCAACCTCTACAACTAACTGTCCAAGTCACCACGGACGCAAGCCCAACAGGTTGGGGGACGCATTGCGGCCGTCATCGGGTACATGCCCGGTGGTCACCCCAAGAACAGACCCTCCATATCAACCACCTGGAGATTCTAGCTGTCATCAAGGCGCTCAAAGCCTTCCCCCCCAGTACATGGTCGTGGTGTACAAATAGTCATGGACAATACCACGACCATGTACTATATAAACAAGCAAGGGGAACTCATTCTCACTCACTTCTGTTCCTAACGGTAACACTGTTCCTAACGGTAACACCACCATCACATTTTCCCGGTGGCCGTACATGTATCAACAGAGGACAATGCTCTGGCCGACGAGTTGAGCCGCCGCACAGTACAGATGCACAAGTGGGAGCTCAACATTGACGTCTTTCGAGATTTGTGCCACTGCTGGGGCACACCTCATGTGGACATTTTTGCCAGCCAAACCAACAAGAAATGCCCTCTCTACACCTCCAGGGCGGGTCAGGGACAAGGTTCATTGGGGGACGCTTTCATGATACCATGGACTATGGGACTCCTTTACCTGTTCCCTCCCTTTCCCCTAGTACAGAGGACGTTAGTTAAACTCCGCCAGGAGTTGCCACAGGCAATTCTGATAGCACCCCTTTGGCCTCGTCAGTTGTGGTTTCCAACCCTGGCGTCGATGACAACAGACTCTGTCAAACTTCCACCCTTTCCTGCCCTACTCACTCAGGATGCAGGCAAGATCTTCCAGACCCTTCATCTCGCTGCGTGGAAGATATCCCCAAGATTAAGGAAGTTTTAGACAAATCTAAAAAGGACTCCCCTTCTCCGCTTTATGGGTACAAGTGGAAAAGTTTCCTCAAGTTCACTGAGGCCAGAGGTCTCACGTTGTCCCCAGTTACCCTCTCTACGTTGTTACAGTTCCTCCAGTACTTGTTCGATTTCGACTTATCTATTTCTACACTGAAAGTTTATCTTGCTGCTATCGTTTCCTTCCAACCTTGAGGGTCACCTGCCTCTCGCTTCTTTTCTCACCCTACGGTTAAAGCCTTCCTCAAGGGACTAACGCATCTACGACCTCCTGCGAAACGGCCTCTGCCGCAATGGTCACTTCATCTCGTATTGCATTCCCTGATGCGGCCACCCTTTGAACCTATGGCCACATGTGACCTCAAAATGCTATCGATCAAAGTATTATTTTTGGTGGCCATAACTTCAGCCCACAAGGCCAGTGAGCTGGCTGCCCTGCGAGCTGATCAACCATTTTTGCAATTTTTTTTCGGGACAAAGTGATACTGCACACTGATGTCTCTTTTCTCCCAAAAGTAGTATCAGACTTGAACGTGAATCAACCTCTTTTACTACCTACTTTGTTTTCTGAGCCTACCAGTGACACAGAGCACATGCTCCACACCCTGGATGTTAGGAGAGCACTTGCTTTCTATGTTTCACGGACCAAAGACTTTAGATTATCTCCCAAACTCTTTCTCTGCTACTTCGGACAAAAGAAAGGTCTCCCAGCATCTCCTTTGTCACTTTCTCGGTGGCTTGTTTCTGCAATATCCTTAACCTATGAACTTCAACACAAGACGCCACCTGAAGGTTTGCATGCCCACTCTACTAGAGCAGTCGCTTCTTCTGCAACCCTTCTGCGGGGCATAGATTTACCTGACATCTGCCGGACTGCCACTTGGTCACAAGCGTCCACCTTTATCACGCATTACAGGTTGGACCTGAGGGCCAAGAGCAAGATGAGATTCGGCAGGGCTGTGCTAGCTTCTGCTCTTCAGTGACGGCCCTCCTTCCAGTTAGTTAGCTTGCTAGTCACCCTTTTTGTGTGCATTCACAGAAGACCATGATGAAGAAAGAGGGGTTACTTACCTGTAACCATGGTTCTTCAAGTGGTCATTCTGTGAATTCACACAAGCCCGCCCGACCTCCCCACTTTCCATCACTGAATTTATTTAGCTCATGCTCTCATATCTGTGGCGGAAAAATGGAACTGAGGCTTGGGCGGGCGGAGCATGCGCAGTGTAGGCAATCTTAAGCTATGTTTCTTTTCTGCAGAGCTTGAGAACATTCCAAAGGAACCGACGCTGGCACTGACTTAACCCTTTTTGTGTGAATTCACAAAATGACCACTTGAAGAACCATGGTTACAGGTAAGTAACCCCTTTTTCTTCAAGTGGTCATCTGTGAATTCACACTTCCCTCCCATACTCCCCTCTGTCTGTCACTCCTGTATCTCTTGATGCAGTGGCGGGCATACCTTGGAACTGAGGTACATGAGAAGGCGGGCGGACCTCATGGGCTGGGGGGGGCAGTCCTTCACAAATGTAGCAAAGAAGCTTTAGAACATTCCGGAGACCTCTGCAGAAGCGCAGATTAATTCACCCGTTAGTGTGAATTCACAGATGACCATTCGAAGAATCAGAGTTACAGGTAGATACGTTCTCTTACTTCAATGGAAGTTTTTGTGGACATGTCCACTTTGTCAGACATATGGGAACAGAATTTGGATTTTGCCTGAAAGGCTTTTATGAATTAAATTAAACTAAATATTTATTATTTATTGAGCTTTTTATTTATTGATATGTTTCCCAGTACAGTTTTAGGCTTTTAAAAATACTTTTGATTGGTAATTACATTATCCTTACAAATAATAATAACTGTAGCATGCAATTCTTTTAACTAGCACTGCTGTGAATGTACAGTACTTGAGCACCACAAAATGACCTGAACAATGTCAAATGAAGACTACTTTTATAGAAAGTGCTAGCTTCAAACCTATATAAAATGTACCTTGATCTGTAAATAATAATCTAGTGAATTGTGTGAAAATTGATACAACAGATGCTTTCTGAAAGGTAGTAGTAGCTTATTGAACAGGAATACTGTGGGATATGGGGTAGGTTAGTCTCCCTTCTTCACTTTGAGTTTACAGGAAGAGGATCCTAATAGGAATACCCATCCTCTCCACATGCCCCTCCTCTCCACATGTGATCTGTTCTAGGATCAACTGCAGATACCTGAAACGATGGATATAACAGAACCCACTGAAGAGAGTGAAAGGGCGGAGCGTGAGAGGAGAAAGATAGTGGGCCTGTGCACTGTGGGCTGGGTTCTAGAGGTGGCAGCTGTGGATAACTGCAGATACTAAATACACAACAACAAGGGGGCTACTGTACATTGATGATGAGGAGAAATGATAGCATCTCAGCAAGAAAGAAATGATTCACTCAGAAAGTGAACAACAAATAGTGAGATAGCACCACACTGAGGAACAAAAGGGGAAAGGGGCAAAAACTGAAAATGATATTCAAAGTAAAAGCATGTCTTGTGTGTTGTGAATCTTGTAGGCCCATTTCCTGTCTCATCTCCTTCAAGAGAAAAAAACGTATGTTCCAAATTGATGGCAGTTAATTCAGAACATGTTGTCTTAAAGTGTTTTTTATTTTGAGATTTTTGCCAATCTTTTTCATTTATTGGTCTTTTAGAAAACTATCCTTTTTAGCAGTTACAGTGTAATTTTTGCCAGTAGTGCTCCTTAAGTATTGGGCTCTCCACAGGGAAAAGCACCAATCTACACAGTGTACGCTCTTTCTTCTCTGTGACTAAACTTGAATTTAATATCTGTTCATAGGCACTGCCGGTAAGTTCTGAACTTCCAGCTGGCACTCCATCCAGTGAGCAGCTGCCACCCTTTCCGGGACCTACACTAACTCAGGTGCTATACAGCTGTCTGCTTTTTCCTTTTTCCCCTTTTCAAAGAGCATGTTCAAATTAATCTCTGTTGCATGATATTTGGTCCTCTATTTCTCCCTTTAAGGATCTTTTCTTGTATATTGTAAAAATGGAATGCTGTCTAAGCTTTTTTTAAAATCTTTTCAGATTGCATGCCCTAATATGAAAGTTCCCAAAGATTTAAAGGATAGTTCCTTAACTTTTGAAAACTGTTTAAGGCTTCTATAGGACCAGAACTTGATTCCTATTCAATTTATTTAGTTGTTTGGCATACAGTTAGCTTTGCAAGACATGTCTGTCTTCAAAGTGTTCTGTGTATCATGGATTATTTCTTCTTCTACCTGAATTGCCAGGTAGAAGAATAATTTTTTCAATTGTTTGAAAAAGCTGAAGTTGTTATAAGGGGCGAGCACAAGGACTAGAGATGAACTGGGTTTCCAACAAGAGATGATGAGTTAAAGTCTTACCAATAAGCTGAAGGAACTAGTGCCGTAATAACCTTTGCCACAGATGATAGAACTTAATTAAAAATGCCACTGAGCTATGTAGAAGGGTGAATTTGTGTACATACTTGATTAAAATTAAGCTGATAAACGGATTTCCAAAGAAATGTCAGAGTGTGGGAATATGGGAATATCCTAAAGCCCTCCTGTTGATTATTATGTTTCCAGCAGTGGTCACATGCCTTTGGGATACTCATGAGCAGAGACTTTGTATATAATAACGTCTAGGAATCCTGGTGATTGGTATATAGAGGTTTGGGTTTTATGGGCTATGATTTGATTCCTGGATTGACTGAGTATATATGTCACACCTTTGTACCTTGTTCAGTGCATCTTAATAGCAGAGATAATGGTGAACATTTATTTATCTTGTAGCAGACTTAAGAACTTTCAAGAGGCTAGTACAGCAGCTGGTTTCACTTTGTGTACATGGCTGGGTACATCTGAAGAAACTGCAATATTAAGCACTGAATGAATTTTAGAAATTAAAAGTGTATTTTTATATCTTTATATTTATGTCTACCTTTTCTGTTTCACTACTTTATGGCACAATACCAACAGTGCTGCAGATTCTGTTAAGCACATAAGGCAAGAAATAGGGTCACGATAATGCTTCGTTTCTAAAATGACAGGTGGCAGATTTGAGATTCTTCTCTTCCATTTCAAATAGATGCATGTGTAGAGTACACATTGCTCCTTCAAATTACGGTTATGCATGATTTTCTCAAGCTTCTTCTCATACTTTGGAAGATCTCTACAAACCAATCTGTGAAAGTGTTTCCCTGTTTCTGAAGCGAATAGATGGAATTTAGTGAACGTACAAGAGCTGGCAGTCTTTCTAGATGAATGAGTGCTATATGGCAGGAGTTGGTGTAATCACAGCTCTAATAAAAGTCAGTTTAAATGTACTAAACAATGTGCAAAGACCTCAGTTGATTAAATCTTACTACAACAGTTGGTGCCATGTACTGTTGTGCAGGGAGATTCCTTTCAGCCTATGCTGACTGCAAAGTATGTTTGTGAAAGCTTTGTAAACGGGATGTAAAATACAGGGTTAGTGGGCAAGCCTATGCCAGTTTAGGACAAAGTATCAAGGTGTCTGGCTTGTTAACAGCCACCAGAGTGGCTCAGGGCTCTGACGTTATCTGTTCTACCTACCTTGCTATCTGTTGTCACAATTCTCATCTAATTTAGAAATTTCTGTTTCAATGGAACCTGCTTTGGATAACCTGCTGCCAATAAATGATGAATTCAGATTGAACTAGGGAATCTACATTTTGACATGCTTCATAATATAATGTTTAGGCATTTTTCACATTTACTTTCCATCTAATTATATCCCATCATACAGTTGCTGAAACTAAAGATAAATTTTTCTAATACTTTAGTGTTCTTGAGCCTGTATATAATTTCCGTGCACTGACTATTTCTCAGTGCACTTTATACACTTGCTGGCTACAAAGTCTGTATTACAAGAGACTTTTTGTGCATGACTTAAATTGATGTGGGCAGCTGTGTATAAAGAACATGCTACATATGTAGTGTTTTTTTCTTTAGAGAAGCTTGACTATTGCATGACATGTTTAAAATTATATGACCATAGAGTAGAACAGCGGTTCCCAACCTTGGGTCCCCAGTAACTATGATAACCAGGATTTCTGGGAGTTGTAGTCCAAGAACATCTTGTGGCTTGGGAACTGCTGGAGTAGAGTCTTTCTCATGAAGTTCCTATGACCATGGTCCACATACCAGCTAACATATATGTGGAGCATCATCTCCTGCTTTATCAGTGAACTTTGGGTGTCATCTCAGGACATTGCAAAGCCCTAAGCCCTAGCCAGGATAACCCATGGTTAGGGATGGCAGGAGTTGCAGCCAGCAACATCTGGAGGTACACAAGTTGCTTATCCTGGCTTTCATGGGCGGCTGCTATAATTGTTCCTCTTTGTTCCAGTCCCAGCAACCTCTGGAAGACCTGGATGCTCAGTTGAGAAGAGCCTTGAGTCCAGAGACAGTCCCAACAACATCAGCTCCTGCCTGTGTAAGTTGTTTAAGGTGCTCATATGCATATGGGCTTGAACAATTTCTCATGTGATAACATCCCAAATAGAATGGAAACTTCTTTTCCCCATAGTATGAAGTATTTTGAGATGGGGTAGGAAACAGCAAGGTTTCTTGACTACACTCTGGAACATGAATGGCTCCTCTGTGTATGACAAACAGAATCAGGAAACTATATTCTTTGCTTAGAGATAGGGAGGTGACTTTCACCTATAATATCTATAGTGGGTGGGGATTTAAGGTATGCAGCAAAAACTCTGGCTATTTAATTACATATTTATTACCTGCCTTGTAAAAACAGATCCCAGGATTTGGCATAGTCGATAAAATTACATTAAAACTTAAATGAAGATCCTGTGAGAGTCCAGATTGAGAATTTACACCATTGGTTTATTGCTTATTTTAGTACATTTGTTGTGTAATGCTGTAATTATGCTTATAAGCTGCTTTGTGGTTTTTAAAGGGAATGGCAGTTGACAAAGTTAACATCACCTGTTCTTGTTAGCCTGTGTAGAAATCTCGATCCATCCAAATATTTTTTTCTAAAATGGTTTTTTTTTTTTTTACTCAAGAACCCCCTTGTGCTCTGTAAGGGACATGGGGACAGTTTTGTCATGTTTTTAGAGCCCCCTTAGCACCTCAGCCCTTCAGATGTTTAAAAGAATTCTTATGAATAATTTGGTTGCTGGGGGTGGAGAAGATCTTCTTGGTTTAAAAAATATCTCCAACAATTGATTTTTATAAGAGGTTTTTTTTGTGGGCGAGGTAGAAGTTGTGAGAGCAACACTCCAAGGTACATGCATGACTCTGTACAGCTGTGGGCTTCTGGAATTTGTCTACTCTTGGCAGAGATTCAAGCCTTTGGACCACAGTTAGAACTTAACTCTCTAACCTCTAGTTTAACTCTCTAACCTCTAGTTGAGTAAATAAATTTTGGAACTTCAAAAGCAGCAGCAGTTTCATGAACCTGAGAGAGTTTATGTGCACTCTTTTACTTAAAATAGATGGATGTTTGCAGATTTTCTTTTTTGATCTGTTGTTAAAATCAAATGGAATCTTTACAAAAAGCTTTTAACTTGTAAAAATTACAAATGTCTCATCCTATGTACACTAAGATCACAGAAGTTAGTCTTTGGTGGAAGTGGTTTTTGATCCACAAAAACTCACACCAGATCAGTGTATCAGTCTTTGAAGCGCTATATTTTGCCTTTTTTCTTTTTTTTCTTTTGCCAATGTGTGGATGCTTGTTTTGCTTTGTTTTGGTATCTGAGGCTTAATAGAACTAGTCAGATGCTATGACTGGCCAGTGGCCAATTATTATTCTAGATTACTAAGAGAAGAAAAATTTAAAAGGATAGGATATACTGCTGAATAAAGCTTGTAATTTTTATTTTGTTTTCATATTCTCAGCAATCTGCGATTTCTACAGCAGTTACTGGAGTTGTGTCTGTGGCAGAACAATCCACAAATACTGGTAAGAATCTCAAGGAATGGACAACTGGTGGACCATGTCAGATAACTGATACTTGACTCTCTTTAGGAGTCCTATTTTTCTTCTTCGTGGTCTCTGAATGCACACAAATGGGTTAATCTGCACCTGCGTAGGACCTTGGGGAACTTTCTAGACCATAAAGACATGTGATTAGTGGGACGTTCCCCCGTGGAGCGCATGTTCTGCCCACCTGAAATCCTCTCGGTTCCTTTTAGCCACCACTTAGGTCACAATTAGCTCGACAACTAGAGCAACAACTTTTGATTGCAATCGATATTTTCTCCTGTTGAGTTTTTAGGCTTCTTCATCCTATTTCTTTATGTTTCTCTGTTTCTCCCTGTGTTTTCTTTTTTTCTTTGGTTCCCCCCCCCCCCCCCTTCCCTACCTTCCCGATCTTTTTAATGGCCCCTCCAGTCTATTTAAGCGGTGTGTGTTGTGTGCAAATAGGATCCCGCTTTCAAACGGCCACGACTGCTGTCTTTTTTTGGGGGGGGGAGCAACACCAAACCCACTCCTGCCTGGAGTGTAAACGCTCACCAAGCCTTCCCTCAAGCTCCACCTCCAACATCTCTGCTCATTTCTGTGGGAGAAATCCCTTAAATGACCCACCACTTTGATGGAGCCTACCTTGACTCCTGTCCCTAGACAGGAGTTGCCTCAGTCCGTGTCGAGCCTGACCACTCCTTCTCCCAAGCCAAGAGAGCAGCGTAAATCCTCCTCAAGGTCGAAGTTGGCATCGACATCGAAGTCCTCCTTGACATGATCTCAGGGCCAGTCACCTAAAAAGAAGGTCAAAGGTCAATCAAAAAAGGCTAATAAATCATCCAAGCCTACTCAACTTACTTCACCTCAACCAGACATTCCTTCACTGATTCTGGAAGAGTCTTTGAGAGAGGTTCCCGACTCTTTTGTCGGAGGCAGAAGATCCACTCCTGCTACCTCCTAGCCAGGCTCCAGTTTCTGTGGTAAGCCTTTTGCCTAGTCTTGGCCCTTTGGTGGCTGATGTTCTCTCCAGCCTGTCCTCAGCCAGTTCTACCCCTGCATCTTCAGGGCGAGCAATGATGGTTCAGTTTTCCACACAAACATGTGTTTACCCAACTTCCAAGAGCCTCCATATCGGGAGTTCTATTATTTTCAAGAGCCTTCTCAATATCACATCCCGTCAGATTATCAAGACCCATATTATGATGACTATGACCAGATCGCAGATCTCATATCGACTCGCATTCCAGATCATCCTACTATGATGAACCAAAGAGAGTTTGGTATGCATTTGCTTACCCACCCGAGTCTTCTCTGACGCCGTCACTATCACCACCCCGACATTGGCATCAAGCTCATACATCCAAGCTTCAACTTATGCTAACAGTTGCATTGCATTCCAAATCAGCTCCCAAGCGCATCTCCTTTGGAAGCCGATCAACCTGCTTCCAAATGCTCCTGCACATCTTCTGGACTGGCTTCTATTTCTCTTTCTCACCCTAGTGCTGCCCTTTCTCAGGCGCACACTTCATCTCTTCAGGTCACTACCACCTACAAAGGACCTCCACTTCCTCCATCTGACACCAACAGAGGGGTTTTGGCTATTCCAGTTACTACAACCTGGACCTCTGCATCTAGACCTTGACACTGGTCACCCTCTTTCGATTCAGCAGCTTCTGAGGGTCACGACCCTTCTTCAGAAATCTCTCAGGAGTCGCCCTCTAACTTGCCCACACCTGATTCAATTGTGGCAAATAATCACCCCTCCTTCACCTTCTGAAGACTTTACGTCGTACACTCAGCTGGTGCTCCACATGGCAAAATCCCTCGAGGTTGAACAACCTCCTCCTCCAAAACAATATCTCATGTTCGATGACATTAACCAAGATAAAACCCCACCGCTCAGCCTGGCCTTCATATTCGCCATGCTTGACTTTGTAATGGAGTCTTGGGACAAACCACCATCCCCCCTTTAAACTGCCTTGCTTTCCTGCATCACTTTCTTTTCCAACACAGACAGTGAAAAACCATTATAATACTCATGGTTCGGATAAATCCTTTCTTGTGAAGCACCCAATTCAATTATTGTTGAATCGAACCAGTCCCAAGCTCACAATAAATATGTTCTAGCTCCAACAAATAGAGGGGGCAGAAAGCTAGATGTTCAAGTGTGAAGCCAACTTATTATGATGAATTGAATGCCTTGTGCATGTGTGAGTCCTATCACCACATATTTATAACTCTTTAAGTTGTTTTTATTTTCTCTCCATCTGTAAATAAACTTTATCTGCAAAGTTTGCATGTTCTGAGGTCCTGGAAGTCCACCAAATTTTTCTTTCTATGGAAAATTCTATTGTACCTGCAGTCTTTGTGACACTAGGGGTCTGTAATTTCTTATTTGGCTAACCAGTATTAATTATGGTTTTGATCCTTGCTTTGACTATCAATTTTGCAAGCTTCTAGAATTTCAGTAAACTCTAATTTTAAGCCCGTAGACCAGTGTTTCCTAACCTGGAGGTTGGGGCCCCTACAAGGATCACAAAGTATTTCCTAGGATATTGTGGGTTGCCTTATGTGTATTATAGCCATTCTTAAATAATTTTGTCCTTGGTCTTTTGGAGCCAGACATTAAAATTAGGGTATATGTGTATGTACTGTATGAGAAGCAGGCTCTTTGGGGGAGAAAAAAGCCTCTGTTTCTGCGAAAGAATGACTTGCATTTGAAGGGGGCCACAAGGGTTTGGGGTGGAGGGTTGGTAACTGAATTGATGAAATACCCAAGCAGCATGAGTCTGGCCCCATTGCACAGGCTCCCTGATGTTTTCATGGCTTTCTTGGAACAGAACAGAAGTAGCTCTGCCTGCCACCTCCCCAGTGACTGCTGATGTATTTTTTTCATTGGAAGCCAGTCACCTTGCCTGTTTTTGATTGGAAGCCAGCCATGATTGCAACCTAACTGAGGCATCTTTTCCTGCTGCCTCCCTAACAATTGCTGACACAGGCACCCTGCTTGCTTTTCATTGGAAGCCAGCCATGATTGCAACCTAACCTGTTGAGGCAGTTCTGTCAGCTGCCTCCCCAGCGACTGCCGGTGCGGGCACTCTGTTTTTACTATAAGCCAGCCATAAATGCAGTGAATCGGCTGTTAGCTGCTTCTCTCCATATTGTACAGTGTCTTTCTGTGCCGTTTAATTCCCTGTCTATGTTGGAAAAGAAAGTGATGCAGGAAAGCAAGGTAGTTTTTCTTTTTTCTTGTTGGGTCCTTGTTTCTTTAACTTGTTGGGTCTGGTGAGGCTGTGCCTTCCCTGCTTGCATGCCCCTGCCACACTGGTGTTGCTGCAAACACACTTGAAGCTGCTGCAATAGAATGAAACATTTTGTTCCATACCAAGCTTCATTCCCATCAACCTACACAGGCCAGTCTTGCTGCAAAAACACGCTGTACAGCTCAGAAAATGCAGGTGGGTGTATATGTAATGGTTTGTGTATGTGTGCGGAGTGAGTCAGAAAGAGAATAGTGGGACAAGCAGGAGGAGGAGGAGGGATGCGGGGGCAGGTTGCACACATTCTCTCTCAGGGGCCTCTCTCTATCTCTCTTGCCTCTTAAGAGGCAAGAGGTCTGCTGGGCTCCTTGTTTCATTGCTTGCTTGCTCTAAGAGCAAGTTTGTGACCAGTTATACCATATACACTCATGTATAAGTCAACCCAGGTTTCTTAGGATCAATTTTAAGACCTAAATTAATTGGCTTATACACAGACATACAGTATATGGTATTTGTTCATTATTTTCTCTTTTTAAATTATTTTCCTTTTCTAAAAATAATTTCAGAAATAATTCTACCTATGAGTTCCTTGGCCAAAAAAATGTTGCCATTATTCTGTGGAAGACTTATCATATGGTTTCATTGTATCTCTGCAAAACCCATCTTTGCCTGTGTGTTTGAACTGTATCACTACATTTTCAAAGCATGAGGCCAAGCAAATTTAAGGGGAAAAACCCAAACATTTGGATACCTTGCATCCAGATAAGAAAAATAAACCCTTGGATTTCTTTAAAAATCTTCGAGAGAATTTTGAAAGAAGGCCAACACTGAGACAAATTCATACTCAAACATCACAGAAAATAGACAAGGATCTTGTTGCATCATACAAAATTAGTAAACAGATTACTAAAACTGGAAATGCTCACAACATTGGTGAGTCGCTTATCCTGTCTTCAGTGTCCATAATAATATCTGATGTCATGGAATTGAGTGCCAAAGAAACAGAAGAGTTGACGAGATGGCACATAACATTGAAGAGGGATTGGTCAGTTTAGTCCAATCGAAGAAATCCTCTTTTCAGTGAGATTAAACTACTTTACAAGATAACAATGTTCTTCTCATGGATTCTGGAATGGTAATGAACTGATGGAAGATATGTTGTTTGCAGAAGGATTAAAATGGATACTAAGGGACTGTCTAATTTTGAAGAAGTCAAAAGTTACTTAAGTGAGAACAATATTCCAATTGAGAATATAATTGCCTGTGCAACTGATGGTGCTGCTTCTGTGTTTGGTCAATACAGAGAATTCAACGCCCATCTAAAAAGAGTAAAACCTTCTGTCTTTACTACTCATTGCATCATTCACAGGGAGCACCTAGTATCTAAGAACTTGGGAGGACACTTGAATATTTTGCTTTCAGTTGTCATAAGGCCATAAACGTCATCAAATCCCACACCCTTCAGGACTGTCTTTTCCAGCAGCTATGTGAAGGAAATAGCAGCGACTTTCAGACATTGGTGCTGCACACCAAGGTTACGTGGCTTTCCAAGGGAAACTACCTTTCACATTTTGTTCCGGTCTGAGACATCATAGTTTCCTTCATGTCTGATAAAGAACATGGAGAAAAACTACAGGGTTATATTTTTTGACCTGTAAGGTCTTGTTTAACAGTTTAAGTTTCTGAAAAATATCTGCCAGATAAAATGTCTGCTTTAGTATCAACAAGATCAGTGGCCCCCAACTGTGGTCCTCCAGATGTTCTTGGACTACAACTCCCAGAAGTCTTCACCACCACCTCTGCTGGCCAGGATTTCTGGGAGTTGAAGTCCAAGAACATCTGGAAGCCCGAGGTTGGGGACCACTGCTGTATATAATAAGGAAGCCATCTTTCCTTTCCTTAAGAAACTCAAAGCCTATTGGCACAAAATCATGAAGTTTTATAATTCCAAACTGAAGATGACTGCAGAGGCACTGAAGTGCTGGAAAAATCAAAATATATTGACTTCCTTTTCTTTCCAATATTGCACTTCTCTTTATTAAGGCTTATTAGCTTCAGAGAATAAAAACCTAGAGTCAACACTTTAGAAGGCTGACTCACAAAGTACAAAACACAAAGCTTTGGAAAATGTTTCTTTCGCCCACACTAGTAGTTAAGGCCACGTGAGCAACCTTGCAAGGACATGGGAAATATCCAGCCTAGAATCAGAGGCTGAATACCAGCAAGTGAAGTAACAATCTATTCCAAGATAATGGTTATGTCAGCATACAATTAAATGTAACATGTGAAGGATGACTGATCATGTTTACACAATATGTCTTTGTCAAAAGTCACCATTGTCCAGAGTAGGGCTAAATCTTCGGTGCCTTGACGTAACATTTAAACACATATGTAACTCTCGGTCAGATGCTTATGGAAAATTAGGACTTGCTGTTCTGCTGTCACCAGCACTGTGACATCTTTGTTATGGAAAGAACCCTATAAAATATGTGTGCATTCTTGTACTTTTTGAAAAACTTCTATTTGGGTTTTAAGATCCCAGGATCTCCACCTTGCAAAGCCTTTTTCCTTTCTTCTATTTCTTTTTAATAAAGTTCTCTTTCATATTTGCAAATTTACTTTGTGTGCAGCTTGGTTCTCTCCAGTTCTTTTATTTCAGGTACAGGGTTGGACCTTGCTGGAGGAAAAAAAGAACTTTAAAAATTACATTTACAACAGAAGGACAATGACCTTACCGCTTATGTGAAATATCTCAAGCAGATACACATGGATAAGCAATAAAGAGTTAATGACCTGTTAAACCTGAGTATTCCAGATTGGGTTTTGAAGCCATTTGAAGTACAACCCACCCATGTTGAGAAGAAATTCAAGATAGTTTGATTGACCTTCAGAGTGATTTAACTGCACATTGTCAGTTCAGTCAGTTTCAACAAGATTTTTTGAATAGTGACCTGCCGAATAAATTTCCAACCCAATTTTTTTATTGCCTTTCCCTCAACATAATTTGGGTGAACGTGGACATAATTTGGGTGAACGTGGACTCAGCAAGGTAATCATTGACAAAATCCAGGAATAGAATGGATATTGCAAGAAGAGGTGACCTCAGACTGTCATCTAATTTAGAGTCTGACATCATGGAACTTGCAGAAAAGCACCAAGCTCAAGGTTCACATTAGGCGTAGCAGATGTTTAATTTCATACAGTCTTTTTTAAAAGGTCTTGTCAGGTATGTCAGAAAGTTAATGTTTTCTTGATATTCAATAATAAATGATTTTATGTTTATCTGTTCATGATGTATCCTTGTTTGATGGGGGGCAGTAACCTGAAGAGAGCTCCTAGGGAGTCCGTAGTAAAAAAAATGTTGAGAACAACTGCATTAGACCATTGCAAACTCAGACTATTATGATCACCAGTGGGGCATACTGATGGACTGGCAAAATCCATTTTAATATTCTTAAATTTTTTTCGAAAACAATTCTATTCATACATTATTCAACCTTTAGTTTACTTCCATGCTAAACTGCAGATATGAAGTTCTTCAAAGCAATGTTACCATATCATTGACCTTTATCTCAGACTTAGCTGGAAAACAGCAAATTGTTTCCAAAACAACTATAACAAAAGTAAACTATTTCCCAAGTTTAACTTTTAATTTTGAATTTTTGTAGAGAGAATTCTATTTCCAAATGTAGTGGGTACAGAGAATATGCTTCATTTTTTATTTCTTTTTCTGCCTCAGATTTTCAGGATGCAGAAGGTTCTACAACAACTGCCACCCCAGGAGTTGCAGTTGTGGGCCGTTTCCAGGTACTTTTCAGAATGCTTTACAGTGTTTGTCAGAGCTAATTGCTTTTAATTGCTATGTTTGTGGTTTTGATTGCTCCATTTTAAAATAAATCAGGAAGATGAGGTTGGAAGGATATTATGTGGAATTGTTTGGCTGAACTGGGAAATCAACACCTCCACATTCTTAGTATCTAAAAGTTATAAATATTCTTAAAGGTTTTCTTCTGGTTTATAAAATGTAGAAACTGAATTAAGTAGTTCAAGCACCTTGTTGCTGTCTTTGTTTTGTAACTGTTTTAAACGTCATAGAATAATGGAGTTAGAAGGGACCTATAAGGCCATTGACTCCAACATCCAACTCAATGCAGGAATCCAGATCTAAGTATATGTGACAGATGGCTGTCTAATTTTCTTTTGAATGCCTCCAATGTTGGGAGTGTTCGTCACTGCCTAAGGTAAAAGGTTCCATTGTTGTATTGCTCTAACAGTTAAGACGTTTTTCCTGATATACAGCCAAAATATGGTTTTCTGTTCCTTGGACCCATTATTATGTGTCCTGCATCGTGGGATGAGAACAGATCCTGCCTCTCCTTTGCATGATAGCCTTCAAATATTTGAAAAGTGCTATCATATATCTCTTCAATCTTCTTTCTTAAGGCTAAACACGACCAGCTCTTTCAATCTTTCCTCTTGGTTTTCCTGTCACCTAATCATTTTTGTTGCCCTCGTCTGAACTTGTTCCAGTTTTTGTCAAACCATCTTCAAGTGCATTGTCCAGAACTGAACACAGTACTCAAGATGAGGCCTAACCAGTGCCACACAGAGGAGAACTATTACTTCATGAGATTTGGAAACTACCATTAGTGAAGCCTTAAATTGCTTTTTGGCAGCCACATTGCACTGTAGGCTCATATTCAGCTTGTGATCTACAACAATTGCAAGATCCGTCTTACTTTTAGTATTACTGAACGAAGTATCCCCCATCTTGTAACTGTGTTTTGGGTGTTTTTCCCCTGGGTGTCGAACTTTGCACCTATCTCTGTTAAATGTCATTTCATTATTTTCAGCCCACTCCCTCAAGCCTAGCAAGATCTTTTTGAACTTTGTTTCAGTCTTCCATGTTATTAGCTATTCCTCCCAATTTTGTGACATCTGCAAATTTGTTAATTGTTCCCTACACCATCTCTTTCAAGTCATTGATAAAAATGTAGGAAGAGCATCATGACTAGGACTGAGTCTTGTGGTACCTCACTTGTTACCTCTAACCAGTTGAGAAAGAGCCATTGATAAACACCCTTTGTGTATGATTTTGTAACTATGTATCCACATGAGAGTTGTTCTATCCAGTTCACACCTACTTAGTCTGCTAATCAAACTGTCATGGGATACTTTGCCCAAAGCTCTGCTGAAATTAAGATATTAAATCTGCAGCATTTGTGCCATCCATCAGGGAGATTACCTGATTTAAAAAAATGAGATAAGGTTTATCTGGCAGGATTTGTTCTTGACAAATCCATGTTGGTTTCTAGTTATTACTGCATTGGTTACAAGGTGCTTGCAGACTGACTGCTTTATAATCTGCTCCAGAACTTTCAGGACTGGTCAGTAGTTCCCAGGTTTCTCCTTTTTGACATTTTTGAAGATAGGGACACTAGCCCCCTTCCATACTTCCATCATTTCATGTATCCTCCATAATTTCAAGTAAATAATAAGTGGTTCTGAGAATTCTTCAGCTAATTTCTTGCATATTCATGGATGCACCTCATCCAGGTCTGGAGATTTGAACACATTCAAAATAATATTCCTTGACTATTTGTTTATCAAACTCAATTGCAATCCTGTCCATTTGTACTTCAGTCATATACTATCATTTGGGGAAAACTTGAGCTAAAGTAGAGATTGAGTACTCCTACCTATTCTTTGTCATGTGTTACCATTTCTCCGTCTCAGTGGAGTAACTGAGCTACTATTTCTTTTCTCTGTCTTTTGCTACACACATGTACCTGAAAGGCGTAGTTAGATTTCCTGTCATGGGACTTTAGTTATCATTGTACTGAGTTTGTTAAAATTGGCTTTCCTAAAGTCCAGAGTGTATGGGTCCCTACACTCTGCTTTGGTTTCCTTGAAAAACCAAGAATTCTAGTAGAACATGGTCACTCCCGCCCAAAGTTCCCCTTACTGCCACTTCCTCCACTATTAACGATAGTGTACCCAGTTTGTGCTTGCTGCTTGTGTACATCAACATACAGTCCAATAGAAGAGTTAGCTTTTTTGCACAGTGAATAGTTGGTGGATAGTTACTGTGAACTTCGTTACCATAGGATGAAAATATTTGTGCAGCTTTAAAAGGATATTGAACACATTCATGTAGAGTGGAGCTGTCAATGGCTTCTGCCCATGCAGGATATATACTGCCTCCAGTGTATCTGTAGCTGGAAAGTGTGAACAGATCTGCATGTTCTGCTGTCAGGTTCCCCATAAGCCTCTCGTTGAACAGAATGCTGTACTAAGTAGATTGTTCGCCTGATCCAGAAAACCTTTTATTATGTACCACTTCTGTTTTCTCCTATCTACACTTCCATTCCTTTTCTCTGTTTGTCCTTGCTTTGAATTTTAAATTGTAAAATTCAATGTAAATCTTTCTGCACAGGATAGAAACCTGTCCGAGTGGCACATAAAGAAGGTGTGTAAAAATAATAGTAATGCCAGTATCTACATTGTACCTAGGTGTCTGTGGCAGAGGATGAGCAGAAAGAGAGGACAGGTCAGCCCAAGCACTTCAACACAACCTCCTCGGAATCCTCATCTTTGTCTAGCAGCAGTCCAGAGAGTACTCTGGTGAAAGCAACCTCTGGTGGGAAAGCTGAGGCCATTGCTGTTACTTCAGTGGATGTGGTGGATGGCAACCTGTCACATACTTCCACCACGCAGTTACAGCCCACCAAGGTTGGGCGTTTCCAGGTGACAACAACGACAACAGACAAAGTTGGTCGTTTTTCTGTGTCTAGAACTCAAGATGAAGTGACCTGTGTGGAAAGAGAAGTTCCTGCAATATACCCTCTGCCTGTGGACTCTGAACAAGTTTCTTCTTCGCTTACACCTCCTAAATCAGAGTTTGCAGAGAGAAGGCCTTCTCTGCATTTAAATGGGCCTTCATCTGAGCTAGAAGCTGCCTTCCTTAGTGGGGCAGCTAAGGAGCTGGATGATGATGTGGCGAGTCCAGACTCTCTCCACCCTCCTGGATCAAAGATCAGTCTTCCAGTCCAGAGCCTTAGCAACTCATTCAACTCTTCCTACATGAGCAGTGATAATGAGTCAGACATAGAAGATGAAGACTTGAAGTGTGAGCTGCGCCAGTTGCGGGAGAAGTAAGATGTGTTTTTTTTTTCCCCCGGACGTGCTTATGGGGACATGTGACAAGAAAACTAGGATTTTTCTTCCTCTGTATGTAATGAACCATTTTCTGCAGTCATTTTAAAGTTGCTTTTCCAGAAATTTTTTAAGTGAGGTCTGTGAAGTGTTTCCAGGGGTATTCATTTAAAATCACCCTATAGCCAAAGCTCTTCAGCTAGTGTCTGTTTGTACATACACACACTTACCACAAGTACCTATCCTGTATGATTGTCTGATCATTCGTATGAGTAAACCGGACACAAGGGATGCAGAGGTACATGTAAGTCCTACCTGTGAATATGGTTGTGTATCTGGGCATCTTTCCAAATTCTTGCACATTAAGTGTCATGGTCTATATAGGACTTTGTAACAATATTCAGCTGAACCCTGATAAAGTTCCAGATCATGGGAGCTGTAACTGCCTTCAGTGGTTGCAGAATCCTTTACAGAGCTTTTGTATAAGGTTCTGCCCTAAGTTTAGCTGTGCATGTGTGGAGGTGAAGGCATGGTATGTGTGTCTGTCACTCAGAGAAGGAGGGGGAATTGGTAAAATAGAGTTTGCAGAGAGAGAGAAAAACATAGCTTACAGTAGTAGAGTCTAAAACAGCAAAAGCAATAAAAGATGTAAAACATGCATGAAGATCAAAATACTGTTGGGCTTACAAAAATATGCCGTAGTTTGTGGGATTAAACTCCTGGAGGAAAAGTCTTTGCCTATAACAAGGTCAACAAAAAGGGTATCATGCATGCTCCTGATTATGCCTTTCTACTTCTGTGCTTTTCTAGGTTACTTTCTCACTTTCTTGAGCTGTATCTCCCTGCCTCTGGGCTTTATTTAGATAATGAAACCCTGAACAGGAGCTGTTATGGCACATGCTATGGTGTAACCAGATCCCAGATACATTCCATAGTATCTAAGGAAGTAGTCCTTAGTTAGAATTCACTTACTGGCTGTTCATATTTTAACTGATCTCGTTTCATGGGTGGAAGTGACAACATGGCTTCTTTCTTCTCTTTAGGCACCTTAAAGAAATCCAAGAGCTTCAGAGTCGCCAAAAATTGGAGATTGAACTACTTTACACGAAACTAGGCAAAGTACCTCCAGCAGTAATCATTCCTCCTGCTGCTCCGTTATCAGGCAGGCGAAGAAGACCTACAAAAGGAAGAAGTAATCGATCCAGCCGCAGCAGCTCCCAGGGTAATAAGAGTCCTCAGATTTTGGGTAAGTTTCCTTAAGGATTTAGGCCGGAATGCCTTTGGGTGGGCCATTTGACTGGTTTAAGGTATCTGCTATGGTAGACTGTTTAATATAGTCTTGCTGGAGTTCTTGAGATTTTGTTTTGGCATCTAAAACTGCTAATTTCCCCTGTATGTGCTGCCACTGATTTTTGTTTTGACCTACTTTCTTCATCTAGCTCTAAAGTTTATATTGGGATGTGGAGTCTGTGGCCATAATTAACACCTCATTGTTAGAAGATATCTTCCTAGAAGTCTTGAAAATAGCAATTACAAGGTCTTTGTAAAAGAAAGCTATAATGGGCAGAAAGCAAGTGTCTAAGAATTGGCCAGTTTCCAACCCTTTTTGAGTAAGGTTGTTGAAAAGGTGGTAACAGAGCAAGCCCAGAAACATCTAGAGGATGTATCCATATTTGACCCCTTCCAGTCTGGTGTCTGACCTGGATATAGCGCTTAGACAGCTCTACCGGCCCTGGTGAGGATGATCTCCTTTTGTTGTCTGGTCAAGGAGGAGTCATCCTTGCTGATATTGTTAATCTTTCAGCAGCCTTTGATATAGTGGAACATGGTATTTTGTTGAGAATATTGGAGAGGGACCCAGGTCTTTCCACATCTGTACTACAGTGGATTTGCATCTTTCCTCCAGAATGTAGTGGTAGAGGACTGGCTATCAGTTTCCTGGAAACTGTCAAATAGATTTCTGCAAAACTTGGCTTTAGCTCCAGTGCTCTTCAACGTGTACATGAGACCACTATCAGAGATGATCTCCAGCTTTGGGGTTGAGTGCCATCAGTTTGCTGATAAGACCTAGCTATATTTACATTAATTAAGCCACTTATTCCTAACTTTGGTCCCCCAGGTGTTCTTGGATTACAACTCCCAGAAATCCTGGCCAGCACAGCTAGTGGTGAAGGCTTCTGAGAGTTTTAGTCCAAGAACATCTGGGGAGCCATGATTGGGAACCATTGAACTAAGCAACTATAGGCAGCTGTGACATTGTTTATTAATTGCCTGGAGCCTGTGGTCAGGTGGCTGAAGATCGAACAAACTGAAGCTGAATCCTGGCAAGATAGAGATTATGCTGCTTATTTGGCAACTGACAAAGCCAGCTGTCTCTTCTCTAATGATCGATGGGGGGAATTCTCCTTGTGCACCAGGTAAGGGGTTTGGATGCCTTATTAGGCTGCGTGCTCCTCCTACAGAAAGAGGTGGGAACTGTGGCTAGCTCAGCATTTGTTCATCTATCCTTGGTCTGAAAACGTGGTCCTTATTTACAGAAGGCCGATGTGGCTGTGTTGATCCATACAATCGCTCTCTCTGGGGCTATCCTTGTAGATAACTCAGAAGCTACAATTGGTACAACATATGGCAACTGTACAGTTATGATCATAAGACACCTATTTTATGCCAGGTGTATTGGTTGCCAGTGGTTTTCTGGGTTCATTTTAAGGTGTTGGTTATTAACCTTAAATTCCTACATGGCTTGAGACTCATACTGGATCACGTCTACCCATATGAGCTCCTGTACCAATGGGGTTATCAGGAACCATCCATCTAAAAGTGTCAACCACCAAATCAGTCTGGCTTGAGTGTATCTGAAAATGTTCTTCTCCCCCCCCCCCCCCCCCGAATTATGTTCCTGAGTTCCTGCAAAGTATAAAGTATGACATCCTTGCAGGATGGGATGAATGCAAGTTTTATTGTATTGGTGGACCTTTAGAGGCTAGGAACTGCTATTCAGCTACTGTACTTATGAAGCATGTATTTTAATGTTAATGGTTCCATTGTGCTAGGTTTTTATAATTTATATGGAGCATTTTATTGTCATGTTGTTTTTGCATTGTATGCCATTCTGGCTCTGTTTGAGAGAAAAAGGCATAAATGAAATAGTTAAATAAAGTAATTCATTCTGTAATGTAAGTTGAAAGAAGTTGTGACACGGTGCTTTATGGCTGGTGAGGAATTTGAACCCAGTTTACACTAATCCAACTCCAACAGTTTTCCTATCCTGCATTCCTGTGGTGTTTTTTTCCAAGCAACACTCTCATTATGTCATGTTCCTGTTTTTCCTGTGTTTCCTATTTTTAAACAGTAATTAAACATGTGATGATGGGTGCTGTGCAGAGCAAAATGTGATTTACTCCAGCAAACTTCTGCAGGATGCAGAAAAATGCAGTTGCTGTGTTCATTTTTGGGCATTTTGGAAGAAAATAAGAGATGGAATATAAATATGTATCTAAATAAAAGAGTTCTCCTTTGCTCTGTAGGAAAGAAAAAGCAAGCTTAAATGTTTTTTAGGCCTCTTTGAATATTCTTTCTTCTCTTATTCTCTTCTCAGTCATGGATAGATGCAGAGAACCAATGAAGTTTTTCTTTTTGTCTTGTAAACACTTCTCATTTGTTTTACTTGCTCTTGTTTATTAGGTTGTGTTTCATAATGTGAAATACAAATACCATCAGTACTTCATCTAGGGTGGGGAAGCTAAGTACCTGTCATGTTTTTAGTGTCCTTATTTGCTGTCTTCCTTCCCCTGCCACAGGAAATCTGTCTGCTCAGAGTGCACCTTCAGTCTTGCCCCAACAGCAGACCCTCCACCCTCCAGGCAGTGTCCCAGAGACGGGACAGAATCATCTGTTACAGCCCCTAAAACCATCTCCTTCTAGTGAGAACCTCTACTCTGCCTTTACTAGTGATGGTGCCATTTCCATACCAAGCCTTTCTGCACCGGGCCAAGGTAAATACCATAGATTAGCATTTGAGAGACAAATTTCACACAGGGATGATATGTGGGCTTCAAAACCTTCCTATATTTTAGATGATCTCCTTCACAGGCTATGCCTCAAAGGTGTGGGGCATTCTGGCAAATATGACTGAGGATAGGACAGTGCAGATTCCAGTGTTTCCTTCTTTAGTAAGGAGATGACGGAGGATGAAGCTTCAGGCAGACACTCCAAGACAATGCATGTCCTAGCTAGATCAGAGCTAAAGTTTGTCCACTTTACTTAAGATAAAAGCATGGCTTCTTGATGACAGCTTTACATACAGAGGTCTGCTTGATTTTGCACAGTGTACTGTTAGCCTTGATTTTAATGCGCTCATTTCCCATTTCTCCTTACTGAAAAACTTCCCGACAAATATAGTAATTGGCCAAAGTCCTGTTGGTTTACGCATAAGTTTTACATAACTTACTGAGGCTAATTTATGAGATACTGAGATGCAGCTTCATCACATGTGTGATCATACAACGGATGTGCATCCTGGCACTTCATCAGTTAGCTGCAGCAAGTTACACAAACTTCACACAGACACCAGTAGGATTCCAGCAATCATCTTTTAATTTTGGTATAGAAAGACTCATGTCACATTTAAAATGAGTCAGGGGAAAAACAAAATATGAAAACTTGTACCATTGCTCCTTCCAAACCACTTTCCTAGTAGGAAGGGAGTCTGCTCATTCTCTGTTTAACCACATGAGCCGTACTAACTTGAACTCCTATGTCTTCCAAGTTCTGCAGTATATTATTTCAGTCTGTGCCTTTCCTGTGATTGTAGCATGCAACCCTGTTCCTGCTGGATTAACTTTTGGGGACAGCTCTGTTCCAATGTGGAGAACAGGCATGTTATTTGAGTGGTGGGAGAAGAGTCTTAGTTCCTTGTGTTTTTTATATGCCCCTCAGCTGGTTGAGGCTCTTTCTCTTGTGTCTTGCTAGTGCATTCCACCATTCTAGCCCACAGTTTTCTAACATCTTGTAGTTGTCTTCTGTCTCTTCTCTTCTTCTTGTTCTTCCCCCTTTTTTGTTTCTGTTTTATCACAGGCTGTGTGAAGTTTAACTGTGCATCTGAGCGGGTGACATTCAAGCCTGGTGGCAGGAGGACCCGATTTCTGAGTACGCCCTGCTTGGCTCTTTGTGTGTAACACCTTTACTCCTTCCTCGTCTTTTTGTTTTCTGCTGCTTGGATCTGTTGTCACATACCGTCCATTCACATCTGCTGTCTTGTATCTCCAACCCCAGGGCTTGGTCGAGTTGCTCTTAAGTATATTCTGCAGAAAGAATTCTGACAAAATGATTACCCCACTACTTAGCTGAATGATTCTGGTGGTAGCTGTATATTTCACATTTTGAACTGAAGCATCAGATACCAAAGACTGGTTTTTCAAAGAGCTGATTGAGTGTATTAGTTATAACAAAAAAATAAAACAAAGCATTGTGGTACTTTTAAGACTAATGTATTTTTCAGCGAGAGCTGCTGTGGTGGGTCTGAAGAAGCAGGTTGTAATCCATGAAAGCTCACAGTGAAATAAATAGGTGCCATGATACTGCTGGTTTGGGTTTATTTTTTGTTACACAGATGCCCACCCCACGCCCAAGAAGAAATAAAAATAAATTATGTGTTGCTTTTCTTCAGTTGGATAAGGGCAAATGAATACCCAGAGATCACTAATGCCAAGCTTGCAAAAATGCCTGCCTAGTGGTTCAGTTAGAGGCTGTATTGCACGTACAAGGCCAGTTCATGCAGCTCTGAAGGCCATGACCAGTTGTTTATCTGAGCTGATGGTTGCAAGCTCAGGTTCAAGATGTTTAGTGGTTCTTAAATTAATTCATGACCAGAACAGCAGTTCAGCAAGGCTGAAGAATGTGTGTGCTGTGGTGATGGTGTTTCTGACAGCAACAATGTTTTTTGGAGAAAGTCCAAAACTATCTGAATAGTTAGCTGAAATATTTTTCATGCAGTATCTCTTGTGCTGCTTGGTGTATATGCTGTTCTTTCAGAGTCTTAACACACAGTTAGCTTGTTGGGCCTGTGTGTCACATTCTGAAATGAAAAATGTGACATCATGATTCAGCAGATCCTTCAAACTTCATAAATGTATTAAAATGACTGCAAGAGAAATTGGGCTCTTAAAATGGCTGCTGTTCTGCACAGTAGATAGGGCCTTCCTCCAACTCTGCTGAACTATAACTAGGCAGGACTGCGAAATATGAGATAGTAGATGGGTGGATTTTGTGTTTATATGTCACATATTTAACGAACTCTACAGAATTGTGCAAGTACAATTCTTTTTTTGTAGGTGTGACATTGAAGCTTACTTTTCCTTGTAGACTTATAATTCAAGCTGGATCCACAGATATTCACAAAGAACATTTGCCCATATACATTGAGCAGCTGCTCAGCCAGGCCAGGGATTTTTCTGTGTCCATAACCAATGAGCAAAGCAGAAACTTCCGAGAATGTCTCCCACAAGAACAGCTATAGTAGGAATACTGAGATGATCATATACAATTTCAGGAGGTTAAAAAAATAGACCACCTCTAAGGAATTGAACCTTGCATTCCCCTGATCCAATTGGACTTGGTTTTTGGTTGCCTGGAGCAACAATATTGCTCTTAATGTATTCGCGAAGACTTTCACGGCTGGGATCTAATGGTTGTTGTGGGTTTTTCGGGCTCTTTGGCCGTGTTCTGAAGGTTGCTCTTCCTAACGTTTCGCCAGTCTCTGTGGCCGGCATTTTCAGAGGACAGCACTCTGAAGATGCCGGCCACAGAAACTGGTGAAACGTTAGGAAGAACAACCTTCAGAACATGGCCAAAGAGCCCGAAAAACCCACAACAATCAATATTGCTCTTACATACTAGCTGAAATCCAGTAGTAAGTAACTTCTAGAGTAAGGCCCATTTAGTCATTGAAGATTCGGTGAGTCAATACCTATGTAAGTTCCATTGATTGAGTGGGCCTATTACAGCCATTATACGGTTATTTTAATGTTTTAATTAATTCATAACATGCTTTATGGCCTATATAGATCTGTAGATAATAGAAGCTAACATAGCTGTTATCGATTAGTCCTCTTCAGAAACAACAATCATGGTGTCAATGAAACTGTAATAACAAAGGAATATCAACCCCCCCCCCCAAAAAAAATCTAGCTCCTTTCCATCATAGGCTCCTTATTAGCAATTTCTAAGAGGAGGAGGAATTTAAGATGCAGGGAAGGGGTTCTGCAGATAAAAGTGATAATACCTATGAGAGGGAACTGATAACTGGAGAATAATAAAGGACAGTAAAAAAAATGCATGTGAGAGTACAGACCAGTCCTAATCCTTTCACTCAAGGATAGTACAGTACGTGAATAACAAGGATACAGTGCTAATTTGCACTGCATGCTTGCTGTAGTTGTCTCTGAGACTCTTCATGATGCAGTAAGAAGTTTCTTTTGTGGGCTAATGACTATGATGAGGGAGACATAAAAATGCTGCTTGGAGGCAAATATAACAGACTAAATCCAACAATAGTTCTACCTAGGGTAGAACTATTAAAATGAATGGGATTTGTTAGTCAAAACTAATATATATTCCATCAGTTTGGATGCATCTGCTCTGTGGTAGATATGTGCTTTAGATTTATAGTGTCCCTGTTCATTAGTAACTTCCAAAAGGTCCTATCATTGACAGCCCTGCTCAGGTTGCATCTGTTCTAGGTATGAATAATGTTGGATTTTGCCTAGGGCTCTCCACTCTGTCTCTGAGTTTATTACAGATGTCCCATGGAAGTAGACAGTACTTACATAAGTACGGCTTGGCTTGATGCTCAGATTTTTTTACAGGTTTTTGTTTGTTTTTCCTTGAGTTCAGCCTGATACAGTACTTTGCCATAGACTCTGAAAAGCTGGGCTGTGCATGTAATTTTGATAGTTAGAAGGCTAGGCTCATTAATACGTGGGGTTTTTTTGTGTGTATTTGGAGAAAAAGTGGAAGGGGTTCAACCTGCATGATCCTGCCTCTGATAGCACTGATATTGCAGGTAATAGGGAAATGTTTTGAAGAACATCCTCATTTAACCATTTTAATACTCTCATCCTATATTAATTTGTGTCATAGCATTAGGAGGCTGGGTGGGGGGTGGCAACCTTGGGTCCCTTTTAAGGTGAAAGGTGTGATAAAAATATTTTAAACAAGTAGTAAATAAATTATATGGGGAGTTCCTTTTGTGGCCAAAAACAGAAGTCACGTTTATAGGAGAGAAACTAATCTAGTGTTCAAATTTGACTTTCAGTTCAAACTGGGCTTAAGTGTAGGTTTCTTCAAACAATAGGACAAACTGAATTTTCTGAGAGATCTAACCTAAACTAGTTTTTCTGCTTAGTCCAAAGCCAGTTAAATAACCAAAACACTGCTGTAATTTGTGGAGATGTGAGAAACTGTAGACAGATATATAACTGCATGTGAATATTAATATGCTTCCTCTACTCTGATAACTGGCATAGTATGCTGTCCTAGGAGAGCTAAAAAGTCAAAAGCAATGTCACCAAGGGACTGTTGTATTCTCCCCTCTTTTTCATCAAGCTTTTTGTGCTGTTTGCCTGACACTAAATGTTTCTCACTGTTTCTCTTTAACAAATTGCTTTCTCTTTGTGCTTCAGGGAAGATGGTGAAAAAAGTCTGCCCTTGCAACCAACTCTGTAGTAATTATTGCATTTTGGTTACTTCTGAATTTGATTGCGAAGCTATGTTTTGAGTTTTTTCCTGATCCCTGAAGCTTAACCTCCCTGAATCTGTCTTGAGCACAGCATTTGTCTTTGTGCGTCTTTGTCCTTTCTGTTTTATCATTTCTACACTAATGTGGCAACAGGCCTGGCCACCTCATGACTGCCATTTCTTTCTGCAGAGAGTTGCATTGGCCATCAACCACTCTCCTTGTGGATAAGTAAGAATGCTGGAGAGTGTATATTATTGGCACCAGTAATTTACACCTTGGATTAAAAGGCAGAAGTTCCCTTTTCATAGGAGCTTTGCTTGCAGTCACCACATTGAAAGAGGCTTGCCAAAGCATTGATCTGATTGCAGAGAGCTTCCATATTTTAAAGTGGAAGGATAAGCATCCGGGGCTCTGGACAAGCGCCTGCTATGTGAGGAAACAACAATAAATAATGCCAATTGGCTGGGTGAAGTGGCTGGGTCTTGCTCCTGAGAGTGAATGCAAAAGTATGTTCTGCAAGCTGAAGGAGAAGCCTCTGCATTTATTCAATGCTGTGAAGGGCCAAAATAAGACTCTAACGTTTGCTGTGAGCGAGCAAGATGAGGGAGGTTCTTTTTCATTGTCCCTTATTGAAGTGCTGCTCAGACTCTTCTTGATGGCTGGTTCAGTAGCTTGAACGTTAGCTCATTGAATTTCTAACACACCAGTCTCTCTTCTCTTATTATTTGAAGAGAGATCCTGAAACAATCAGGTTCATTATGAATAGCCTATAAAGGACTCAAACATGAACAGATCCTATCTTATACTTTTACAATCACTCCTACCTCCATTGCCAGTTAACCCACAGATAGATGCTGTGTTATGTGGGAGCTTTCATAATACTCATTCACTGTGTTCAATTGCTATAATGGCGTTCTGGCCATCAGGAAAGGGCTGATGGTTTCTGCATGAAATTGTTGATGATATGATGCACAAATGTATGTTAGTATCTGTCTCAAGATTCCCACAACCACTCCCCCCCCTCCCCGTCACTCTTGCCTGTTATCTGTACTGGTTTATTCTCCTGAGTGTTTCCACGCCATTAGTGCCTGTTTTTCATTCCCATGCATGACATGGCTAATTCTTGATGCATTATAAAGATGGTTTCCTTGGCATGTTACACAGTTATGGTTTTTCCACTGCGTCACTTTGCATTCCTTCTCCTTGCCTTGGTAGAGGACTTTTCTTCCTCCATCTTTGCATGTGGCTCAGCAGCACCTCTGTTTGTGTGGGTCAGTTTGGGGAGGAGGTTGCCTCTTACAGTACCTTAGCTGGGTTTAACTGCTTGTTAGCATTTCACAGTGCAGTAGAACCTTGCTCAGTTGCTGGAACTGATAAAGATGTTCTATATTCGTGTGTAACGTGATCTGGATTCAGGGAGGCCTCTTTTATTCTTCAAAAGCAGGAGTCCAAAGTTCAGTTGCTAAGACAAGTTCTTCTAAATCAGTGCAAATAGGTTGCCCAAGCTTACAAACAAACTTGTAACCAGAAAGAGTTCTTGGTGCTTTCCTGTTATTCTCTTCCTAAGCTTTGTTTCCAATGTTTTCTGTGCCATTCTTGGCAGTAAATCAGTGGAGGTAATGTGCTGTTTATTGCAACTGCTTTATCCTAAGATATTTTTGCTATGTACAACCCCCCACCCAACCTCATTGATTCCAAATCCCTCTCTATAAATTTGGGACAGTGACTTATCTCAGAACTTCTAAATTCTTGCATTTAGGTGGTTGTTTCCCGAATGACCAATTGTGGACAGTTAAATTCCCTTTTTAACTACGTATGTTCCAGTATAAATGGCTTTCAGAGCAGAATCTTGGATACTCTGAGCTTTCCTTCATACTTACAGTCTGATTCTAAGTGCAGTGCTTTGAATGGAAATGACTCTTTGTGTTTCTCTCTTGAGATACAGTGATATATGTCTCTTGGAGTGTTGAAATATGAGTAATGTCTCTGCTTCCATGGACGGCAGCACCTGAGTTTGAAGCACCAGGGGTTATTTGCTCATCTTAGGTGTTCTTGTACTTGCACATCAGGCTATCAAGTTCTTGGTGCATCCTTGCCGAAGGGTTGCTAGCAGTTATGCAAATGTCCCTTTCCCCATATGAATCCCTGAATCTTCATTATCTTCATCTGCAGAACAAAGCAGCTGTCCACACTGTGTACTACTTCCTTCCTACTGAGTGGGCAGAGTTGGCAGTGACATTAACTCGATATAATAGGTGGTTGTTGACAGTGTAGGGGAAACAATTTGTCACGTCCCTCTCATTAATACCAAAAGCTAATTCATCCTTTAGTAGAAAATGGCAGTTCTGCAGACCACCCACTGATCTGGAAAATAACATGTTACATAATTAACCTAATAGCAGAGATACAGCTAGACAAGTCCTAAACTTTTCCTCTTCATTATGTCCTAGTGCCGAATCATGGAATACATGTGCATGGCTTTTAAAATTCTCGCTCTCTTATTTTTCATTGTAGCTATAGTTTTTGTTGGTCTTCAGGAAGCTATAATTCAGGCAAGTTAAATGACAGCTGGTAATTACTTTGGTTTTTTAGGGACCAGCAGTACGAATACTGTTGGGGGAACAGTGAACAGCCAGGCACCTCAGTCTCAGCCTCCTGCCTCAAGCCGGAAAGGGACCTTTACTGATGACCTGCACAAGTTGGTTGACAACTGGGCCCGTGATGCTATGAACCTCTCGGGCAAGAAAGGAGGCAAGGGACACGGAAACTATGAGGTCAGTTCTGAGTTCATGTTATGACAGTACTGCCTGACCTTGGGTGAGGCATGGTAATATACTATGGAAGAATTGTCGACAATAATGAGGGAGAAAGTTAACTAAATAATCCGAGTAAGTATTTGGTAAGTATGAAGGAGATACCAGGTTTAACAACAATGACAACAAAGCCTAAATGGAGCTGTGGGGTCCTTGTGTGATTCAAAGGTGAAGACAGATGATACTTTTATTGGACCACTAGAAAAAGTTGAACAAACAGCTAGCTTTCAATGTAAATCCATCTTCCTCAAGTTGTGTACCAAAATATTACGGACAGTGCACATATATGAACATTCCAACAAGTCCTGGCAGTTGTCTGTGCCCGTCTCATTCTTAAAGGTGAATTTATAAAGTGTGACTGCCAAAAAGAATTGAGGGTGAGGTTTCAAACTCTTGTTAACCCTTGGCTGGATTTCACCTCCCAACTTCTTAAACAAAAGGATTTGCTTTGTTTAAGGGCATTTTATTTAAGATGTTGGGAGGTGAAATCCAGCCAAGGGCTAACAAGGGTAGAGTCAGAAACCTCACCCTCAATGCTTTTTGGCAGTCACACTTTATGAATTCACCTTTGAGAATGAGATAGGCACAGACAACTGCCAGGACTTATTGGGATGTTCATATATATGCACAGTCCATAATATTTGGGGTGCACAGCCTGAGGAAGATAAGTTTAACAACTGTGAAATAACTTCTCTTTGACTTGGCTTGTATTTTAGGGCCCAGGAATGGCGAGGAAGTTCTCTGCACCAAGCCAGCTCTGCATCTCAATGACATCTTCCCTTGGTGCTACACCCATCTCTGCAGCATCGGCTACCTCCTTAGGTCACTTCACCAAGGCCATGTGCCCCCCTCAGCCGTACGGTTATCCAACAGTGCCCTTCGTACCTCCCTGGAGTGGGACCAGTGGTCCAGCACAGCCACCTTTAGGCCAATTCCAGCCTGTAGCAGCTGCCTCATTGCAAAGCTTCAACATCAGCAACTTGCAGAAATCTATCAGCAACCCCCCTGGCTCTAATTTACGGACCACTTAATGAGACCCAGGCACACTGCCGGGTAGACACTGGGGAGGGGGAGATGGGGCCTGGAACGAACTACTAGACTGCAGTGAACTGGCTCTAAATGCCTGAAGGGGATGAATTTTCTCCTCTAACTATTGCTCTCTGCTCTCAGTAAGAAATATTCCCCATTCTGAAGATGGGGAGAAGGGCGATCAGGATCTTCCATGATGGGACTTGTTTCCTTTCATTCCTTTGTGTAGCAAGGTGTGTGAAAATGGAAGTCAGCATGTACCCGGTGGCCTCTTGCTGTAAAATTCAGTTGGCTTAGAAGGCTAAACCCATAGGGGATGAGATGGGAGAATGCTTGTTTGTTCTAGCATGAATCTTTAGTATGCTGTTTGTCTTGCTCTGAGGAATTAAGTCTGGGGGAAAACTGTCTGTTTTTCCATCTTATCTCTCCTTCCTTTAAATCATCATAACTAAAGTTCCTGAACTGATGGTGCATATAAGGTGGACTTGCAGAACAGCCCATGCTTTGAGATAGGTCATTACTGCTTTAAGTAAAAGATATAACAGCTTTGACTGCAGCATTAGAGCAATTTAAATGGTTTAGAAGATAAATTTTTAAAGTTCCCTGCGGACATGTACTTACCATCAGTTTTGATGTGAAAACACTGTGATATATAAATGTTGTTGGACAACAGTAGTTTAAAAAACAAGTGGAGCATAGAGGGTTAAACAGTTAAAAAGGAAAAGAAATGGGGGAAAAGCTAGCTATATCCTTATATGTATTGGAGACACTTTAACTTTTTTCCTTTTTATTTTCATTGTATTAGATAAATGTGAATGTATAATTGTATAAATTAATGTACTTGAATACTTGTCTGTTCTCCCAGTATGCTTGCTGGATATTTTAGTGCCTTGGACTTTTATTGCTTCTGCAGTTAGCATCACCTTCCCAGCAGACTTTAGAAAGGCGGAGGAAAGACAGGGAAGGAGGAAGTTATCCTAGTCACCAGAACACCAAAGGCTGAACACATTGTATGCTCATACTGTAATAGTGTTGAGAGTAGGTGTTGTTGGGGGAGCTACTGCAGCTGTGTGTCGAAAAAAATAAAGCTATGGAGTGATGGGGAAACTAGTGTTTGACACAGCAGCAGCAGCAGCAGCAAGGGCTTAATGTGGAGGTGTTAAATGAATAAATGTAGCAAGCAGAGTAAAGCTGGGCTGAATGAGAGAAGAGGGAAATGGGAGAGAAAGAAGTATTTGTCTCTGAAAGGATAGCTCCTATGTGTGGATTGACTTTTAAGCAATAAAGTTTTTTTTGCAAGGTCAGTTGTATTAAGGGGTTAGTGCTATCACTGTGGGGAAGGAGAGTGTCTGCTGGGATATGCTCCCCATGCTTCAGGTGGTCCAGAAAGACCAGGAAGTGAGACCTTCCTGGTGCAAGATCTATTGCCAAGGATTAATACACTTGAAACAGCCAACATCAAAAACAACTTCTTATTCTACGTCTAAAGGACTTAAAACTGGTACCAGGACTGTAATTTAACTGTGTTGCCTTGTAGTAGGTGTACTAGAGCTCCTACTTTCCACTCGCCTTCCTCTTTCTATCTTCTAATACTGCTTTCCCTGTTAAAATGAAAAGTTGCAACCAACTAGTATTACTCTGTATTGCTGCAGCAGGCTGTGAAAGGGTCAAAGGACTTCTGCTTTATATTTGGCAGCAGCTCTGCTGCTGGTCTAGAAGTTTGTGTACTAAGGAGAGGTGCCTCCCCAATCACCTTGAAGTTTCTCTAAAGTTAGCAGGGAGTTTGTTCTTTCTGTACTTGGTTTCACTCTTCCCTCAAACATATGCACAGGTCTTTCTTTCTTTCTTTCCATCCTTTCACCTTAAGTTGCAGTTTACAGTGGCTTTGTCAAGGAGATAGATTGGTGGCTGAAAAGCAAAAGGAAGACGTCTGTGTGTCTGGGTTTTCCAACAGGTTTTTAGACTGAAGGAAAGGTGCGGGAAAGTGCACAGTTAAGATGGGAATAGGGAAGCATAAGATTTCCTGCTGAGGAAAATAATGAAAAAGTTGTGCTTTCTGATCTGTGGCTGAGGTTGAAGTGCAGGATATGAAAGAGCCGTGATGAGAAATGCCACTTGAACTGATCAGCTGAGTGGTGCACGAGGGTGGTATTTGGTTTAGTATGTTTGAGGTCAGGTTTTCACTTAGTTATACAAGTACTGGTTTTATTTACCATTGATTTCCCTCCTGTGGATGAAATAACTGAGGTCTAGAAGAATTAACTAATGCTACTGAACTGTTAAATTATTTTGTGTTAATATTACACTTTGAGTACCTTTTCCACAAGATCTGTTTCTGAATTACAGATGTTTTCTTTACATTATTTAACAATGTACACTGTAAAAAATAAATAAAAATAAAATGAATTCAAACCTTGGGCTTCCCTGGCCGTAGTTAATGGTATGTTTTGCACTAAACCCAGACATTGCGCTTCCTGTATGATTGCGCTTTGTGCTGCAGTTTGTTACCTTCTTTGTAGATATTTAATGAAATCATTCAAATAAACCAAACTTGCTTTTGTTGAGCTGTGGTTTTTCATTTTCAGTTGGCTTTTGGTTCCCTCTGTCCCCTGATGCTTGACTGTCAGTAGTATTGTAGCTTAGGAACAAGTAGTCATTTGGCTTTGGAGAAGAATGCAGTTGCCTTCAACAAATTCTCACAGTATTACTGGAAGATTTGGTCACAATGTTGGCTTCTGAAACATTGACTGTGAATGTTCAGCTGCTACAGCTAAACTTGTAGAGTCATGCTGGTGGAAGGGAAATGGGGTAACTCACCATGGCAAATTGCCACTAATAAATGAATTCTCACTTGAATTCCTCATTGCATACAAATCAATTGGCTTGCTGTGCAACTAGGAATCAAAATGAGAACTCCTCAATCAGCAACAATTTGCCACTTTCGAATTACAGCATTGCCCTTCTGCAGTATTATGAAGCAGGATTTTGTTGTGTGATTTTTAGCCATGGAAACTAAAATATTTTTGCTTGTGTTTTGTTTAAGAGAATCAAATTCCTTGAAAGTTTCAGGGGGATTATTGCCCCTGAAAAAACTTTACTTTTACAATTACGCAATATGATTATGAATGAATATAGACTATTCCTGCATAAGTTACAAAGTGTATGGATAAATAAAGGTGGGGATGTGAGGCCTATCATCACCCCCACAACCATACTTTGGGAGACAAGCATTAGTCACTACTCATTCGTATATATTTTTATATGCATTTCAGATATCTTTGTACAAATTGCATATCAGCTTTTGTTGATAAAGGGTATGTTCATATTAAGAGCAGTTTAAGTTGTTTGAAAGACACACGCCTTGGTCAGGAAATGCAAATTACATAGCTAAATATTGTGCTTTTTTGCCACTTATGTATAATTATAGCATGTACAGTCTGCTTGTAGTGTTGGAGAAGCCTAAAACAGAGAAATCAGAACACACATTTGAACATTTCTACAGTACAGTAGTGCCTCGCATAGTGATCGCTCTGTATATGATGAAATCGCTTTGCGATGGACTTTTTGCCATCGCAAAAGCGATTGCTTTGCGATGGCCCCTATGGGGAAATTTTGCTTTGCGATAATCACAGGGAAGCCTTCATTTTCGGCCAGCTGATTGGCAGTTTCAAAATGGCTGCCGGGTAAACAAAATGGCTGCCCGCTGTGTTTCCTCGCATAAGAGACACCGAAAATGGCCGCCCCTATGGAGGATCTTCGCTTAAAGGTGAGTTTTTAGCCCATAGGGACGCATTAATCATGTTTTAATGCGTTTCTATGAGCTTTTTATTTTCGCTTAGTGACATCGCTTAGCAGCAATTTTTTCTGCATGGATTAACATTGCTAAGCGAGGCACCACTGTACTTGGATACTGGAGAAGCAAGCCTAAGATTGTATCCTGTTGGCAGTCCACTTTGAAAAACATTGTGTCAATTAAGGCTTCCATAAACAGAAGTTTGTTGAGCCTCCTTTTAAATCTCACATTCTGTTCCAAAACATCAGTGAACCACTGAATAAATTTGGGTGGGAAGGAGACAGATGAACCAATGAAAATTATACCCCTCCCCAGTGGAAGCAACTGCTACCGTAGATTGAAGAGCCTTTCAAGAGTGCACAGATACAGTTGGATAAAAAATGTGTTATTCCTCACTGTTAATTAAGTTTGCCTCTGCTTAAGCATTTATTTGATGGGATAAATACCAACCTGACTGGTCAACAGGCTCTTTATAGATGACCCATAGATTTGTGTTCTTTACACATCTGACAAAGAATTTATTTATGGTCTGAGACGATATTATACCTTGTGATATTTACATCTTTATTCCTGGATACCTTATGATATATATTTACATATTTATTCCTGGATACCTTATGATATTTTTTAAGTTCGAAAATTAATTAAAAGGTTTATTGAGCAAGCAAGTGACTGAATAGCTAAAGGCAAAAATATAAAATATACTTGGAATCTAATAATTACATGAGTATGTACTTTCAAAATCACAGCCTTCTGTTACATATTTCTCTACTTCATATGTGTAAATAATTTTTCTATGTTAGAAAATAAACTTTGGTTCTATTAAAATAAGAGCTGTTTAGGCATCATATAGGTGAAGCTCAGTGATTCAAAAATACATTCTCTGCAGTAAAAGCTATTTCTTAAATAACTGGCATTCAATCACTTAAAAACACTATTGTAATGCAAATTGTTATTAAACAAGTCTATAAAAGCATAAGCAAGAATATTTGCAAATAAGTCACATTGCATTAGATATTTCTCACCCAATATTTTTCCCAGCAGAGATGTACCCCGTTTGTAAAAAGCAGGCGGCTGTGTGTTTTGGATATGTCCTCCTAAACATGATGGAAATGTCTGTTTTTATATACACTTGGTGTTTCTTAAACAAAACATTAATGGGTTTTGGCTTTCCCTTGGATATGTGATGTCAGCTAGATAGCTGGAGGTCGACTCAGCTGGATTATGAGCCAGCTACCAGCCTAAATGTGAAGCTGCCCCCACCTTTGGAATAACTATTTCGGCAGTATAATACATTTGGAATACCAACTTCCTGCATTTTACAAGTTCTATATTTCCCAATCAAACTCCATATTCAATTTTTTCCCGCCATAACATTTTCCCAAAACCTATTATTGACAGGACCATGAGCTTCGCCCATTCCCGTCCAGGGGTCTTCCTTGGTCACCCACTCCCATCACTTGGAGTTCTTGCTTGACCATCTTTGGCTTGTCCCTCCACCTCCTCTTTCACACTAAACTACTTTCACTGGCCACCCCTTCCTCTCCTTTGCTTGCTCTTAGATCGCCTATCTGCTCCTCCTCCAACAACAGTTGGCCTTTTCTTGTGCCTTGGGTGATCATGGACTTTCTCAGTGCTCAGCAGAAACCCGTCCCCCCATTTCCTTTCCCAGATCTATAGATGTGTGAAAACCGAATTGAGGAAGGGGGTGGCACAAAGATGGGAGGCTTCTCCTTTGTGGGTGGGTGATCACGGAACAAAGGAAGGCTAATTGCCTTAGGGAGAGAACAAAGGAGTTGGCAGCGAACGTCTGAGCCAGCGGAGCCTACTAGCAATTCCCTGAGAGCTCTTTTATTTACTTAGCATGATTACATAGTATGTTACGAGAGGAACAGATAGGATACTAGTTACCTAGTTGATCTTATGCTCTACCTCTGAGCGAAAGGGCAGAATAAGGGGTTACCCCGCCTCTTGGCAGCTGCTGCTTCCTGCCAGGATTGTTTGCACATCACTGGATGCAGCTAGAGCCTTCAAGCAGAAGTTTCCCACACTCCTTCCCATCTGGCTCTCGAGATGCTTACAGAATACATTCTCTGGTGTCTGGTTCAAGTTGTGCTGTTTGTCTAAGGGCGGTATATAATCAATAAAAATAGGTGGGAGCCATGGAACAGCAATTCACAATCAGGAATAAAATCAGCAACAGTAAATTGAAACTGAGCAATGCTCAGTACAAAGTAAAAGGTTGGATTAATGGTCAAATCTGGATGCTGACCACGACTGGGTTGAGAGCATTCAATAATTGAACTATGAAAGGTGAGAAGATGCTTACCAGTACTTGCCACTGTGATTCAGAGAACAATGTATTTAATGTTATGGTTGTGGTAATACAAAGCTGGCCAATGGCAAGCTAGAAAAAGGTTTTGGTTATTAGTAATATATATTGTATACACAGTGTTAGTGAGGAACTGGGTGTGTCATGTTGGGGTGGCTGTTGAAAAATTCTACACACTGATACCCATATTTGAGCAATATCATTCCAAAATAGTTTTGGAAAGAGCATTGCAACATGCCCACATACTCTGTTTCCTTGAAAATAAGACCTAGTATGAATTTTCAGGATGCTTGTACAGTGGACCCTTGACTCACAGACGGCTTGACTTACAGACTTTTTGAGTTACAGACTTCTCTGGCCGCAACATTTAGGTTTGACTTGCAGACTGAGATTTGACTTACAGACCAGAAAAAAACCAAAATGGAACAAAAACGGCCTGTTATGGGATTAATCGGTTTTCAATGCACTGTAGATCAATGGAGACTTGACTTACAGACTTTTTGACTTGAGAACCGCCTTCCAAACGGATTAAGTTCTCAAGTCAAGACCCCACTGCAATATAAACCCTACCCCAAAAATAAGCTCCAGTTAAGTGAAACCCCACCCTCCACCTTTGTGCAACAACCAGAAGATGGCATGACTGTATTTGAATAAATGTAGATTGTTGTATGCGAAAGAAATAAAAGATCCCCTGAAAATAAGCCCTAATTTTTTTTAGCATAAATTAATATAAGGCTCTGTCTTATTTTCGGGGAAACATGGTAGATACTGATACAGTATACAATGAACTAGGTCCTTCTGACAATTTAAATACGACATACAAAAAAAAGTAGAGATGGGCATGAACCGACAGTTCAGATAACAGCCACATCACTGTTGCACAGTTTGGCACCCTGCCCCCTCCAGTGGGTGCCTACTTTGAGGCAACACCTTGGCTGCCTTGCCCCCTCCAAGGGTGTCCACTGGAATCTCTAGTAAAGAGTCCCTGTGGATGGCCTTTATGTGGTATTACTTAGTGTCCCCATTTATAACACACTCATATAATCCTGGGGAAGAGATGAAGGGAAATCATGTACAGATTATTGAGTTGTCACTTTTTACAAAACCACTGAGAAAATAACTGATTATCCAATGAGTTTTAAAAGTCATTACCAGCTGTAAAAATGCCAGTCTCCTTAGTATAATTATCATGTTATTTTTGGCTATTGTTATTCTATGGCAGGGGTTCCTATACCCTTTTACAGTGAAAAGAGCTGAATATCAAACAAAACACATCACCCCTGCTTGACAATACCACGTGGATTCACTCAACTCTCTAACCAATCAACCCGTCTCTATATTTTGATGCCATGTATAAATGTAGCAAAAATCCGCCATGTTCGCTCTTTTTTCTCTGAGGAAGTGGATTTTATCCACAAAAGCTCACATTTAAATATAACAGTCTTTAAGATGCCACAACATTTTTGTCCTTTTTCATTTCATTTTGTTTTTGCCTGATTAAATAGCTCACTTGCCTTGAAAACCCTATTCGGGTCAGTATAACTCAGTTTTGACTTGATGGCATAAATGGGCAAGTTGCCCTCGGGATGATTCATTATTTTCATTGGAGAGAGGGCAATTTAGAACATGATATCCAGTTCCCCATGTAACAGGGAAGAAAAGGGCCAGCCAGTATAGGGATAGCCCACTCATCCAGGGTTGAAGACAAAGTCTGGCAGTCCCACCTGGAGGAGGCAGGACCCTCTTGAGTCTCATCAGTTTGCTTCCTGTCACCAGTGGAAGGAGGCAGCTCCTGATCCCTCTTCAAAACTGACAGAATCTCTTCCCTTGAGAAGAATGGTTCCAACAGTGAAGATCTCTGGAATCTGGCATTTCTTGCAGCTAGAGAGGGCAATATTCATATACGAATATCCCTGCAGAGGTGGAAATAACAAGGGTCCGGCCCCATGGGGTTGTGCACTGTCCACTCATGATTTCGCCGCTTCTGCCGGCTCTGCGGAGGCTTCCGAGAGCAGTATTCATATACGAATATCCCTGTAGAGGTGGAAATAACAAGGGTCCGGCCCCATGGGGTTGTGCGCTGTCCACTCATGATTTCGCCGCTGCTGCCGGCTCTCCGGAGGCTTCCTATCACGTCGTCGTCTGCAATGGATTAGCCACTGTGTGACCTAGCAGAGAGGCTTGTCATCCCACCTCCTGCCAGTTCAGACTAATCGATTGCAGACACCGGTGCGATAGGAAGCCTCCACAGAGCAGTGGTGAAATCATGAGAGGAAAACCCTTGTTATTTCCACCTGTGCGGTGATATTCATATTCACATACGACAACCCCCCATCTCTACTTGTATCCTTTCTAAATTTAACAGGGCGAGAAGAGCTAGCTCCAATCTTGCAGTTTTCTTCCTGGTAGTCCTATCCACCGCATCTTGAAATGGGAAGAGACATCCACTGTGAGGTGTGCTGCCCTGATCATCACGATTAGTCCAGCCCTTGTCGAGGAGGCACAGTGGGGAATTGAACTCCCTGGCTCTGCAGCCAGAGCCCTAAATCACTGAGCTATTCAGCAAGCCCTCACGTGCACAAAAAGAAGTGACGCAGAACATGAGAACTAGTGGGGAGATCTGCGATCGCCCAAGACGTAGTGACACATTAAAGATCTGTCGTGATATGAGTACATACACAAGGAGTGGGCAAAGTGCAGCCTATGGGCTGTATATGCAGACCCTAACACTTAAAAGTTTAAAACAAATTCTGAATATCTCTTTAACAAACTTGGTGTTACTATTAGTCTCCACAATTTTTCCTTATTTGAAAAAGGAGAGAAGAAATAAATGGAAAAAATTTAAATTGTGTCTTCAATTTTCACATACATGACAATTTTGAAATTAGGAGCCACACACAGTTCTTAGGTAAACAAAAAGCTTTAATAACTTTATTGGTGGGCAATTAGCATTCTGTAAGTAGTACACTTGTGTTGTTGGGGAGCAAAATCTTGAAACTCTTTTGTTCCAGAAAAGTAAATTACTATCATTGTTCCCCTAAAGTGTTTTCAGTAATTCATCTAAAAAAATACATACTCCTTCAGCTTGTTAGATATGTTATATTGTTTTAATGGAAATTGTTTTACATCAAAAGTATAACAGTAGCTCACCTTGCAGCTGAAATACAGTACATACAAAATGAGAATTTGATGTAACATTTGTATACAGGGTTCACCCTCCTTAAAACTGCTGTCCTCAAATTAAAATAAGGAAAATTTGTTTATTTTGTGTTTGTTTATGGAGTCAATAGAATGAATGAAGTTCCAGGTGTATAATTTTCAATTCTCTGAGGAGACTGCTAAAACAGTATTTAAAACGTTTGCTCAAATCTTGCAAAAGCTACACAAAAATACTTTCACTACTGGGTTTGGATGTAGTAAACTCCGAAGAATAGTCTCTCTTCTGAAACTCTGCCTGAATCAGATATTAGAATAATACCTGGATGACCAAGTTTATTCATCTCATACTACGTGGGCTCCAGTCTTCTCTTCTTCATTCCTTGGCTCTTCTTGTATGGACTGCACTTATCTAAAAAGGGAAACAATTGTTTTAAGAGAAAATGTTATTTATAAGATTGTCAGGCAGGGCCTGGTTTTGCTCTCTCCATTACATAATCAATAGCTCACCTGTCCCTACTGTAGGCTAGGCCTGAATTTAGAAAAGCAGCTTAAAGAAAGATTTGATTGGTAGCATTTGGTGGTGATAACTTGTGGAACAAATGCACAGGGGAGAAGCAAATAGTAAGAGATATTTTGCCTCTAAAGTGGTGAAAGCTTAGACTGTCAATTTGAGAATGTTAATTTAGAAGGTTTGATGCACAACACCCCATGTACGATTCAACCATGTCATAATGAAGGAATAAGATCTGTAATTTGTTTTTTGCGATACAAACACAAATGCTAGTATGTAGCTTTTACAGCCATATTTACTTGGCTTCTTTACCTCTTCTGTAACTTACCTGATGAGAAAGGCCTGGGACTAGAGGAGGGACTGCAGAGTCCAGGTTTTGCACTTGATCGCTGATGGTTTATCCTTTGTGGTGTTCTGCTGCGTGTCATCATGTGATACTGCCCAAGGGGTGTGCTTGGATGAGGGGTTGGCCCAGTTGCCGTATTGTGATCAGAAGTGCCCAGCTCACCAGCATCTAAGGGCAAGTCCCAGAGTTCAGGATCATCTAAAATAGGTAGAACATTAGGAGTGACAATTCAACCTACAAAAACTCATTTCCACATCCTACTGCTATTGGAACCAGACTGTAAGAGAAATGACTACACTAAATGTGGAGTTAGACTTTCTTTCAGCAAATATAAATGCCTAAGCCTGAGTTTTTTGCAATAAAAGAACACTGAGGAGCTTACACACCCCGTTCTTTCCGGCAAATCCCTCCCCGGTGTAATTTTTGCAGTCCTTACTCAGCAGCAAATAGCAGCTGCTGTTTGCATTATAAAAACATTCTTTACTTACCTACAAGGAATTCATCTTCTTCAGTGGGTTCTAGCTGTGCTGAAGTAGGGTGCTTCACGAGAGGGGGATGATATTCTTCTGGATACAAAGAAAAAAAAAGATCATTACTGCTGGGACAAATGGAGAAGTACAAGTTTACCTGGATTTAGACTATTTACAAAGACCTAATGTATTACTTTGCTTTTCTAGTTTTGGGGGATTAAAGGAGAAATGACAAGAGTCTGGCTTTATTGATAATGGACAAACTTATGTTAACTAGTAATACCATTTGATACATTTATAGAATCATAGAAAAGTGAAGTTGGAAGGGGTCTATAAGGCCATCAAGTCCAACCCCCTGCTCAATGCAGGAATACAATCAATGCATATCTGCCAGGTGATTATCTAAGTTTTTCTTGAATGCCTCCAATGTTGGAGCACTCACCAACTCCGAGGTAACTGTTTCCACTGTTGTACTGCTCTAACAGTTAGGACGTTTTTCCTGATATTCAGTTGAAATCTGGCTTCCTTTAACTTGAGCCCGTTGCTGCTTGTCCTGCACTCTGGGATGATTCAGGACAGATCTCGCCCCTCCACTATATGACAACCTTTCAAATATTTGAAAAGTGCTATCATATCATCGCTCAGTTTATGGAAGGTTTGAGGGTTGATAAGTATTCCATGGTTTTGTATAGTGTATCTTATTAAATTTTAAACAAATAACAATGGACAAATGACAGCCTTCAGTGGAGCTGGACAACATTACAGGAGAGAATAAGAGTGATTAATTAATTCAATATGAACAAACAAGTAAATTGCTTGACTTCCAAATCACAGCCAACCCATGTAAATTTAGTGCAAGATGAGGAACACATCTATTCATACGGCAAAAGAAACAAATAACTGAACATTGGAAGTCTCTGACCTAGGCAGACAGAACCAACAAATAAAGCTGTGGCTCCAGAAAGAAATAAGACTTTGGATCAGACGGACCAGCTAATCTATCCAGCTCTTCTATACACTGACATTTTGATGCCTGCTGCTATAGGTTTATTTCCTCATTTGGATCTTACAATTTATTTGGGTTTAATATATAAACTTAAAAATGCTATAGTCATATGTTTGAATGATAATCATCTTGTTAACTACTAGTCCTACAACACATCCAATTTCGTCAATGTAGTCAAGGGACTACTCTACTAGATGGGAAAGAACTTCTTTCACCTCTAGGTTTCACAAAGGTTGGGCTTCTTTCCCACTTGTGAAATGGTCACACTTCTACATCCTGCTTTGTTTCTCAGTGACATTGCTCTGGCCTATGGCCGTTACTTCCCTATTAGGAATTATAATAGCATTTTATACTATAAAACTATATAGTATTTTTTCAGCATCTTCAAACCTCACCTTAAAATTTACACAATGTAAGAGACACATCCTCCAACTAACCTCCTACATCACCTCATCATGAGTACAAAAGGCCTCACACTTAAGGGGTGCGTTAGTGGCATGCATGCCTGGCAGGTTTTAGATAAAGGTAAAGGTTCCCCTTCTCTTCTATACACTGACATTTTGATACCTGCTGCTATAGGTTTCGAACTGCTAGGTTGGCAGGAGCTGGGACAAGCGACGGGAGCTCACTCCGTCGTGTGGATTTGATCTTATGACTGCTGGTCTTCTGACCCTGCAGCACAAAGGCTTCTGCGGTTTAACCCGCAGCACCACCACGTCCCACCTGGCAGGTCGATGGAGGAACTGCTCAGCATTATACCATTCAGAACCATTTCCACATAAAACTTTGAACCAGAATATTTTGGGACATTAACCAGATATCACACTGAATTTCTATTCTAACAGTATTTTAGATGAAATTTGATTTTTTCAAAAATTTTTGGAAATATTTACAGAGAATCAGCATATTCATGACTAAATATGCTAAGGTAAGTCACAGCTAAAGTAGGTCCAACTTAAAAAGAATTTCACTCACTAAATCTCCACTGATTCAATAGGCCTACTTTAGTGCAATTTACTATGCCAAGAAACAGGATTTCAGCCAATATGCAGGGTTATGGGGTCCCCCTACCCCAGGTTTACACAACAGGCAAGTAAAGATAGCCAAAGGGCAGGAGGGAAAAGAACCAGAATCCACGATGTGATAATGCCTCTTCTATACTACTCAAAAAGAGCACACATGTACACTAGTCTTCAAGATCTTTTCAAGCAAAATATTATGAAAAAAACAACAAAAAAAGCACAGGCATGGAGAAAAAATGCCTCTGGGCGGAACCGATTTAAAAAGTCATGTCAAATCCATGTTGTTCTGCAACAGAGGCAGTTCCTACACACTCTCAAATGAATGATGTAAAAGTACTTTGTTTCACTCAGAAATGTCCCTTGGCTAGTGCTGAATAAGCTCCCAAACAATCTCAGGCATGCCAAGAATTTCAGCTCAAACATTTTGAAAAATCCATATCACGTATCTTATACAGTAAAATGCCAAAAGCAAAAGAACTTGAAGAATATTCCTGGTGTTTAAATTGATGGAGTTTCTAAATAATTATTTACAGAATAATGGACTGAAATATATAGCCTTAAAACATCTTAGAATCTTTGTTTTCTGTAAGATGTTGTGACAATTAACCAGAAAATGTCTATTTCACGACTTTCAGTTTTAATTTTGTTTTTGAAACAAAGATCAACTGTCGTGGTTGCAGCAACTGGAGATGAAAATGTGAGTAAATGTTTTCTTTATACCCTTATAGAAACAGTGACATCCAGACAGAAGACATAACACACACTCTGTAGTATCTTGTGCTCAGCTGTTCCACTCACAGTGACACATTAAACATGGCAGGAAGTGGCTCTCCCTATACAGTGGTGCCCCGCTTAACAATTACCCCATTTAATGATGAAATTGCTTCACGATGTGTTTTTTTGTGATCGCTATTGCCATAGCAAAACGATGATTGAATGGGGTTTTTTGGTTTCACAATGATCGGTTCCCTGCTTCGGGAACTGATTTTTCGCTTTACGACGATCAGAAAACAGTTGATCGTCGGGTTTCAAAATGGCTGCCCGCTGTTCAAAATGACTCCCCGCTGTGCTTAGGACGGATTCCTCGCATTACAGGCACCAGAAATGGCCACCCTATGGAGCATTTTTCTGGACGCTGAGGTATTTCGCCCACTGGAACACATTGAACGGTTTTCAATGCGTTTCAATGGGCTTTTTACTTTTGCTTGACAACGATTTTGTTCTACAGCGATTTCGCTGGAACAGATTAACATCATCAAGTGAGGCACCTCTGTACCACAATCCTTTTTCTGCCCATTCTGAGCTTTCTGGCTAGCATTTTACCTTGATTTCTAGCATTGCAGGTTGGAATATCGGATTGGAATTGCTGTTTCATCTGCATCTGCTCTCTGAACTGCTGCTGAAGTTGCTTCTGCCGTAACTTCCGGTGATATGTTGCATCACACTCCAAGGTAAGGGAGACTTCTCTGTGGGAGAACACATACCAAATGATGTTAACACTGTACTGTTACAATAGGAAAAACATGGTGCAGTTTGATATAGGTAGCCATAATGGGAGGCTATGTGCACTCAACGATGCAATTATGAAACCAGACACTTGTTATGGTCCTGTTTGAAGACTTTGTCCAGTGAGGGTAGTTTTCAGCTGCCAAAATCTGAGGATGGTGAGGAGCAGAACGTCCCTGCAGAGCCAGGGTACAGGCAAGTGCACACCCTGATACAGGCAGCTTGGTTATACCTCAGAGGAAGAGGCTGCAGAGAATGACACCATCTGAAGGCGCTTGTAATACCCATACTTGTCTATAACATGCTTGGCTACATGGCAGGACTACTTGAGAGAGAAACGGTTTCCTCAAGAGTACAGAGCTCAAGGAAAGTCTTCTCCTCAGAGAAACCAGGTACCAAAATGCTTGCAGCTGAGTACTGGCAGAGATCCAGCAACTCAGTAATATAAACCTCAACTTTATTTTATTTAAAATATATTTTATATTTCTTTAAACCTGTAAGAGTACTGGAAACAATAGCTCCAGTCAACCATTTCAAGTCACGGTGAATATTTATGCATGGAGGGAAATGCTCTAAACCAGCTCCTTCTGTTGCACCTTTCTCACTCTTTTATGATACAGGGAGGCCAACAATTCTGAACAGGGGAACCTTTTGCTCTACAAGCGAGTTGGGGCTTTGGAAAATCAGGTAATCCAAATCATATGAAGAGCCCCCGTGGGTATCAGAATTCAGTCTCTTCAGATTCATCACCCACCTGTGTGAAATGATAATGAAACCAAGGATGGAAGGGGCAGGGCTAAAGCACTCCTCTTTATACATTAACTTTCCACCCAGTTTTAAGCCAGTGAATAGGTCTAATGTCTTTCCTTAGCTCCAGACCTTGTCAGCCATTGTTTGCCTCTAGTTGTGGCTGATCTGTAAACTGTATTTGATTTTGCTTGCTCGCTTTTAAACTCAAGGCAACTACTTGACTTTAGATCCTTCTGGGTTAGGTTATCAGACTCACTAATAGAACTCTGTTTGCGATCTTGGCTCTACTCTCTGACTCTGCTTTCAGTCTCCTTGCCCGGCTGGTCTAGCTTGGGCACCTTACTAGCATTTGACATCCTAATGCAGTCTTTGCAACCAAGCCCCGCCCTCCCAAGAAGAGCAGAACACAGCACAGCAGCATTACAAATTATCTTGCCTTTTTAAAAATAGCCCTGCCTTCAGGGCTGGAGAGTACCATGCAAAGAGAGATAGACAATGCCTCCTGAAATCTCAGGTCACAGTAGGAGTCTGATGAGAGACTGTCTAGAGTCCTTTGACAAGGCAAAATTATGTAAACTAGCTACATGTACATGCACAATTTATTCAGCTCTTCTTTGCTCAGATGTCTAACTCCCTCTACATGTTATCATCTAGTGACCCAAAACTATGGGATGCTCTCCTTTCATCCACACTAGAGACTACAACATCCACTCCAAGGACTGCAACAGGAAGTCCCACCCACGTTCTCTTTGCAGGTAGCCCGCCTCCTGTTCCTTCAGCAACTAGATGCAGTTTCTGAACCCCTCCTGGGTAGGTGGTTATATTGACCCTGTCCCTGCCTAGCTTTAGGCAGGCTGTAAAGAATATTTTTTATTTCTGTAGCTTCTGACAGATTATAAACAGTCTTACTTGTGCTCTGGAACTCTTTAAATAAAGTCTGTTCTGTTTTTAATTTGATATGGGATTGCTTTTAATGCTTTTGAAGCTTTATGGTGTGGAAAGATGATCCATAAATATTTCAGTAATGGAGATAGCCAACAGCTCTATCTCTTTCAGTCCATCGGCCAACATAAATAGATGTCTAGACAAGGGGTTGGAGGAGTTAGGACTGGAGAATATCTCTGTCTTAGCATCCTGCATCACACTGCCAACAGGAAACAAATTATTTATAATCCTACTCATTTCTGATATGTTACAAGAAATCATCTGCTTCCTGAGAATACACTGCTGACCCTGGAGCTATACCCTAAACAGTCACTCTCTGGAGAGTCACTAACATATAGATCTATAGCCAAGATCACATAGAATAATTGCAACATGTACAAACAAATTTAAACTCAGTTCAGAATAATCAGCCATGGAAATCCGATGTGTAACTGCCATAATTTTGTCATTAATTTATACATTCTCACAACAGATCTGTACAACAAAACCTGAATTCCAATTTGACCTAGGCATCTAACCTGTTCTGTTGACCTTGTTCACTGCTGCTCAGAGAAGGGTCTTGCTGGTCAGATTTGTCAGGAATTGTTGCATTCAAGTGTTGTTGTCCTTCTCTTTGCTTCTGGAAGCAGCTACTATATCTTGCCTTTTCTATAGCTGGCTCAAAGTCCTGCCTTTTAGCTTTGCTCAAATCAAAATCTGGAGGCATCTAGTAAAAGAAATAAAACAGTACAGTAACTAGAGAAGAATTTCACAGACCCCTGGGCTGTCAAAGGACCTATAAGACAAACTGTTTTCCTGACAGACTCTGCCCACAACCAGCATTTGCTGCTGTGCTATGATTAGTTATTGTCTTAGCTTTATTGAGATTTCCATCATGCTCAGTTACAGATCTTTTAAAATTTCTTCTGACTTTCAGTAATAGTTTGTTGTGCTTTGTGCTGAAAGTCAAAGACCTTGGATCATAACATGACAGGGAATGCTCTGGAAATGGAAATGAATGAACCTATCATTAAAGTGCAATTCAAGTTTTTAAAGTAAGAAAAGAGCATATTCTGTCATATTTAATGGAATGTCTGTTCAAAAAATAACAAATTATATTGGCTGTGATCAACAAAGGAATACTGTCAAGATGCAGGCTGGAATGATGAGAATGTGAAATTTAAAAGATGAATCATTAGGGTGGGGTGAATGCAAAACCCAATTAGTAATGATGACTAGCCAGGAAGGTGCCTTAAGAAACAAGGCCAGAAGATTTTATTTTTAAAAAGAGAAAGCAAATATAAAAATTATATTAATCACATGATTTCATTTAATGGCTTAGCCATTAAACTTAGAGTAAAGTAGAAAATAAAAATGATGCTGTAACTTTACGATCTGTGCTTTCTCCATGAACCTCTACCGGTCCTTTTGGATGAACATCATCAACCCACCAAGCTTACAATGCATGTCTAGTTACATGTTAATCCCATTTATCTCAATGGGATTTAAGCCCATGTAAGAGGACCAAAAAATGCAGGTTATCCAAATGAACACATGCTCATCAGTAAATGTTGGTAAACTTGTTCAAACATCGACATGAAATAAACTTAGAAAAAAGCATCTCAACTTTGTGTAATAAAACCAGTTGCTTTAAATCAGGAACAGAGGCATATCTCACCCAAGACCCCTCCATGGGCTGACTGACATCAGGGGAAGAGCTAATAAAGCTTTTTCTGCCACTAATTCAGCTTTGTTCCTCTTTCACCCTTCCCCATGCAGGGATGGCAAAAGAGAAACAATATGCACTTGTCAAATGGCAAGCGAACATAATTATCACTATGATCAGCTTTTTTGCTCCCTTGTCATATGGGCAATGAAAGACAGTACGAAAGCAACTGAATCATGGCTTAGAGACCTAGCCCAATTATTATTCTGTTGTTCGTTCTTGAGCCAAAGGTCATATGAGCTGGGCTAGTAAGGCAAATTTCGCTACAGGACAGAGGTTCCCCTGTTTCTGCTTTATATAAAATGATTACTGTAGATAAATGGATACTGTATCTGTTACAACAGCAACTAAAAGCTTGCAGGATCCTATGTAAGGGGGGGGGAAATCCCTTAGTTTACATTGTTACTAAGAAGTGCTACAAACATTTTTTGAGCAGATTGAAACAAAGGAATGTCTAAAATTTATATGCAAAAGAATCCTATGCTGACATTTTAAAACTGAAATGCCAATCTCAATTGAAATGGGTGGTAATTTTGAACTAGAACACCATAGGGAAGGGCGCACATATTAGAGATACATTTTGCTTCCACTATAGAAGATGATCATCCAGGAGAAAACAGCAAAAAACAACCTTCAACAGGAACAGCCAAAGTTTTCTGAAATCAGACATCAAAGAAAAATGAAAAGAAGCATGCAAATTACTTCATTTCTATAATCTATTGTGCAAATTTTGGCATTTTTACAGCAGGTTTTTAGGTTTCTGGGCTATAACCTGACCTGACCAAATTTATATAATTGTTGAAAATCTCAAGTAACAAACCTGACGGGGAAGCTTATTCACTGCTCGCAAATAATCTTTGTCCAGGATGCAGTTTCCAAGAGCATTACCAAAGCACCTGGAAAAAAAAGAAAGAAAGTTAATTATTTTTTTATAACACCACTATCTGTTTTTATAGTTTTTCTAGGGTACTATGTATTGGTTACCGCTTACTTCAGGGCCCTCTTCAGTCCATCTGTTACAGCCTCTTTCCTTGCTTTTTCAAGGGATAAAGCTTTAGATTTCAAGCCTTCACTCACTCCATAGCCAACATCTTCATGATATGCCCCATCCTGAAATTTGAGTAAGCTATGTAAGAGTAAATCTATGGCTCTGTAGCAACAGGAATTCCAAAAATTCTTACTCTCCATTCTAGCTTAGAAAAGCCTAATTAGATACTAGAATATAATTAGGGTTTCGGGGAAAGCGGAATCTACAGTTTGTGAACTGAAACCACAATATCCTGCTAGTATAGCCAACTTTAATTTCCAAAATCAGTGATAGATTCAGCCTGGAAAACTGAGTAAAGCAGCATGCAGAAATATGAGGGTGAGGACTCAGTCATTGAAACGCCTGCCACTGTTGAGAAAAAAAATTGCTTAGCCACACGAGGAGCAAAGGTCATTTTTATAATGGCCAGTATACTATTGCTTAGATCCACCTGTGCAAAAGGAATAATGTCATTGGCAGCAGCAAATTACTGATTTTATTGAGTTACTTCTTTAATTTGTGGAGATGCACAACCTTGTAACACTGCAAGTGTGTGCATCCCAAAGTTAAAAAGGAACTTTTTAATTAGCAGCAATCTGTTGCTGCCAGTGACATCACTCCTCTTTCACAGGTGGACCTAAGTAACAAGACATTGGCTGTAGTCTTATTTTACATTTAAAGCAAAACAAAGAAGACTTGGTCCTTTTCAGTGAATAACAGAACTGATGACAATAATGTGACAAACAAAAAATATTGGCTGACAAACTTTTCGTGAAACAAATGATGTCTTTAAAAGTCATGTAATTATGCATAGTCAGAGAATTGAAGAATAATGGATTGGAAGGGGCCTCTAAGTCCATTGAGTCAAATGCCCTGCTCAGTGCAGGAATCCAGATCAAAACAGATCTGACAGATGGTTGTCTAATTCTCTTCTGAATGCCTTCAGTGCTGGAGCACTCGCCATCGCCTGAGATAACCAGTTCCATTGTCGTACTGCTGTTTAATTGATCTTTAGGTCTCTGACAAATCAATATCACTAAAGTATTCCCCCTCACCATTTACCTTAAGTTGGACTTTCACAAAAGCGCAAACACCCACGTAGAACTTGCCATTATTCAGGTCAACAAAATCTGTGCAAGAGCATAAACAAAGTAACATTAGTCATTACAAGGCCCAGGCTCTCTCAACTTCAAAGTGGTTGCTTGCTGAAAGAGATTGAAAGCAGAGGTGAATTCCCCTTTTGGTTCCCCATGCCACTTCCTGTCCTGTTCTGTAAAGTACCATAATCTTTTCTGATAGGTTAGGGAGCTGATGGGAGAAATGAGCAAAGAATATTCCTCACTATCACTGATGGAAGTCAGTGCTGGATCAAAGAAAAGCCAGCAGAACACTATTGTCAAATTCGTCTTATTTATTGCTTCTTTCAATTAGAAAGGACTTTTGAATAGAAATGGTCTGATTACTTTTTGGGAACTCTTATAGTTGGCTAATGTTCAGCAATGCTCACCGACATTTTGCTGAGTTACAGAATGAGCCCAGCCATTGTAACCAAACATTTCATTGGCCAAACTGATGACCCTGTGTCCTTCAATATAGCAAACCTGAAATAAGAGAAAAAGAGAACTTAATTTTGCTATTATCATTTAGTATGTTATTATAATCATGCAGAATTTATACAGTTTCATTGTAACAACACTGGTCAGAGCCAGGATTGTAACAGCAACAACAAAAATTCATGTATGTTAGTAAAAGTCTGATAAATCATGGTGTTTTCCATGATTACATTACTGAACTGCTAAAGAAGAATGATATAATATGAATCATTCTCACTTCAAGGGCCATATATTGGACACTAAGCTTAAATATAGATTTAAATTCAGCAGAAGAATTACTGTAATAGTTCCAGATTCACACAAGAGTGGTGGTATGGAGTTATCTGCATAGGGGAAGGGAGGCAGTAAGATTTATGTACAGAAAACTTAAAATGTGGATGATTAGTCCTCATTAGAACAGCTGCTCTTGTAATGTGCCCAAATAAACACCTCACAGTTAGGCATGCCTTGTTCTATGCTCATCTATCTTTTTAAATCCCTAGGTATCAGTGGTAAGATCACTCTGAGGAGACACCGGAAACTGATGGACTAAGCTATGCTGCACTCCAAAGTGATAACCATGAAGTACCACTGTCACAGCTAGTGATCCATTTTCAGACAGACACTCAGTTCTAAATTGGTAAGAGGGAAATTAAATAATGATTACTGATTTATCTGACTGCAGAGACACACATGGTTAAAAGTTTTACTACAGATTATGGAGTTCCTAAGAAAAAAACAGAGCAATATTCTAAAAATTCAAGGGAATACTATGACCTGTATACCTGGTAAATCATTTTTCTGTTGCCAGAGGATGATTTTTTTATTACAAAATAAATGAATACTCTGTGAACACACTTTTTTACCTTCTGTCCCCCTCCAGCTTGCCGGCTACTGATGTACTCTGGCCCCAATCTTTGACGCAGTGCAGCCTGGACGGCCTGGTATTCATCAGCTGTATACTGACACTTATAAAAAAAAAAGACAGGGATAAATTTAAGAGACCAATTATTGTTTTACTTGTTAACCCTGTCTTTGTTTTCTCCTTATTTCAAATTTTAGGTTACAGTGGTGCCCCGCAAGACGATGATAATCCGTTCCATTGAAATCGCTGTTTAGTGAAAACATCGTATTGCGAAAAGCGTTTCCCCATTGGAATGCATTGAAATCTGTTTAATACGTTCCAATGGGGGAAATAGTCGTCGTCCAGCAAAAATTGCCCATAGGGAAACCATTTTGCGAAGCGCCGATCAGCTGTAAAAATCGCTGTCTTGCAAAGCATCGGTCCCGAAAACACCCACTTTGCAAAGATCGCCAATAGGGAAGCCATTTTGCGGAGCCCCCGATCAGCTGTAAAAATTGTTGTCTTACAAAGCATCGGTTCCCCCCCAAAAAAAACTGTCTTGCGAAACAGACCGAAACATCGTATAGCGAAAATCGCCCATAAGAAACACTGTTTTGCAAAGCGCAATGGCGATCGCAAAACCTCGTCATTTTGCGGGGTCATTGTTTTGCGAGGTACCACTGCACTCAGCCTTTTCCAACCTTTTAATTTAGTATTATTTCTAAAGATCTATCTGAAAAAGAAGAAATGTATTACACTCACAGAGGAAGGTGTAGAGGAACACTATTTATAGTGCAGGAGAGTATTATTTATCCTATTCAGTTCATTCATTCATTTGCTATTGGGCGATAAGTAGAGATGAGGGTATTCGTATTTGTATACGAATACCCCCACATAGCTAGACTTAACTCGTCCACCCTTGCCCTGTCTGGAGTTGGCTAGATGAGCAGAAAGAGAACAGCGCTCCAGGAGCGACTGGAAGGCTGACTGAGGCTGCCACCACTCATCCATGCATGAGTGGATGGTCCAGCCCCAGGGGCCAGACCCTTGTTAAGTCCAGCTGTGCAGGGGTATTCATATATAAATATGAATACAGCCATTTCTAGTGGTAAGTAATAGGACCATATGACTGCTGAATCTTCTTTTTCACTTTTTTTGTATTTGTAAGAGTTCAGGTCAATCTGAAGAATTCATGCCACACAGTGTTTTCTTAATTTACCTTTAAACTCTCTCAGGTACAATAAATGTGAAAAAGAAGACTCAGCACTCATATAGTCTTATTGCTTGTCACCAATAGCAAATAAATGAAATGTATAAAATAATCTTCCTCTACACCATAAATGAATGGACTTAATATATAATAGAAACACAAGTTCCAAATAGTGCAAGTTGACTATTTGAATGTCATCCCTTCTCTAGAGTATTCCTAATATTCAAACCACACTGGGATCTTTTCAGTCAGACTACTTCACACAAATCTGGAGCTTCTCTTGGCTTCTTCTCATCAAGCAACAGTTAAACTACTGTTCCTTGAGTTCAGATTCAATCCAGAACTGTATTTTTTAAGTGAAAACCACTGGACTTCCTCTTGGCTCTGAAAGATAAGAGGGAAAACATGCAAATCCAAAGTTCACACAGGGCCACACACAGGAGATGATGCTTTTGCCATGATATCTGAACTTGCTTTTATCGTTAGTAGATTTTACATTGGGGGATCCTCCTAGAAAATCTCAAGATGAAGCGGAAAGTGATTATACAGACCTGTCCAAAATACATATTTGTGACAGGACTGGTGTTACTGGCTCCATCTCTTGTCATGCTTTTCTGAATATTCCTGAAAAGTGAAAGGAACAAGAACATCTATGCATTTGACCAAACAATTACAAACATTTCCTTAGAAACATAATAAAGATACACTGGCCTGCCTTAAGTCAACAAAGTACCAAAAGTGATTTTTTTAAAAGTATAATTTATAGGCTGCCTTTCTCCTGGAGATGGGACCCAAGGCAGCCCATTCTTTTGTGCAAATGAATTAATGGACATAAATTTGACATCAAGAATGGCAGTACACAAAAGCCTGTTTTAGAGCATTTCGATCTACCTGGACTTTCACTGACTTGAAAGTTGCTGTTTCGAGAGGGGGAAAACACTCCAAAACAAGACTTGAAAGGGAAACAGCTGAGATGAGGTATATACAGATAATGGAGACTGATTTAAAAGGACTGAATATCATTCAAGGGTTCTTAAGTCATTATCCAGTGTGAAATGGTGCATACCTTTAAGTCATTGTCAAGCAAACTCTGGTAAGGACCAGAATGGATAGTTTACTACTTTTTAAAGCAAAAATAATCTGATTACTTTTAAAAGTAATCAGATAAAGGTAGTTTACTACTTTTTAAAGCAAAAATTATCTGATTACTTTTAAAAGTAATCAGATAACAATATTCCAGTCCTAAAATCAGAAAATGAAGGAATTCTGTATCACTGGCAAAAAATGTAAGGGAAATACTTCACAATGAACAGCTATCTTATAATTAAGCCAAAAATAGGCTGAATACTATGGGTATTGTACATACTAGAACTGTTCCATTCATATTATGATTGTCAAGTTCTACTCTAGGACACTCATCTACTTTTGAATGCCTACATATCCCCTCCTCAGATATTGCTAGGCACTGTTTCCTAATACTTACAATCTTCTAATAAAGGAGACACTCTCAAAGAATATCTCCTAGCCACTGACCTTTGAGACCTGTGTTTTTAATTTTACGTTTATCCAGTTGTAATTTTCACATTATTATAAAATTACTTTTTTGCTGAAGATCTGAGAAGTGTATCAAAAAGTGCAGCTATCCAGTGTCTGAAGTAAGCAAATTAACCTCATTTCCCCACCCCATAAGTCCAAAGGGAAAAAAAACCCAGAGGTGGTTTCTCAATATTATTCTTATACCTTGTCTCCCTTCCCCAATTTCTTACTGACAAAGAGTTGTAGAGAACTCAAAAGTTTGCGTACTTTTCACATTCACCCTTGTTCTTGATAAAGATCTTACTCACTGGTAGAATTTGTTTTATCAGAGACAAAGGTCCAATCATCTCCTATATCAACCTTGCTGTGGCCAAATTTTTATTTATTTATTTATTTATTTGTTTGTTTGTTTGTTTTGATTTGATTTGTATCCCGCCTATTTGGACCACCGGACCACTTCCCTCCTTACATTTTCAGAACTGCAGGATTCCCAGGGTAATGCAATGTATAGAGGGAGGGACAAGGGCTCTTGGAGGCCAAGGTTCGAATCCCCACTTGGGCATGGAAACCCACTGGGGGAGTGGGACAAGTAAACTACTCCTTCCCTTTTTACCTCATCTTTCTCCTGAAAAAGGGCTCATTTACCTTGAAAGCCCTATTAGGGGGACAAGTAAACTACTCCTTCCCTTTTTACCTCATCTTTCTCCTGAAAGCCCTATTAGGGTCGCTCTAAGTCGGTTCCGACTTGACAGCACACAACACACACACAGGAGGGAAGGGCCTGCTTGGCGATTTCAAACACAGTTAAAGGCCACAAAAGGTGCACAATAAAGTGACCACCCGCCGCCCCTCAGAGCTCCCACCACCCAGGCTGTGGGGAAAAGGCAGAAAGGAAAGGGTGAGGGAGCGACTATGTTCCTTCCGGTGTCTCCGGTGAGGGAAAAGGCATTGAGGGATTTGAAACAGTTGGCATTAGTGGGAGCGCGAAAGGCAGCTATAACTATTTCACCCGACCACCCCGAATATAAATGTTATGATGTCCTTCCTCAGTTACCTGCGCGATGACCGACAAACAAGGGGCAGCCGCCGGACCAGCGTTCCCGCCTCGCTCGGAAGGGTCAGCCAGCGACACCGCTACGGCAAGCGACGAGAAACAAACTTCCCGCTCGTACGAAACACGCCGGGAGGGGGTAATTTCCTCCCGGGAGCTTGTGGGAGGAGCCTCGTCGTCGCGCGCCCGCGCGGCTGAGAATTGGAGTAAGGGAAGGGGAAAGGGAAATCTGGGACGTGTCTGGGAGTCACCCAGCCGTTCTCGGAGGAGGCGGGGCGGCTTTCGGGAGAGGCGGGATGATCTTTCAACAAGCAGACGACTATTGGCTGAAGGTTAAATTTAGGGGCGGGAGCCTCCGCGCGTAGGTCACGATTGGCAGGTTGGGTTGGGGGAGCATTCGAAGGTACTACGGAGAGCTGGAGGGTCCAGGGACGCGTCTCGCGAAGGGAAAAAGCGAGGTAAGTGAAGCTTGGTGGCTATCGGAAAGCACTACTAAGTGAATCGATCGATGGGCGGGGCGGTCGCGTGAGTGGGAAGGAGGGAGGGAGGGGCTTTTCAGCCTATCTCGTGGGCGCGCGAAAGGCGGGCAAGCGCTCGCGCCGAGGAGGTGGGGCTTGGTTTTTTTTCTCTCTCCTGCCGTCGCCGCCGGGGGCGCGGGCGTGAGCTGCTCGCTGAGGTAAGGAGGAGCTTCGGGCTGGAGTGTGAGGAGAGTAGCGGAGGAGGAGGAGGAGGAGGGGAAGCCGAGTCTGTCTGGTGCCACCGCTGACAGTTTCTGGATGAAGCCCTGAGGTAGGTGAAAGCGGGGCCTATGGCTGAAGACTGAGGGGGAAAAAAGCAGAGCGAGGCGGGCGGTGGTAAGGGAGTCGTCCTCGCCGCTGCCTTCAGGTCGGTGGTCTGTGGCGACGGCGAGGGAAGGGGGAGCAGATTGGGTGGGGCCTGTATGCCTGTTCGCCTACCTCTGCTTGGGCGCCTGGTCCTCGGGAGTCCGGCCGTCCTCTGACCCCGTGGCCTGCCGGCTGCTCGGAAGAGGTGAGGGGGGTGGGCAGCCGTGCATCGAGGCCTGCCCTGGATGGACATCTGGATTCCTGGGAAAAGGTGCCCTGCCGATGCCTTTCCCTCCCTTTCCCTCCATCCCTCCCTCTTTCCCACTCTTGTCTTGCTCAGCTCCTTAGAATCGGGTGGCTTCCCTTCCTCCGAGCCCCACCCCGCTAGGCAAGGCAGGAACGAGGGGTGGCTCAGAAGAGGGAAGCCCACCTGCATCTCTCCGTCACCCGCTTAAATTAAGGTCTTGTTACACATGGGTTCTCGGAACGGATTTGTGCCCATGGGAGGGACTCCTCATTGTATCCCCACTTTCCTTTATCGCGCCTTGTGGTAAGCCTTCTATGTAGTCAGGTAGCTAACGTTAGTCTTTGTTAGGTCCTCGTGAAATCTTGAAAAGAAGAGGATCGTATATACTTGGTCTGCCTGTCTCTTTTTTAACCTAATGCTGTCAACTATTAACCATGGAGTGAATGTCATCTTCTTATCTGGCCAACAGTCAATTGGTTTAACAAGTTGCTTGCTCTTTCTAAATTTAGGGAGCTGGTCATTAAAGCCATTATATGGGTGTTAAACAAACAAACTGTTTGATGAATTGGACTTGCCTACAATTGCAGTACAGTTTTCAAAAAGGTCTTCAGTAAGATTTGCGAAGAATCCTTTAGCATGAGGACGTTTCTGAAACTGTGCATAAGGTAAGCAAGAATATATGGCACCTTCCATAATGCCACCTTGCTATTGACTCTGATTGATTATACAGCCATGCCTTGTTCTGGTAATTGTATCAGTTATACTGTAATGACAATGGTCCTGCTGTGGAGGTTTCTGAAAGAAATGGGATTTATTTGGAGTGTAGGTGGAAATCTGGCCCTGGCATTTTCTGTCCTTAAAAAGTTCTCAGATACCAGAGTTGGAAAAGATACTTACTTTTGAATGCTTAAGAACTGTTGGTCAGAGTAAATAATATTGACTAGACTGTTTTTATCTTTTGAAAATTTTGCTCCAGTTTATAGAAATACTGTATGTAGTTTTCATTGTTTTCCTAATCCCCCTTCCACTATACAGTAAATCATAATGTACATTGTGACCTTTTTCTGGAGATAATCACCCATTGTAAATTAGGATCAGTTTGGACTACGTGACATGGACATCGCACAAAATTTCTGGAAATACTAATACTTATTTAATGATTGAAAGCATTTTTGTGCTATCTTTCAACACAGTGTAGCAGATGATTACATTCTTATAATTGGAGAATTGCATTATGATCAGTGAAGTAATAATCTTTCATCATGCTGCCAGGTTACTTAGAGCCCTCATAAGGTGTTTCCGCTCCAGAATCCCACAGTGTTTCTGCTAGCCAACACTGTGTAATCCATTATATCTATCTGTGGAAGTCATTCATCATAACCCTGTCTCTTCTGGGATGGTCAAATTTCTTTCCTTGTGAAATGAGAACTTGAGATCTAAGAATGAAAAGATTTTGGAATATAGGCAGTGATTCCCAACCTGAAGGACAGTACTCTCAGTGGTACAAACAAGACATTTAGAAGTACATAAAAATGAATAATGGCAGGAAAAGGCACATATACCAACAGTGTAAGACAAGATATACTGTCAGAGCTTCAGTGGATCAAAATCCACTTCTTCATATCCCCTCAGCAAGTGATAAGCACCTCCAATCCTTGACTGACTGACTGAGGAGAGTGAATCATGAAGCCCCACCCACTTCTTTCGATTCCTGGATGTAGTCAGAGGAAAGAGCAGAAGGCAGCATCAGTGTAATCTTGCTTGAACTAGGGTGGTGGAAGACAGCACAGAGATATGCAAAGATCCGAGTGGCAAACCTATTATCTCAAAATGGAACATCCTGTTAATTTCTCCGTAGACTCCTGACTTCTATAAAATCTATGCTTCAAAAAAAAAGCTATCATTTTGCTAGTATGAAGAATACAACCAAAGGATTTGCAAGTGAAAAAAGGTTGGGGACCACTAGTCTTAGGGTATCAAAGAAAACTCACTTCCAGTACCATAATTCAGATGAATCAGGGTTTTTCTTCTGTCAGCTCTCTTTATTATCCAACTTTCACACCAGTACAGGGTAATCGGGAATGTAATACTGTGAATTATCTTGGCCTTGGTTTCCAGTGATACATCCGTACAAATGATAATCTATTCTAATTCCTTCATTGCTGTGCTTCTGAGTTTCAGTCTTCTTGGCTGGAGATTGATAATTGAACCAAAGTATACAAAATCTTTAACAATTTTAATTTCTTCATTGTCAGCATTAAAGTTGTATAATTCTTCTGTATTCATAATTTTGTCTTAATTTTCAACTGCAGTCCTGTGACTCGAACAAGTACAGTTGTTTTTATTGGAACCATGGGAATGTTTTAAAAATAGTAGAAAGTTTTGAAGTTCTTAAGATTTCTTCAAAGGAAAATATTTTGATGAAGCAATAGAAATTTCAGAAATTAAAGTGAGAGCTTCGGTCAAAACAGTGGGAAAAAATAAATCACGAGGAGTAGATAGGATGTCAGTAGAACTGTTCCATGCTGCAGAGAGTCAAAATCCCAATAAAATTATACCTATGAATCCAGAGGACAAGACAGTGACCCATAGACTTCAAAATGCTTAATATTCAACTCCCAAAGAAGGGAGAGACCAAAGCTTGTAGTAATTATAGAGCCATTGCATTAATTTTGCAAATGCAATATTTATTTAAAATATTTTTACCTCACCTTTCTTCTTAAAAAGGACCCAAGTTGGCTTATTTGATTAGAAGATAGTATTTAAGGCAACAACAGTGATATATAAATAAAAAAAATCAAACAACATACTAAAAACCGTAAGTAACATCAAAACATATTCAAAGCAGTATGGTACAGTAATCCATTTAAAACCTTGCTCAGGCAGCCAGTCCATCAGGGATAGCTTACCAACTTCTCCCCAAAAGGTGTTGAGGGTCCCGTAGAATTCATTTCATTGTCAGGAAGATGTGAGCTGCAGGACAGGAGGTAAATCTGTTACCTATAACAGTGGTCCCCAACCTTGGGCCTCCAGATGTTCTTGGACTACACCTCCTAGAAGCTGCTGACCAAGATTTCTGGGAATTGAAGTCCAAGAACATCTGGAGGCCCAAGGTTGGGGACCACTGACCTATAAGAAGTAATTTTCAGAAAATGCTTCACTCTTCCATTTCGTGAACTCCCAAGGCTTTCTGAGAATAAAAGGGGTTCTAACAGGAGCCTCGGTGCTTTTGGAGGAGAGGTCAGAAATGTTTAAAGTTTGAAACAATGCTGATGAAGTCATCAGCCTTATACACCACAAAAGAATTTCAGTCACCGAGTAAGGAATGTCAGATGTTTAAGTTGCATTCAGAAAGGGAAGAAGTGCTAGAGGTCATATAGCAAATATACACTATAGGTTTATAACCAAGACTTTTACAAGAAAGTTAGTTTGTGGTTTATAGATTACAGTGAAATTTTTGACTGAGTAGATCATGTCTGTACTTCATATAATCATAACATTGTAGAATTGGAAAAGGACATGAAGTTCTTTAAGTCCAGCTTCAATCATGAGTATGTGAGAGTGGCCCCAGTTGCCTTCTCCATGACAAGGAAGCAAGGTGTGCTCTGAAAACAAGACCTTTTGTAATTACAAACTTAAAGGTAAGGTGTGAGCAATGGCTTGGCCATGCCCTCGCATCTCACCGGGGTCATTCACCTCCCAAGTCCCAACTCTGTCCCCCCAAGGGGCATATGCACAGTCCAAACAAGCTTTCACTGTGTCCTGTGGAGTCCAGCTGAGTCCCACAAAGTCCCAATCTCTTCTTTTAGAGCTGACCTCCAGCCTTGGAAAATTTTCTTTCTTTCTGGCCATGCTAAGCACCTCTCTCAGGTGTGCCAGGCAGGGGGTGCTGCAGCACAGGTGTGCTATATAGGGACACTGATAGCCAGTCTCAGTGTGCCACAACATTTGACTGTCCTGATAATTACAGTAACCCATACTCTGGACAACAATTTCTGTATCATGATAGAATGTTTGATTGAACAGAAAGATCATTGTCAGTGAAGGATAAGTCAAACTAGACTCTAGTGGAAGAAGGCTCGGCAGCCTGGGAGTAGCCACTGAAAAGTCCCTCTCTCAAGTCCTCACAAAATGTACTTCTGAAGGCAATTGCATTGAAAGAGGGACCATCTCAAAGCAGCTCAAAAGGGGGATACAGAAATAAAGTAGAAGATCCAGTTCTGCTTTCTTCTTGTTGTCCTGTTAGTAATTCTCCATCTTTTGAACTGAAAATGTATAGGAAGTGAAAGGAAGCCCACTGTGGCTACATGAAGAGTTATTAGATGAGATACAGTTTAGATTACAGGGGTCTCAAACATGCGGCCCGGGGGCCATTTGCGGCCCCCCCAGATGATAGTTTGTGGCCCTTGCCACCTTAAATCAGTATATGTCTCTACCGCCAGATGAACTATATCCAAAGTTATTATAGGAGCTTGAGCATGACCTCTACAGCTCGAAAGGATAGGACCAGAAATAACAGAATCAAGAAACAAGAAAGGAGATTACATTGAACCATTAGGAAGAACTTTATGAGAGTCATAAGAAGATAAGAACATAAGAGCTGTGCTGGATCAGGCCAAGGGCCCATCAGACTCTGCCTCCAGCGGCCCCCAGGTAAATTGAGTTTAAAGCCCCTGGTTTAGAAGGAGCGTGTGTAGGAAATTATGCTACCTTAAATCAGTATATGTCTCTAGCGCCAGATGAACTATATCCAAAGTTATTATAGGAGCTTGAGCATGACCTCTACAGCTCGAAAGGATAGGACCAGAAATAACAGAATCAAGAAACAAGAAAGGAGATTACATTGAACCATTAGGAAGAACTTTATGAGAGTCATAAGAAGATAAGAACATAAGAGCTGTGCTGGATCAGGCTAAGGGCCCATCCAGTCCAGCTTCCTGTATCTCAGTGGCCCCACCAGATGCCTCTGGGAGCTCACGAGACAACTAGATACCTGTCTCCTGATGCCCCTCCCCTGCATCTGGCATTTGCAGGTACCTTCCTTTTAAGCCTGGAGATTATATATCCCTATCATGGCTTGTAACCTGCGATGGACTTTTCCTCCAAAAATCTGTCCAACCCCCTTTTAAAGGCATCTAGGCCAGATGCCATCACCACATCCTGTGGCAAGGAGCTCCACAGACTAACAACATACTGCGCAAAGAAATATTTTCTGTGGTCTTTTCTTACTAAATTTAAGCGAATTTCCCCTGGTTCTGGTATTGTGTGAGAGGGAAAAGAGCTTCCCTCTATCCACTTTATCCATCCCCATCATAATTGTATACGTCTCAATCATGCGTCACTTAGCAATGGAATAGACTTCTGAGGGTGGTGCTCTCTCAACCACTGGGGGTTTTTAAGTAGAGGTTGGATGGCCACTTGTCCAGGATGCTTTAGCTAGGTGCTTCTGTACCTTTTTTTCTGTCTTGGTCAGCAGCCCATTCATTTCTTCCTTTATTCTACTTGCACCAATTTGGACACGGTGTTCGTAATTCTTCATCCTCTCTGTGTGCACCTATTGTTTCCTTCTTCCTTTTGCTTGAAATGTACTGTAGCTGAATTTTTAAAATTTTTCCTCACTTCCTGTACATGCACCTTTTAAATTGTATCTCATCTAATAAGTCTTCATGCAGCCACACCAGTTTCTTTAGAAGTCTTCCACATTTCTTCCATGATTGCACTTTCAGTGTCTCAAACTTAAGAAACCCCCATTCATCATGGACTCAGAAGAAGACTTGGAAGGGAAGTTATGAAAGAATGAGGAAAAGATCTTTAAGAGTAAGATGTAAAAATGAATACAAAAGAGTGGTCATGGTACCTTGTAGACTTAACAGATTTTTTGATATTTTTATTTATAGAACAATGATGTCCCACTGTTCTCTGAAAAGAACTCTAAGTAGTTTACAAAAAATGGCAGAAAAATTCAAAAAGAAATGTAGTTTTCTGTTTATCGGAGGTGTTATTTGGTTGTACTTCCTCTTTATTCTTGGTCTATTTGCTCAGTGGTGGTGGAATAATTTCTGTTTTTTTAAATCTTCATATCAGAAGCATTGTTGTGACAATTAGTGTGCCTTATCCTAAATGCTTGTGTAGTAAGCTTTAGGATTATATTGTTTGTGCAGTTTTGTGTGCTTGGCATTTGTATTTTTCATGCATTAATCTTTCTCCTTCTTTCTTTGATAGTATGCTATGTTTCTATCTGGTTGTTGCTTTTCGTGGATGTGCTTTTAGGCATGTTCATTGCACAACACAGACATGACATCTTCATCCACAGTAATCCACTTTTTAAACTAGTGAGTCAGAAGCGAGAATGCCTCTAGAAAGAAAGCTCAAATGACAGCTAGAACTTGACTGTTCCTCAGCCGATTGTACTTAAGAGCAAACTGACAGTGGTATGATTTAGCTAGTATATTTGGCGGAACGCCTCCTACCACCAAGCTCTACCCGGAGCACCCGCGCGAGTCAAGAGGTGAGGCTGAGGAGCCTGATGCTGAGAGAGGCCTGGAAGGAAAAAACAAGAAACCGGGCCTTCTCAGCGGTGGCTCCTCACCTCTGGAACAACTTACCTCCGGAGATTCGTGCAGCTCCCTTGCTGGGTATTTTCAAGAAACAACTGAAAACATGGATGTTTAGGCAGGCCTTCCCTCCCCGCAGTTAACTCCTAATTTTTCTTCCCTCCTCTCTATTAGAACATACTCTGTTTTCTTGCCATCTTGGAGAAAAAACTTTTATTTAAATCCTGATAGCAAAGAAATACAATTTCCAGGAAGTTAAGGAAGTAACTGTCCATTTCCCTGGCATTGTATCCTTCAAAAGAGGTGTGCCTACCTGAAACAGAAGGAATTTGTGGCCTGTGGAGATAAATATATTGAAATGTGTTAAAATCAAAGAGAGAGAGAGAAAGAGAGAAAGAAAGAACTTCTCACCTAGTAGTTCCAGCTGCCCCATAAATATCCATAAAAATTTGGGGTATGCTTGGACTGAGGTCACCTGGTGAGTTTCTAGATTACAAGAGCTCTCAGCTGGAGATTCACAATTCATGTATGTTGTACGATTTGTCAGCTAGATAAGTGTATGTCATATCATTTGTTTATGCTGTTCTGAAGGAACAAAGTTTTGAAATTCACATTACCTGGAAGTCCAAGCCATCTATTCTGAGGCGGTGTGTGTAATTCCTTGCTGAAAGATTTTATTTTGAAAGAGCTGGAGGAAGCTAATATTAATCCTAGGGAGTGCGTCTAAGTACTTTCCAAAAACGTCCTTTTCAATTCAGGGACAATCAGCAACAATGATTTGGGGGCATTAAAGCCACCCACCCACCCATGTGAGTGGCTCTTGTATGTTTCCCCAGGATGTAAGGCAGGTCTAGGGAGGCTTGGCAATTTGAAGGTACTGTGCTAGTTTTGTAAAGATGTTTTAGTGAATACATAGTCACAACTTGAAATAGCAGGAAATGGAATTAAAAAGGTAATGGCACAGACTTGACCCTTGCAAAGTCATAAGAAGTTCAGGGGCTATAGAAATTGGAGGAATAAACAGGTATGTAATACATTGGAGAAATGGTAATTTGATATCTTGAATGTTCCTCTTACAGATGGTGATCAGTTCTATGGAACTCTGACTTCAGAATGAATGCTTGGACCAACTTTAAGCAGTAATTGGCCTTAAGCTTAGTAGTAAACATACTAAAGAAACTTCACAGGAAATCTTCCTAGTTACTTCGCATAATAAATTCAATCATGTATGGGAGTGCTCGATCAGTTGGTAAAATTGAGCCAAGCAGCCAAAGTCCTGGGCGTTCACCAAGGCTGCCACGATCGCCACGACTAGGTCATCGTCGAACCAATAGCACCGGAGGAAGTTCTGGTGGCAGTACAGGAGGCGGCAGTGGCAAAACACTTTCTATGGAAAATATCCAGTCCTTAAATGCTGCCTATGCCACATCAGGTCCTATGTACCTAAGTGACCATGAGAACGTGGGTTCAGACACGCCTAAAAGCACCATGACTCTTGGCCGATCTGGAGGGCGTTTGCCATATGGTGTTCGGATGACTGCTATGGGCAGCAGCCCCAACATTGCCAGTAGTGGGGTTGCCAGTGATACTATTGCATTTGGAGAACATCATCTGCCTTCTGTGAGTATGGCATCCACAGTGCCTCATTCTCTGCGCCAGGCAAGGGATAATACTATAATGGACCTACAAACGCAGCTTAAGGAAGTGTTGCGGGAAAATGATTTACTGCGAAAGGATGTAGAAGTGAAAGAAAGTAAACTTAGTTCCTCCATGAACAGTATCAAAACATTCTGGAGTCCTGAGCTGAAGAAAGAAAGAGCATTGCGGAAAGATGAAGTGTCCAAAATAACTATTTGGAAAGAACAGTATCGAGTTCTTCAGGAAGAAAATCAGGTCAGTAGCCTAAAGATCAGTAGAATGTCTATGTGTGTAAAAAGACTCTATGGAAGAGGATACAGATACTTCATTGCAGAAATGGGAAACCTGTGGCTCTCCACATGTTGAATTCCTGTTTTCCACAGCATAATTAATAGGGATGATGAGAATTTTAACTCAGATACACTGGACAGCTACAATTTTCCTACTTCTTCTAGGTCAATAGATTGTTTTTGATAATATGCATTAGTTATATGAGGATTTCAATTTGAGTGTTAGGTAAACTGTACATTATGGAAAGACAGTTTTCCAGTCACATTACTATCCTGGATAAAACCTTTTAGGAGCATAGTGAGGATATTCTTCTTGGGGAAGAATATCCAGTCTTTTCTCATGAACTTAGTATCCATTCCTATCTGATTTAAATGTGTTCCCAGAATATGGTATTCATTGCCTTCTTAAAAGTTGATTTAAAAAAGAGATAACATATTATTGAAAAGTCTGTGAAAAAGCTGTCAGCCATTGGGTTTTATTGATTATGTTTGTGCTCTAGGAGGGTGAATTATGTTTGTGGTGAATTTGCAGCCTCAGTTGAGCCAATCACAGATGGGGGTATTTGATTCATATTGGGCAGTGCAGCCCAATATGATGGGGTTATTTGATTCATATTGGACAGTGCAGCAGAGAAGAGAGAGAGAGACATACCTTTCGGTTATTACCTCTTTAGGCCTGTTTTCCCACAACCCAGGCAACAGAATCAGGTACATTACAGGTCTTGGACATGCCATGTGCAAACTACCCAAATTCTGTTCCTAAAAGTATGTTTTAGCACAGAGATCATCAACTTTTTTCCTAGTGCAGACCAGCTGAGCCTCCGAGGAAGGTGGGGTGCCCACTCACGCTATTGGACACATGCGTGAAGCGTTGGGGGAATGTGTGTGCCTCTGGTGTGCACTGCTTCGTGCATGCGCAGGAGTGCATGCCGCACCGCCAGTGGTAGCCTGGGAGTCTGAGCATGGCCGGGGGGCTCCCTCTGGCCGCTCGGCTCCCAATGAGGTCAGGGTTGGGGCTCCTCGCTGCCCTCCGCAGTGGCAAATTCAAATGGCGAGCAGTCGCTGGTGGTGGTTCCAGAGCCGGAGGCACCACCAGCAGCATTGGCCTGCTGTGGGTGGCTGATCCCGGCCTCTTTGGAGGTGGTAGCCTGGGAGTCTGAGCATGGCCGGGGGGCTCCCTCTGGCCGCTCGGCTCCCAATGAGGTCAGGGTCGGGGCTCCTCGCTGCCCTCCGCAGTGGCAAATTCAAATGGCGAGCAGTCGCTGGTGGTGGTTCCAGAGCCGGAGGCACCACCAGCAGCATTGGCCTGCTGTGGGTGGCTGATCCCGGCCTCTTTGGAGCCCGCTGGGAGGCCAGCAGCCAGAGCAGACGGCCATGCTCAGCTTCCCAGCTCTGGGCCACTCCTGCCGCCCACAGGGGCACATGCCTGAAGGGATGAGGGAGCACTCATGCCGGCGCTGGCTGGTAGTTTCTTTCAAGTTGGAAGTGAAGCTGCAGTTCCTTGTTTTTGATTAATTTCAAGGGTCACTACCTTTTTGTTTGCTGTGGGTATTGTGACATGCTCAAACACGGTTGGCATCTAGGTTTGCAAAAGGGTCTCTTATTCCTGTCTCCCCATCTGCCATGTGGCTTGTTCTGTGTTGGTAGTACTTTAAGATTGGAGAATTTTCTGTAAACTCTTTGCTGATGCTGGATGTCAGTAGTTTCAGCTGTAGCCCTATTAGTCTGTCCTAACTTCGGAGAGCAAGTCAGCACATTGTAGCAGTCAGCGGCCTTCGATACCGTCGACCACGGTATCCTCCTGGAGAGGCTCTCTGAGTTGGGTATCGGTGGCTTGGCACTAGCCTGGCTCCATTCCTTCTTGGACGACCGCCCCAGAGAGTGCAGCTTGGGGAGAGTATTTCGGACCCATGGAGTCTCAATTGTGGGGTTCCACAGGGGTCGATCATCTCCCCAATGCTGTTTAACATCTATATGAGGCCGCTGGGTGGGGTCATCAGGGGATGTGGAGCATCGTGCCATCAATATGCTGATGACACCCAGCTCTATATTTCCTTTTCACCAACTGCAGGTGATGCCGTCCTGTCCCTCCAGCACTGCCTGGGCGCCGTACAGCAGTGGATGCAGGCGAACAGGCTGAGGCTGAGCCCAGACAAGACGGAAGTTCTGAGGGTGGGTGGCCCTGTGGATGGTGGTTTGGGAAACTCCCTCATGTTTGGGGGGGTGGCCCTGGCCGCGAAGAGTGGGGTCCGCAGCCTGGGGGTACACCTGGACCCGATGCTCACCATGGAAACGCAGGTGGCATCGGTAGTCCGCACCGCCTTTTTCCACCTTTGGTGGATTGACCGGCTGCGACCTTACCTAGACACGGGGGCGCTCACTACCTTAGTACTTGCACTCGTAATTTCTAGATTAGACTACTGTAACGCACTCTACGTGGGGCTTCCTTTGAAGCTGATGCGGAAACTTCAAGTGGTGCAGAATGCGGCGGCCAGACTCCTTACTGGAGTGAGAAAATACCAACATATCTCTCCTACTCTGGCCATGCTGCACTGGCTGCCCATCCGTTTCC